GACAGCAGAGCGAGAGAGGTTTAAGCGTGAAGATGGCTTTGTGTCTCTGAAACATGAGAGATTTATCAGAACATCTTATCTTGATTTTGAAATGACGGCTCAAACAGTAATATGATTATATGGGCTTCTTTGGGCCGACCAAAGATTGGGCCATTTATATCTGCTTATGGCTATATATGGACCTGCTTAGGTTTTAAATCCATATTTGTATGTTCTGTCTATAAATGTATACGAGTATATCGCATAATTTTGCTTCAAAACTTTACCTCAAATTTCCGTTGTACGAAAAGATAACCATTGTTGTTTTTATTTTAACTATATCTGCATATTCTTTTATTTTTAGAGTATTTTCTTTAATTTTTGACCAAACAAAATGTATTGTGTTACTTTGTTGGGACTTGGGCATTTGAAAACCTAAAGTTAGCATAGAAGTTTAAAATTATTAAGAAAACTGTGATATGCAAAGTTAACATTTGACCAATCAACCTGCAGATTCTTGTTACTAATTATTCAAACCAAAGAAAACATATTATTTTAAAAGGCTTGTTAGATCTTGTTCGTATATATTCCAACACATATAATGGAGGTTGTTATTCACTTGCTATGCAAATCATTTTAATATAACAAGTATATATAGACTTACTAATACCATGTATGTCTTCAGGCAGAGCCGTTCCCAGAGATACACAGCCCGTAGGCGGTGACAAAAGATGAATAGCCTCATTGATCATCATCATCTTAAATTCATATTAACATGATGTTTGTGATAATCAAACACTATAGTTATGTATGTAAACATACATTGCAATATGTTTTCTTTTATCATAACAATAATTGACTGTCTCCAAATTGACATCAAGAATACAAGCAGTAACATTGGCCCTCTAATTTTTATCATAATTTTTTTTGGCCTGTAGGCCAATGTTTCATTTTTTTTTGTGAACGCCCCTGAGTAAAGGGGATCAGATTTGACTTTGACATTCTTTCTATGATGTGGTATAAATACACTCCTTTTAACAGAAAAATGTATACAAAAATTGCTAAAATAAAGTTTAATAAGTAGGTCCAAAAATGGCGTATAGTTTTTCTGACTTGGGGAAAATCTTCAAATATACTTTTTTGTTCAGTGATAGAGAGATGTGTATATGCATAGTACATGAAGTTTTTTTGTTACTCGGACTATTATGGTATAGAAATTATTCCAAATAATGTAATTCAGATTTAGTTGAATTATGTTGACTCAAACTTTAGCTCGTCTATACAAATCTTGTTTTGCTTTATTGGTTTGTCTTCTTTGCTATGTTCAATTTTCTTGCTAATGATAATGATTTACATATAATTGATATATTGAACAACTACAATACAAATCCTGCCGATCTTTAATAGTCAAATAAGAGAAAATCGCAGTGTTGGTCAAAAAGTACTAATTTATTTCCAAATTATATATTTTTGATATAGATTGTAGCTATAAAAATTTAGCCTAATAATGTTCTGGTGAATCTCAAGCTAAAAAATAAGAATAAAAGGAGTTCACATCTATATATGTAAGACTAATTTTAACTAACAATACTATATTCTTATTATAATAATGTTTTAGCATCTAGTGTGATGCATGAAAATAAATTGTTGTTACTTAAAACGTTGATAGTTGGTTAAGAAATTTGAAGAAGCCAAAACAACAACAACAAAAAGATGAAAAGAAAGAAGGAAAATAAAGCAGGAAAGAAAAGAAGTTAGCCGAAAGGAAAAAGGAGAAAAAGGTGAGGAGACAAAGTGTGATTAAGTGATAAGATGATTGTCTCATTTTCAAGTTCTCATAACTTCTTATTGCCACCAATTTCACCATCTCCTTTTTTTAACCTTCCAAGTGAGTTTGATTAACTTCAAACTGAAAATTATAACACAATTTTATACGTTCAAAGTTAGTGTATTTCACTATTTCATAAACTATAGGACTATAAGTCTAGGACAAAAAGCTATATTGATACGTTTGATATTTTCCTTTTCTATCATCATAAAACAAAAGCAAAACATTGTACATTTAAAATTTAGGTATCCGTGTAAGGTGGTCATTAATAGATCCGTTATATTCGTACATATACACATACCTTTTAGAAAATTATGCTTTTAGAGATTGTGTTTATTAATATCTGTTATTGTTTTGGTAGCCTTGAGGCCTGAACCTTACCATGGAGGTTTGTTAAGTAATGGAGGAATATTCTCACTCTACCAAAATGACAAGGTACAATTTTATAAAACCAAACCTATGTTACCGTCGACCTGAAGTCATTCTTGTTAACTTTTTCACTAGAATTTCTACATACTCAAATCTGAACCGAACTAAACCAGAAACGTTCAAAAATTAAATAAAATATGATGTATCCACTTATACGTATAATGTTTGAAATTTTTCATAGCAACTATATAACCAAAAAAAATTAGACCATCATATTAACATAATTATTTTTGTACATTACTACATTGTACTACTGTATCATCCATCACCCGAGTTTAAATTCGATAAAATGTGTGTGTGAATTATTGACAAAAAGAAAGGAATTATTAAAAATTATTGTGTGATGATTTTTGCTGAGCCATTGGAATTGAATACTAAACTAACCGAATATATTAGTTGGCATACTATTTAACCAATATGGATATGTTGGGAGATAGCATACCCTCCACTTCATCAATTGGTATGTTTTTCACAATTTTTTTTATGGAAAGATTCGATTTAAAATTTAATCTATATATTAAATAGATTAGAATAATGATTGAAAAGCTGATACCAGAGCTTGTCTGGCTTGTAATTTTCTTGTTTAGTTTAACTCGTTTAATTATCGGGATAGTCAATAGTGTATATCTTCTTGGCTCTCTTGTTTGTACTTTTGTCTTCAAAATTTTATATGCTCTATATATTATCTCGTGATCGATAATATTACAACATATAGATGACAACAAAATGGATTTATTAAGATTAAAGATGTTATTTCAATTATTTTTTGTTTTGGTTAATTATAGCTGTTAAAACTCTAGTTCAGATAGATGTCAGTGATGTAGATTTACATATAGTAAATTGACCTATCATCACTGGTTGACACATTAACTTCAGACTACTATCAAAGTATCAATACATATAATTGTCAGTGTTAGGCAATAAACACTCTCACTTCTTTTTTTGAATTTTTGTGTCTTTCTCAACCTTCACGAAATGACCTTTTATTGTTCATGTCGCTCTTGCATGATTAAGACACTTTCCAATTCATGATAAGGAGACTGGCCTGAATCTTAAATTTTCACTTATTTCCTTTTTCTATATCTCAAACGGAAAGAAGAGATGTGTTCACCCTTTCCTTTAAGTCTCTGAAGTCTGATCACGTGTTCTTGTTATCTCATCTCATGTATATTCCCTCCTTTTTTTTAAGATAATTTTTCTAGTTTTTCACACATATTAAAAAAAATTAATTTTAATCATTAATGCATAGATCTCTGCAATAAAACAACTTTTTATAGTGTTAAACCAATAAAAATCTAACAAATATAATCAATGTTTTTTGAAAACTGAAAAAATATATTAAAAAGGTAAAAAATTTATCTTTATGAAACAACACATAATTGCTAGAAAATTCATGTTAAAAAACCGGAGGGAGTATAAATTAGAATATAGATGTAACCTTGGTTCCAGTTAAGAATCTTAAGATTATAGACTTCAATTCAGACCTCTTTCGTAAAGCTCATGTTTCAACAAATTCCACAATTGCAGGAGATGAAACTTTATATCTTAAATAGTTGTATGACACAACTTGTGAATTTTTTGTTTCCAACAAATAATCAAAGCGACTCTTTAGTACTTCTTAAAGACATGAACAGATAAATTAATTAGAAACTGAAAATATGTTTTTTTTTTTCGGTCCGATTAGAGCAGCCGCGGGTCCAATTGCTTGTTCCGACTCACAAGTAGTTTTCATCGTCACTTTCTTCTTTTCCGTATGACATAAAAGTGATTTAGTTACACTTAAAAGTTCTTTTTTCCTACGCATAGTGACGTGTAACAATATTTTAAAACTCAATATTACAGCAATATATGACTGGGAAACTTTGAACTCGTTTTAAGATGAAGGTATTTGAAAGTTGTACCCACTAAAATATCTATAGCATTTGTTGGTTAACATATATAACGTATTAATTCATCATTTGATAAAAAAAAAATTGACTTACTAGTTAAAATCTACATTAATATTGAGTTTTTTCTTGTAAGTGACATATGAATTGTATGGCTTCAGATTGAAATGATAAGCCTAAAAGCAACAAAATGAAAAATTAAGAAGAGAACCAAAATGATGTAAGAAATTAAGAACGAGTTGTTGTTAATTGCTTGTGAAGTGTGAACACGTCTATAACATTTTGAGTCTAGGTGGGTCCAATTCCTTTAGAAATTTTTTTATATAGAACCCTTCAGACAAGTTATGTCTTAATTACTTTATCGGTCTCCCATAGTTTTGTAAGGAATAAAAGTCACATTCTAATAAACTATAGTATTAATCAGTATTCTACCAACCTTGGGCTATAAATATGCAGCATTCCACAACCATTCAACACTCTACCAAGTACCAACCTTCTAATCCCTCCCCAAATTACTCTCCTTCACTCTCTTAATCATTCGCTAATCAATATTGAAGATTTTGCACACCATTATATCTTTCTTTTCGAAATTCCTCTTTCAGTTTTCAAAAATTTGGAGAACTTTGGGTTGTTTTTTTGGTCATAGTAAATAACTGTTTTTTTCAGACAATGTTCTTGTCACATAAAGAATGCAATCGACTTATGTTGCAGTCTTTTCTTAACCACAAATCTAGTGTCGAGAAAAGTTTCTATTTCTGGATTTTCCAAATAATTAACCGTTTTATCTTCGTAACTTGAAATTAGTATCGCTTTCAAGATTTAACCCTTTCTTGTGTAATTAACAAGTCACTTAGTGGGAGTTTATTGCAATTTTGCAAATGGGAAGTTCATGTTTACCTCCAGGTTTCCGGTTTCATCCTACTGATGAAGAACTCATCGACTATTACTTGAAAAGGAAAGTCGAAGGTCTCGAGATCGAGCTTGAAGTCATTCCTGTTATCGATCTTTATAGTTTTGATCCTTGGGAATTACCAGGTAAATTAATTAACTTGTCTTTTAAAAAATAATATTCTAATTACTTTTTGAATTTTCTTAACAAGTTTTTCTATTTGTTACCTTTAGACAAGTCTTTTCTTCCAAATCGTGACATGGAGTGGTTCTTCTTCTGTTCAAGAGACAAAAAGTATCCTAATGGCTTTCGTACCAACCGAGGAACAAAGGCCGGTTATTGGAAAGCAACCGGAAAAGACCGGAAAATTACATGTCGCTCATCTACTACAATTGGCTATAGGAAAACCCTAGTTTTCTATAAAGGCCGTGCCCCGTTAGGTGATAGAACCAGTTGGATCATGCATGAATATCGACTCTGCGATGATGATTCATCACAAGGATTACAAAACTTCAAGGTACCGTAAGAACACTTTTAAATTGATCCAATTCTAAAAATAAAATGTCTTTTGTTTCTAATTTCGAAACATTAAAGAATCAAAATGTCTTTAATTACAGGGAGCTTTTGTGTTATGTCGTGTGGCTAAGAAGAATGAGATAAAAACCAATTCCAAAATCCGGAAAAACCTAAGTGAACAAACATTTGGATCAGGAGAAAGTTCGAATTATTCGAGTCGTGTGACTTCTCCTAACCGAGACGAAATTATGCCATTTGTCAATCCGGTTGCTACTGAAACCAACTCTTCCAACATTTGGATTTCACCGGATTTCATTCTTGATTCTTCAAAAGTATGTGGTACATTCAAAACTTATAAATTTTTGAACAATAACTGAACCGGAACCAGGTTTAAATTGTTTTACTAATATTGGTTTGAACATTTTGTAGGATTATCCTCAAATCCAAGATGTTGCTTCTAAGTACTTTCAAGACTTTGATTTTCCGATCATGGAAAACCAAAACATGGATTTTCCGTCGGGTACCAACATGGATGAGTTTATGCAAACCGACTATTGGACAAATTCTGGATACGACCAAACCGGTTTATTCGGTTACTCAGATTTCTCCTAGACTGGAGTATCATTTAAAGTCTCTCTTTAAGACAAAAACGCCTTTTATCGTTCGACTCTTGGAAGACTTGTAGCACTTGTCACTGGATGAGTTTAATTTTTCTGTTTTTTTTTTTTCTTTCTCGTGTTAATATTTTATCTTTATGGATTTATATATATGTGAAGCTGTTTCTCATTACTTATCTAGCTGTATTTTAGTTTCTCAGTGGAGTACTTCTTTTCAAATTTCAATAGGATCATTGTTGTATGTTTGTCATCTTTCGATTCGAGTTAGTTATGAATGCAACGATCTCCCACTTCTACTATAATGATTAATTGGACCACACTATATAAAGAACTTTCTTTCTTGACATCACTATCTATACTATTAAAGTAGAGGTACAACAAAAGAAAATGCACTAACAAAGAGCTTATCCCTGTAGCCAAACAGGATTTAACCAGTAATTAACACTTAAATCAAACCGGTTGAGAGATTTCGATTCTATGTTCAAAACCGGGTAGCAATTTCAATCCAAAACCAAAAACCTAAAAAGATCAATAAAGTAAACACGAAAAATCAGCGCCTAATTCTATATCTTAAGCAAAATCTAAACATAAAAGGAATCTTCCAAAAAATAAAACGTATTAAACTTTCCTCATAAATTTCGAATTTAAAGTATTCCAGCTCGATCTTTCCAAAACTATCGGTGTATTTCTTTTTTAGAATCCAAGATATCACTAACAGTAATCAAAAGATATTCTCTTCCAATCAAAATCACGGGAGTCTTTCCACAATCTATGCAAAATTTAAAAGCAAATATTTATGATTGAATATCCCTCTCAAAAGAATATGCGTGTGCTAATATTTTGAAACCCTAAGAAACCCTCCCATCACAAATACTATAAATACAGTAGAAGAAACCTTAGAAAAACTCATAGTTTTCTAATACTCAAACATAGATGACTTTTGATTTCAGTATAGATGCTTTTTTCTTCCAGTTTTTATATTATAAATCTGTTTTGCTAATAAAAAACTATCTTCTATTTTTAACAGATATTTCATCACCTACATGAAGAAGAAGACGAAATCATAGATCAAAATAAGTATGAGGCAATTACACTAAATCACTTCTTTATATCACATTCTCGATCTCTTCTAATAGCAATTTTCAATCTGTTTCAGGATGTGAAGAAGGAAGACGATCATGTTTTCTCAAAATCCTATTTTCAAGTATGATTATTTCTCATAACTTCACAAAGCTTAAGATGTCAAACCTTACAGGTCTTCTTGGCGAATCCGTGAGAGAGTTCTCCACATTTGGATGCAGTTCATGGCACTCTCTGGTGAAATAATGGAGGTAATATATGGAGACGAAACTGTAAGAATTCATCCAATAAATCATGTCCAGTATTTGTTAAAGTCCTGCATACATGAAAACAATCAATCAACAAATCAAGAGGTCCATGTTACAAAGAGTTATGTCGGAATTTGTGAGTCTATCAACTATTTTTCTACATCTTGGTGTCTGTATGTGATGATCGATCTACATTTCAAAAGTTTCTTTCTGGTCTATAGCTATATTACTCATATCTTCTTTATTGTCTCAGGCTTGAATCAAGAGTCAAAGATTGTAAAGATGAAAAGCAGACATCAAGAACAACATAGAAGAAAACTTGACCGAGCCTAGGAAGTCATCACCAGAATTATACTTTAGCATCACTTTCTATTTTTTGTTCGTCGTTTTAGAGATGTAGGGCATTATTATTATGTCTTACTAACATGTTATGTTCTTTTTATTAGTGGTATGCACAATTTCTATGATATTTCAAATATATCAAGCAAACGTAAAGTTCCACTATGAGGTTAGACATTAAAAGGAAGTTGTGTTGAAAGAAGTGCACAACTATGGAACGCTTAAGATGTTCTCCTGTTTCTTATACTACTTTGTCTTTATATGACTAGAATAATTTTATAAGTAGTTTGGATTTGTATATACATCAAATAAAAGCATGACTTTAGATTCTAAATCATCATGTAGATTTTTTTTTCAACTGCAAACATATTCCTATATAGTTCAGTACCAATTCAAGATCGAAAGCTCACGGAGAACTAACCTTTGTCGTCCACGCTCAGTTCAATTTTTTGGGCTTTGTCTCAACATGATTCAAAATCTCAGAAACGGGAAGTAAAATTTGTTATAGGAAAGAGATGACAAAGACTTTACCTGAGATTATGGAAGCTAACGACATCAGATATTGATGCTAAAGGTTGTGTTGATGGAGAATCACAGTGAGAGTCGCGAATCTCTCAAAATAGGATGAGGCTGACGTGAAGACGATTTGAATCAACAGAAATATGTGATCTAAAGAGATGTAGAGATTCTCACCAGAATCACATCTAATTCTCACAGAGACAGGAAAAGAAATAGGTCAGTTTCAGGAAATCAATTTCAGTATAATGGAAGACTAAAACTGAAAGAGATGTCAAGATAGTTACCTGTCAGTAAGAAGGAAGGCAAGGCATGTTTTTTCAGCTCAAGGTGGAGTAGCTGAAAGGAAACAAAGAAGATTTGAGAATTGGGAATTCTCATAAAGACAATTAAGGAGTCACGATTCTTAACAAAATTAAGAAGAATAAGTAGATGATCATGGTTCAAGAGATTTACCAGGAGATCATCAACAGAGCAGAAGAGGTCCGACTTATCATTGGAGAAGCTGCAAAGAAGACAAAACTGAAACTCACGTTTATGTTTCAAATCCTAGGAGTTTATCACAACGATAAAGGAGAAGGAGGAACTTACCGGAGTTTCTTCTAAAAGATACAGCATCGGAGACTGATGCTCAAAGTCACGGCGGCAGAGGAATCACTGCAGGTGGAGCTAACGTCGGATCACAAATTGGATCCGTCACCGATAAAAGAGAGAAGCTTCTCAAATTGGTTCAATTTCCGCAAAGAGGGGAGAAAGCTTCACGCAGGATGAACGGCGGCAGTCAGGATCGTCGGCGTCATCGGATTCGCCGGAGAAGACGATTACGAAATCACATGCAAATCGAATCGCATATGGAGCTCACGAGGAAGAAGAACTATGTCGAGCAAATGGATGAAGGCATGATCATATAATTAAAATAATACTATTAAATAATTGAGGGTTAAAATATGATTAAAAAAACATATGTTGCCATAACAACATTTTAATCAAATTTGAAAAAATATCCAATTTTAGAAACTTAATATCTATGCTTTTGAACAAAAAAAAAAAAAAAACTTAATATCTATGCTATTAAAATAGATACCGAGTTATTGCATAAATGTTTTCATCTTACTATTTTCATGTTTACTAATCTTATTTTGATTTTGATGCACAGAACTAGAGAATTTATAAATGGAAAAGCAATCAAAAACTTTTTCTTGAATCACCAAGCAACTAATGAAACGATCAACTGTTAATCCTCTCTATGACGTATAAATAAATAGTTTCTCCTTATTGATTTACATATCTTTATGATGGCAAGTCTTTCAAAATAGGTTGGTAAATCCAAGTTAAGCTTCTTTCGAAAGCAATACACGTCCGCATTTGGAAAAATGAATTTGTTATAGATATTGAATTTGAAAAGTTACCAAAACGAAAAAAAATCAGAGATTCTTGTGTAAATATCTACCAAAAATTACCATGCCATAAAAACACCGTGTGATAATATTTTGAAACCATATTGATTGAAAACCTAATGAGCCCATCTTAAGAAACTATAAATACAACGTTCACATGGTAATTAGTACATAACGGGTTATTGCATAGATGTTTTCTTTCTTACTATTTTCATGCATAAATACAACCAAAAACTCTTAGATGAATCACCAAGCAACTAATGAAACGATCAACTGTTAGTCCCCATCTATGACATATAAATATATAGTTTCTCTTTATTACTTTACATATTTATATGATGGCAAGCCTTTCAAAATAGGTTGGTGAATCCAAGTTCAGCTTCTTTCGGAAGCAATACACACGTCCTCATTTGGAAAAATGAAGTTAATCCTAGCAAAAGAACCGTCATAACCTTGCTATAGATATTGAATTTGAAAAGTTACCAAAACGAAAAAAAATCAGAGATTCTTGCGTAAATATCTACCATAAAAAATACCGTGCCAAAAAAATTCCGTGTAATAATATTTTGAAACCATATTGATTGAAAACCTAATGAGCCCATCTTAAGAAACTATAAATACAACGTTAACATGGTGATTAGTACATAACGGGTTATTGCATAGATGTTTTCCTTCTTAATATTTTCATGTATAAATACAACCAAAAACTATTTCTTGAATCACCAAGCAACTAATGAAACAATCAACTGTTAGTTCCCATCTATGACGTATAAATAAATAGTTTCTCCTTATTACTTTACATATTTATATGATGGCAAGCTTTTCAAAATAGGTTGGTGAATCCAAGTTAATCTTCTTTCGGAAGCAATACACACGTCCGCATTTGGAAAAATGAAGTTAATCCTAGCAAAAGAACTGTCATAATCTTGAAAAGTTACCTAAACGAAAAAAAAAATCAGAGATTCTTGCGTAAATATCTACCATAAAAAATACCGTGCCAAAAAAATACCATATGATAATATTTTGAAACCATATTGATTGAAAACCTAATGAGCCTATCTTAAGAAACTCTTCATGTTTACTAATCTCATTTTGATTTCGATGCAGAGAAGTTATGAATGGAAAAGCAATTAAAAACTCTTTCTTGAATCACCAAGCAACTAATGAAACGATCAACTGTTAGTTCCCATCTATGACATATAAATAAAATGATCAAACGATCAACCAAATTAAAATTAACAGCGAATAATTGTATAACTCAAAAAACTAAAATCTTCGAAAATCACAACATCTCGTGCTTCTCAATATTAGACACAAGCAAACCAGTAAAGCGACACATATTTATGTTATATTATTCAGACGCTGATTTCGGTTTGATTTCGTTCTCCCGGGAGTCAGAATCTAACTTCAAATAGTACCAATTTTTAATTCACCCAAATTTAACTTTAATAATCTCATATTTGTTTAATCTCATCCTTGGATAATCAAAATAACATTGATTCATCATTATATATCACAAACATGCATACTTATTTTTCATAATTATATCAATAGTTAAAATGTTCTTTTAAAAATCACAATATCCCGTGCTTCACAAGAAAGTTCATTTAAAACAGACTTTTATGTAAGTCATAAGTTGATAACAATAATTCTGCGTAAAACAATCTTTTCATAAAAAGGAACGATATTGGGACCATATATATATTTGATTACATTTGTATGTTGTATGATATGATTTTTTAAAATATATTGTCTATGTCTAACATCTATTGTGACATAATAACAACTTGGGTCCATAGCTCAGTGGTAGAGCAATTGACTGCAGATCAATAGGTCACCGGTTCGAACCCGGTTGGGCCCTCCAAATGTTTATTTTTTAAATCCAATTTCTCTGCTAGTTTTGATTGTTTATCTCTTAATTATTAACTTAAACAAGACAAGAATCTTTATTATTAACGAACCCTCGAAAATTACCAATTCATTTTACAAATTCCGAAAAAGAAAAAGAAGCACGAAACCGATTACTCCATCGCAAAACAGAATCGACGAATGACATAGCAAAACTGAACTAAACCAAATTGTACCGGATGGTTCAATCTCCGACCACAAGATCTACCGGCTTATCAATTCGCACCTCCACATCCGTCGGATCAACAGTCTCATCGTACTCCTTGAAGCAGGCGATTGTACCCAGCTCCTCCACCTCATCAATCACAGTGTCAAGCCTCGCCACCATATCCACAAGGAGCGACGCAAACGCAGCAAACGGTAACGCCTCTGAAAACTCCAAACTTTTCATCACCGCGATTTTGCTCAATTGTCTCCTTAACCTCCTCTTCTCTCCGATCGCCGATTTCTTCACCGATCTCCTCCGGTCTGACGTGTCACCCATAAAGCTAGAGAGCGAAACTGAATTGTCTAATCGAGGCTTTGATACGGTGTCGTTCTGTTCCACTGTCTGACCCAAAACGTTGCCGTTCAAGTTATTACCGTCGTTGTGATACGAAACGATGCCGTTTGCGTTGTTATCATTGTAATACGAAACGTTGCCGTTCAAGTGCTTGTTGGTGATGTCACTGTGAAGGTTAGATCCCAAGAAGAGTTTAGGCTGAGATTTTATTGCGGTGTTGAGATCTTTTAATGCTACTTCGAGGTTTTCGGAGAGAATCTCCGGCGAGCAACGACGCCGTTTTTTTATGCTCTCGGAGAGTTCTAATAAAACTTTGCAGATTTCTCCGGCTAGTCTAACACAAGGATCTTTGAAGAGGATACGAATAGACCTAGGAGTCTTGAAAATGAACATGAAAGTATACTATATTAAACTATATGTTATATGATTCATATTTTTACGTAGAAAGTTAGTTAAATTTTACCTGAATCTCGGTTTGTAAGCAACCGTGAAGAGCAACAACAGTGTGACCAAACTTGCGAAGAACAGATCCAACTTTGATGTATTGTTGTGATGGGAATTTATGGCAACGCCTTGTGTGTCGTGGCTCCCATCTTGCATACATTGCCTAAATATACATGTCACTATTAACTAATTTATTTGTGAGATTTTTTTTGAAATATGTAATTTTATTGTTTTTTAGTTTGTAATATTTAAGATATTTTTTCCTTGAAAATGTTATATAAAATTTCCTAACAAACGTATTCAATAGAAGATGTCAATGAAGAGTTTTGTCGGATTATAAATAAAGTATTTGATTTAAGATGACTTACAAGTGCTTCGTCGGTGGATTTAGAATCCAAAACATTCTTGTACCCTTTGTAGATTACGTCGTCTTCATCATCAGATTCAGAATCTGAGTTGTCTCTGTCTTTCACCTCCTCAAAATACCTACTCACACATGCTATACATAAAATAAAATAAAACCCATTTAATATTACCAACTTTACATTATGTGTACGTATGTAACTTGCTTTGGTAGTGTTTTTGTATATGTACCTTCGATAGAGTGAGAGAGGCCTTGGAGCTTTGTAGCGGTGGATTTGTGAAGGTCATCACCAGACCATATAGGAAAAATCAAGAGGCTCATGAAGAGACAAATGCCGATACCCATAGCAATGGTGTATAGTCTCTCATGAGCGACCGTAATCACAGTATCGAATGTGTAACTCGATACTGTGATTAGATTAAACGTCAGAAGAAATACAAGCAAGCCGTAGTCGTAGTTTCTCTTTATGTATGGTATAAATCTCATGTACGTTATCGTTGATCCTGTTACACATGTGAATATAGGTTTCTTTAAGTTAAAGAAATTAATTTCATTATGAAAGCTTTAGAAGCTTTTTGGAGAACAAATGAAGCAAACAAAATAAGTTAGATATGTCGGAAGGAAGATAACTCTTCCAAAACAAGAAAGAATAAAATGAAAGGTTCAATTATTATTAAAATTTGGATAATTTTTTTATTAATGTATGTCCACATAAATCGAGTTTGCAGACAAAACAATATTGTTCAAACGTGAAATATAAGTCATTCACGTTTACTGTGTTTTAGAACATTGTTCACACTTCAAATAGCACAAATTAACTAGTCCACATTAATTGGTTAAAAAAATGCATAATAAAATTAATTAATTAGTATATAACAAACAAAATACGTACCTATGATGAAAACAGCGATGCCAATGAAGATACCTCCAAAAACTTTACCGGAGTGAATAGCAACAAACTCCATTACATATGCCAAAGATCCTGCTACTAGTGTCCCTAATCCTCTATTTAATCCCTTGCGTAATGTTGCACCTGCAATAATATTAACTAAAAGTTAACTTCAACCAAGTTTTCCACCAAAATGTTTTTTTGCGTAGTTAATCGATAAGTTCAATCATAAAACATATTACTGTTTGAATTCATTTCTTTTGTGAAAGACTGATTTAAATCATAATTTGTCCTTTTAGAATAAAACATCATAGATTAATTAAGTTTGCAAGAAATGTAAGAATGTGACTATGAGAGAGAGAAAGAGATAAACACAAGTCCATGATTGATACGAATACAATTAAGATAGATCACAAAAAAAAAAAAAATGCAAATTATGGATATTATAATTACCGACGGAGAACTCGAGAACGACGACGACGGTCATGACTGCCCAGATTGCATTTTTCCCGACACCTTCGAAGAAAGGTTCCATGAGATACAATAAAGACACAAGTGTTAAGGCAACTCCTACTTTCAAAGCATGTTTCACTCTCCTTGTATCCTCTCTCCCGACATTCCAAAGATCTTGTAGAATCTTCTTCATCTTCTCCGGAAGTTCCAAAATTTTCTTCCTCGTTTTTCTTAAACCTTTGTCTTCCATGGAAATGTCCATGCTCCGTTCTTCGGCGACCTTGTTCATTTTTTATTTTCTTTGATCTTCTATGGTTTGTTGTTTACTTTCAGTGATATATATATAGACGTACTCTAGTGAAAACTATTTTAATGTGAAATGATTCTGTTTCTTTTGTACTCTACCTTATACATTTATGTACATGTAAAAAAAGTGGGTGAACTAAGAGAGACTCGTCTCCATCAACTTTAGATTTTTATTTAAATAATGGCATCTAAGATATTTCGAAATAAAAATGGTACTACATTTGATAATATTTAGGGACATGTACTTAATCATTCCTTTATATACACAGCATCATATTAGGTGAGACCGAACTAGTCTCCTCTACCGACTAGGACTAACCATTGCTTGATTTTGATGGATTTGGCTTAAGTGAGAGTGTTCGTATAGTAAATTCAAAATTTTTAGGGAGTTCATAGGGGTTTTGGCTTAAGAACATTAAGATTCATTATTTCGTTTCTATATATTTCTCAATTTTCGTTTTTATTTTTTCTCGATATGGAAAACTCAAAGCAAATCACTTTTCCATTTATTCTCAAAAAGATAACTATCAACTTTGGTCCACGACCACCAGAAAATTCTGAAGCAAACAAATTTGCAGATGAGACTGTCCTATATTTCTTCCTTTATGTCGACTTAATTCCATGTAATTTATGTTTCTTACTTTAATGAAAAGCTGTTCACAAAAAAAAAATGATGTATTTTCTTTGTACGATCATTTAATTCACATAGTTACCTTAAACGGATAAGAAAATGATATCTTGTTGAGTTGTTGTGGACCAATGTTACAAACTACAAAATGATGAGACTATAATACTATATTGATGGGTTTCAAAATAACTTGCCATAATGGATTATCATATATTTTGTTTTCATCATTAATTTGGGTTATACTATAAAGAAACTAAAATACAAAGATACGACAACAAGAAAACTAAAATATAACCAAACAAAAGAAAATAAATAAATTATAACCGTCACCAAAATACTATGCAACTAAATGTATACGAGAAACAAAACATTCATTTATACTAAACAATTTTATCATTTATTAGGGGTGATCCGCGCTACGTAGTTTTATTGTTTTTCTGCAAATTTAATATTGTTTCAAATATATTATACATATAGGGGTGTCAAAATGGGTAACCCAACCCATCCAACCCATTATCCAAGTGGATTTAGTGCTAATGGATCATGGATTAATCCAATCCATTTAGGAAATGGGTTGGTTTGATCCATTATCCATTTAATTAGATGGTTTTAATGGGTTAATGGATGAATGGGTTAATGGATGATCCACAAACAAATATAACTAAAAATTTATATATATTAAAATAAAGATAACTAAACAAAATCTATAAACATCACAAAAATCTATAACCCATTAAATCTGTAAAATCGTAAAATCATGTCTTTCCGCCAAAATCGTAAATCACATCTTTCCGCCGAAACCGTAAAATCGCAAAACACGATTTTTCATCAAAACCGTAGAACCACGTTTCCGTCAAAAACATAAACTCACTGTTTTTTGCAACGTAAAATTGTGATTTATGCACAAAACAGTAAAATCACGTCTTTCTCCCTAAACTGTAAAATCACGTTTTTCAACCAAAACCGTAAAAATCAGTTTTTCCATCAAAACATAAAATCACAACTTTCCCCAAAAACCATGTTTTGCGGTTATGGCGGATAACCTTGATTTTGCGGTTTTGATAGAAAATCGTGATTTTGCGGTTTTGGCGGAAAACTGTGATTTTGCGGTTTTGGCGGGAAACCCGTGATTTTGCGGTTTTGGCGGGAAACATGATTTTGCAATTTTGGCGGGAAACTGTGATTTTGCGATTTTGGCGGGAAACGTGATTTTGCGATTTTGGCGGGAAACTCGTGATTTTGCGATTTTGGCGGGAAACGTGATTTTGCGATTTTGGCGGGAAACTCGTGATTTTGCGGTTTTGGCGGGAAACTCGTGATTTTGCGGTTTTGGCGGGAAACTTGATTTTGCGGTTTTGGCGGGAAACTCGTGATTTTGCGGTTTTGGCGGGAAACCGTGATTTTGCGATTTTGGCGGGAAACATGATTTTGCGATTTTGGCGGGAAACCGTGATATTGCGATTTTGGCGGGAAACTCGTGATTTTGCGGTTTTGGTGGGAAACCTTGGCGGAAAACTGTGATTTTGCGATTTATACCAAAATTGTAAAATCGTTTTTTTTGTCAAATTTGTAAGATCATTCTTTTATGGTATTGTATTCAAATCCAACCAAATACAATTTTGGATTTATTATGTGGGAAAAAACATTTGATGTATAATTGTTTTTTTTTCTTTTAATAAAGTGGGTTAACCATTGATCCAACCCATTATAAACCAAACCATTTCAATCCAATCCAATTAATCCATCACCCATGTGAACCATTAACCCATTTGGATCCAAATTTTTAATCCATTTGGATTAATGGATAAGATGGATTGGGTCAACCCATGGATTTGGATCCATTTTGACACCCCTATACACATGTTACTTAAATATAATTATAGTTAGACAAATTTTTTGTACTATCTTGTTCTATTTCGTCCCATTTCGTTCATTTTCATCTTGTACATTTTTTCCCGTCCTGTTTGTCATGTATGTCTTGTCCCATTAAATCATATCCTATCCCATTATGATTTTTTCCATTTAGTTTATTATTGTCTCGTTCTCTAAATATAATTAGGGGTAAACATAATTCTATCCCATTTCGTTCCTTTTCATCTATTCATATTTTTTCTCATCCTGTTCGTTCTGTCCGCCCCATCCATTCCCATCATATCTTATTATGTTCATTTTCATTTTGTCTTATCTCTGTCTTATCTTTAAATAAAATTAGGGGTAGGCAAAATTCTCATCCCATTATGTCCTTCATCTCGTCCTTTCCAATCTCGTCACATTCCATTTCTTTTCATTTCGTCCCGTCCAACATTTCTGTCTTGTCCTTTCTCATCATATTTTTTTCGTTTTTTCGGTTCCACCTCTAAATATAATTAAAGGTAGGCGAAATTTCTGTCTTGTTCTATTCTGTTCTTTTCCGGTCCTTTAGATCTCGTCTCGTCATATTTAATCTCGTCTCTTTTCATCCAAAAATACTATTAAAAAACAGTGTTCTTTGTATAATATATTTTTTTTATTATTATTATTATTAAATAATAGTTTTTGAAAATTTATATATAATATTTCTTTTTTACAAAAATGACTTTTTAAATTTTTGCAAAAACTATTGTATTATTATTTAATAATTATATTAGTGAATGATCATAAAAAACTAAAATATAAAAAGTGAAAATATAATAAATTAAAATTAATAAATACAATGTTGATATGGTCAATTAGTGAATTTAGAAACACACACTTTGGATAGGTGGCAACATCAGGAATCACATTAACTTTATATATATATATATAGATAATAAAAACACATGAAGAAAAAAGTTCACCAATTCCATTCAAAAGAACTATAACAATTCTTGTTTCTCTACTATATATATTGATAAAAAAAAAAACATAAAACGAATGGAACAAATGTATTATTTTAGCATCCACATTGTGAACAATTAGCACCATGCGGGTTTAGATATGAGTACATGACTGATGACATAGCAAAAAATTATGTATTTTTAATATTTCATTCCTTTTAAGTCATTAATCATCTTTTTTTTTACTTAATCTACACCCATAATTGGCGAGTGTCCATAAATTTTTGGATGTATCTCTTCTTCTTTGTTGATTATTTTTTTTTCTCGAATGTATCTCATTCTCATGTAGTACTTATGGATGGATGTACGTATCTTTATATAGACATGTCTACAAAATTCTGTATCGATTTCCAGCAAACTCCGGAACCTTCATTTTCTTATAGTCGGACTATTATTTTATCTTATTGGAGATTGGAGAATTTACTTTAATCCTTTTAAGATTTGGACGGTGCCTCCGTTAGAATTTTTAGTTTTTAAGCAAAATTCTTCCATGAAATCGGTGTTTTAATTTGATGAATAAAGTCGGCAAGGAAAACAAATTTGATGGATGTCAATTTGTCCCAAAATGAATGGACAGTAATGAGTCTTTTCATTTCGCTGCTACAATGATTAATTGGACACACCATTTAACATTAACTTGACTTTTCCCACAGTATTACATATAACATGATCATGATGTATATATAGTTTAGTGGTTTACATATAACTTGATCATGATGTAAATTAGTAGATATAGTTTAATTAAATAAGATTTCCACTATTGAATCATTCGATTATTCCATCATTCTACTATTCATCTGATATATCAATTTCTTTTCATCATTTTCAAACGATTTTTATTGAAAACATAATTTAAATTTTTGTAAAATAATTATGAAAAAGTATAGAATATCTCTAGTTTGTACATCTATCTTTAAAATCTAAATCTACAAGCATAATAGCAATTGTCCACTATAAATCATATATATAAATTGATGTCAACTCTCTCCATATGATTGACATGTGGACATTCATTGGATTGACATATGACAAAACCTTTAAAGAGAATAGTCTCTTCACATTCTTAACCGTTGTAGTCATTACATACATGTTTTAAAAAACTGTCGATTGCTTCACCTTCCACGTTATATTAACTTTCTATTACTTGATTAAGAATGTGAAGAAACTATTCTCTTTAAAGTTTTGTCATATGTCAATCCAATGAATGTCCACATGTCAATCATATGGAGAGAGTTGGCATCAATTCATATATATGATTAACCTTCTATTACTTGATATATGATGTGACTTTTCCTCTTCCTTCCAATTTATAAATCTAAATCTTATTTTTTTGCTAAATATTCAATTTCTAAACAAAGACGGGAAATCAAAGTTCGTTTAATGTGGTAGTAAATAAATAAAGAGAGTTGATGGCAAATAAACATGTGGTATAATGCAAAATATAGATTTGAAAGTCACCTGCCAACCAGATAAATTGAAATTAAAATGTGGGTATTGTTTGGATTATAGTTTATACTATTAATAATCGCAAACCTAAAATTATTTGAACATTTTCTAAAACTATAACAATTGGAAAAACCCGCGCATATGCACGGGCATTGGTCTAGTACATTTTGAAACATTTTTGTGGTGGAATACAAAAGAGGGAACATATAACATGCTATTTAATTTGTCGTTTTTAATAAAATTATGGGAAAAAGGCAAATGTAAAGCGGCAACTTGCGAAATATCTCAGAAGCTTATAGATTTCTGATATCTTTTTTCGCTTCAATAATGCATTAATATGTAAATATCTTTGTATATAAGATAAGAATAACCATTCTTATCTAAAATATGTTAATACTCTAGAGACTAGAGGTATGGAAAACACCTTGGAGCATATAGATGCATATATGGCTGTTTTTGCAAAAACTATACGATAGATATTTCTTATAAACATAAATGTTTGTTAATGCTATGCGGGTATAATCACAATGTTTGATCTCCGATGGATACATAAATACTCAAAAACATAAGTATTCTTACTTGTACAATTTATACAGCTATACATGCCCGTCTTTGGGCAAACTGAGAAGCGTGGAGAAAATAAAATTAAGACGTTGGTAAAGCATTTGAGTGGAGCAGAAGATGACACCGGTTTTACTTTTACCCCAACTTTTTTATTTTTATAATTTGGGATATATTTTTGGTCTATGGAGGAGTTCGGACTAATCTCTAAGGAAGGTATAGTCCAATGCCAAAAGATATACGTATAAAAATTTATTAGCACCACCTCTCATGTTACAACCGAACCAAACCAAAACCAAAATAAAACAACATCATACCGATTGGTTCAACCTCAACCTTTTAAATGTAATCATACGCTATGATATGATTCGGCGTTTTTAAGAACACGAGTTTGAGTGTCGCTCACGTGAATGAAACTAATATAACATGCGATAATGGTCTCCAAAACAAAAACTGTTGTTTGATCGAAACCGTACATTCACTCCACACCAACCACTAGATCCGACGGGCAATGCCAAAAGATATACGTATAAAAATTTATTAGCACCACCTCTCATGTTACAACCGAACCAAACCAAAACCAAAATAAAACAACATCATACCGATTGGTTCAACCTCAACCTTTTAAATGTAATCATACGCTATGATATGATTCGGCGTTTTTAAGAACACGAGTTTGAGTGTCGCTCACGTGAATGAAACTAATATAACATGCGATAATGGTCTCCAAAACAAAAACTGTTGTTTGATCGAAACCGTACATTCACTCCACACCAACCACTAGATCCGACGGCTTCTCGACACGAACCTCTACATCCGTCTGGTCAACATTGCTATCGTACTCCTTGAAGCATGCAACCGTTCCCAGCTCCTCCACTTCCTCGATAACATTGTCAAGCCTCGCCACCATTTCAACAAGAAGCGACGCAAACGCAGCAAACGGTAACGCCTCCGAGAATTCAAGACTCGTCATCACCACAATCTTGCTCAGCTGTTGCCTCAAAACCCGTCGTTCTCCAGTCGCCGCCGTTGGTCTACGTTCTAACGTATCAGCTCGCAATCTAGATAACGAAACGCCAGCGTTTGGTCCAAAACGCGTTCCGCTTGGCGTTCCAGCGTTTTGACGTGAAATGGCACCGTGGGGTCCCAGACGTGATCCGGTTTCGTTATGATGCGAAACGATGTCGTTTGTGTTGGGATTGTGTCTACCGCTATTGCCGTTTCCGTTAGAGCCAAGGAAGAGTTTAGGTTGTGATTTGATGGCGGAGTTGAGATCACGTAATGCCACCTGGAGACTGTCGGAGAGAATCTCCGGCGAACAGTGACGTCGGTTTCGAATGCTTGCGGCGAGTTCCGACAAAACCTTGCAGATTTCTACGGCTAAACCAAAAATCTACTAAGTTGCTAATTAGGTTATAGATCGTACGTACAGTATTCTTGTGTGACATAAATGCAAGTCCATTTAAGAAATTTAATGTCTTCCACAATGTAAATATTTACATCACAAGAGTTAGAATAGTATAAAAATGTGCTCCGATCCATTTTACTTACTATTCTCTTTAACATTTTTCTTAGTTTTTGTTATTTTCATTGCGATCAATTCTTCAAGCTCAAAATGTTAATATATTTGTTTTCTTCTTCAAAATATTAATATATTAAACATTCTTGTTTAAAAATATATATATACCTGAATTTCCGTTTTCAAGCAGCCATGAAGAGCGACAACAGTGTAACCAAACTGACGAAGAACAGCTCCAACTTTAACATAATGTTGCCAAGGGAATCTATGGCAATGTCTTGTGTGTCTTGGCTCCCAACTTGCATACATTGCCTATATATACATGTTCTCATGTTATTTTGATATGAAATTTTCTTCGAGTTTTGAAGTTAGCATTCGATTTAAATAACTTACGAGTGCTTCATCGGTAGATTTAGAATCCAAAACCGTCTTATACCCATTATAGATCATGTCTTCTGATGATTCTGATGTTTCTTTGTCTTTCTCATCCTCCTCAAAGTACTCATTCACACATGCTAAAAAAAAAAACATATATATAAATATATAATTAAGAGAAAGTTTTAGTTAATTGGGAGAAATACAAATAAAAACAGCACTCCCTAAAAAAAATCATATCGCAAATAACCTTATGAAATACACCAATGATTGAATCGGTAAAAAATTTCTAATTTTTTCTAATCAAAATATCTCTTAGCTTCTTTGTAAAGTTATTTGATTAAATTCAAAACTCTATGTTTTTAGAATTCATATTAGAAATAAGATAAAACCTAAAGTAATATATGCAAGAAATATATCACAAATTCGAATCAATCAACGTTACATTACATACCTTCAATGGAAAGAGAGAGACCTTGAAGCTTAGCCACGGTAGTCTTATGGAGGTCCTCACCGGACCATATAGGAAAAACCAAAAGGCTCATGAAGAGGCAAATACCAACACCAATGGCTATAGTATAGAATCTCTCATGTGCAATCTTAATCACAGTGTCAACTCTATAACTTGACACTGTTATTAGATTGAACGTCAAGAGAAATATAAGCATGCCGTAATCGTAGTTCTTTTTTATGTATGGGATAAATCTCAAATATGTAATCGCCGCTCCTGTTACATAAAAAAAAATGTATAACCAATGTTAAAAAATTGCAGCTCCGATTTTAAAAACATCCACAAATTAATTCATACCAATGATGAAAACGGCAGCTCCAATGAAAATGGCTCGGAAGATTTTGCCATTATCGCTATTCTTATGAGCAAATTATCTTTCTCCATGCATTACAAAAGAAAAGAAAAAAGAAAAGAAAAAAGAAAGATGCTATAATTACCGGCAGAGAACTCAAGAACGACCACAACGGTCATGACTGCCCAAATTGCACTATTTCCGATGCCTTTGAAGAGAGGTTCCAGGAGATACAACAAGGACACAAGTGTTAAAGAAACTCCAACTTTTAAAGCATGTTTCACTCTTCTTGGATCTTCTTTTCCAACTTTCCATATATTCTTTAGAATCTTCTTAATCTTCTTCGGGAGTTCTTGAATCTTTTTAGTCGCCTTTTTAGACCCTTCCTCGTCCATCTCAATCCTCCTTTCATGGACCTTGTTGGACATTTTTTTGTTCGGTGGTTTTTCTTTATTCTTTTGAAATTGAGAAATGTTGATTATGCAAGAGTTTTGGTTGAAGGTGTAGTCTCTATATATAATGGTATGCATATACGTATAAATAACATGTCTATATTGTCTATGTATGTGTGTATAATTTGTTTATTTCTGTAGAGATATTTGTTGGGGTGTGAGATGATGGTCTGATTTTCAAGGCTTTATATTAATAAAAATAAATATTATTTTGCTATTTTATTAGACATTTTTCTTCAAATAAAGTCTTGATCATTTTGATATTAAAATTTTGTAATGTTTCCTTCTGTATATATATAGTTTCAGAAGTATATAATTTACACCACTGGAGTTTTAAAATGTTTTGTCTTGTTAAGGTTGAAGTGATGATACTTGTTTTTGTCAGAGTGATGAGAGATTTGAATTGATGGGTTTCACATGACTTGCAATAATTTGATAAGTGATTAGAGATTGGAGATTTGTTTATTTCTCTTTGTTCCCTTGGGAAAAAGTCAAAATATAGTAAATCTAAATTAATGGCGCCCGTTTTGCCGTTCAAAACAAAAATGTTAATGGACTTTCCATATTTCACCTGTAATTCAGAATTTAAAAGGTCCGAATTATTTTTGGATCCACCATTTATATGCATGCATGTGTCACACAATATTCAAAATAATCACAACAATATTTAAAAAAAGAAAAAATAATTTACATCGTCTGTGACTCTGCACATACTATAAGATATTCAGATCTTAGTTTGCTATTGACAAGTACTTTTTCTCTGAAGGAAAATTAAAAAATAAGTATTTCTGTATTTCTTTTTATTTTAAATTAATGAAAACCCTTTATCAAAAAAAAAAATTAACAAATAATTCTTTTAACAAATTTCTTCATCTGAAAGTAGGCAAAAAAATTTCTTTAAGTTGTGATAATCTAAAAATTATAAGTGATTTCAAGTATCAAACAAATGAGCTGCGTTTTCAGTTTTCGCTGTCGTATTTAACCTAACTCATTGAAAAGCTGAATTAATATACTACAGAAGTGAAAATAAATTTGATTACGTGGTTGAATTTGTTATCAACACGAACTAAGACTTATAATTTGTCGTGTTAGGTTGAAATTATAGCATTTGTCCACAACCTGGTGACAGCAGAAGACCAAAAAAGAAAGAAAATATTATCGAAATAAATACTTAAATTGATCTACCTATGACTCATCGACGTAACAATCATACAATTAGTAAATAGGTAACCATCCAATAATTAATACTATACATCTAATGACGGCGATAAGGACACACCTAATATTTAACTAAACCACTAATGAATAATGATATGGTTTCCTCGTAGATATTTTATTTTTCTCACAAGTCCTTGACTTCAGAAGTATTTACTCTCTTCGTTTCAAATTCATTACCATTTTGGAAAAATATATCTGCAATTATATAGATGAATCTGGATGTGATTTGAGTTTAATACATCTAGATAATTAGAGATACATTTTTTCGAAAACGACAACTAATTTAAAATGAAGAAAATATTAACATTTCAAATTTTAATCACATAGATATCGATGTTAGCGATTGACTAACACTTAGATGTTGTATGTTCACATATAGAAATGTCCAATGTTAATTGATCGTTGTCTCAACAAAAGGTAAACTGTTTTTTTGTTTCATAGCAATACCAATGACTATATTTTAAAATTTGCTAGGCACAAATGAGGAGGTGGGATGAGTCTGTTGTAATATAAAGCACCGGTTAATTCCCAAAGATAACTTTGTTCTTTGCGATAATGCGATCGTCTGCAGGCAATAACTTTGACAAGAACATTATGGATCATTATATCGATGAAATCAATTTAAAGTACAACAAAAACATTCGCAAGGATAAAAGATCCGTTAGAACGCTCCTCCGTAAATATGAGAGGGCTAAAATATGTCTTAGCCAGCATAAGAAGGTTCAGATTAATAGGTTCTCACTTATTGAAGATGTTTATTTCTCCGAAAGAGCTAAATCAGAAAAGTTGAACAAGTCACTGTTCAAGAAAACCTTGCAATTCGTGAAGAAGGTCTAGACTAATTAATTAGCAACATGATCGATGAGTTTGTTCTTGTTGGTAGAAGCACTACAAAGTATAGCGAATTTTATAACATTGTTTTTTAGGGGGAATTGTGATTGTACACAGAAAAGAGGGAAGGTTTGTTCATATACACATTTTCATGTTTTTACCTATTTTTGCTTTTAATACCCTTTATATATTTTAAAATATGAAATAGTTTATTTTAGAAACCCAAAATGTTTCTGAAAATCAGATAAATGATCTTAAGACTTTGTATAATATTTTCACAATTTGTTTTCAACAATATGATTTTTGAAAAATATATTGAAGTTTTCTTCTACCATCTCTGAAATTCAAAGTAGAATATGCATCATACTCGTTTTTATTACATCTACTGACCCTAGAATTCGATGTCTACCATTTCTACACACATCTTCCCTCCGTAGAACACAAGTTCTATAATATATGATACCTCTACTATTAGTAGAATATCAGTGCTACCTGTTACTCTATGTTCTGCGATTTTGTAAATTTGGTAGAAGTTATGTTCTACCGAAAACAAATATTCTTCCATGTTTTAGAATATGTTGTCTACGTGAAACACAGCCTTCTATGTATTCATAGATTTTGTATTCTACCACATACATTATCTCTTACCATTCGTATTCTACTAAAAACCACTTTTCTACCATATGGTAGAGCTCGTGTTTCTTCTACCGGAAATCTTAGAGAATATTTTCAAATATTTTTTGAATATTTTCTTTCCTTTTTCTTATCCCAACTTCTCCCACGACGAAATTGTAGCAACTTCTTCTCCATCCCATCTTCTTAGTCCTCATCTTCATCTTCTTCTTCTTCTCCTATACACAAAACTTACTAGTTTCTCTTATTCCTCTTAGTTACTATGTTGCAAATCTATGTTACTTGTGGTGTTTGGAAATCTTGTGGGAATTTTGTTGCTGATGACGCCAAAGGAGGTAGATTAGTAGTTCTGGAATCTAGCATTACGTTTAAGGAGTTAAAGATAACGGTTGTAGAGGACTTCTCGGTCAAAACTAAGGATAAGATAGAGCTTAGTTATCTACCGGGTGGTTTAATCAATGATGCAAGATATCCACGAGTTGTGATTGGCAATGATCGGCAGTTGAAAAACTTTGTTGGGTATATGAGGAAATTAAGCTGCGTCGAAACATTTGTGTGTCTCCTTTACAGATCTTGTTCAGGTTGTAAACAATGGAATCAACACCAACATGAATACATAGCCAATTAAAGGGTTTACACCTTTAATCAATTTTAAGGGTAAAAAGAAATTATAAGTTTAGAAAATGTGTAGTAGGACAAAAATCTCTCCAAATTGTACATTGGGACAGCTGTGTATTTTGCCAATTTTCTCTTTTTTTATAGCATCAAACTAATATTTAACCTTGATTTGGCTAATAGATAAGTGGTTTTGCTCTAATAAGTATGGAGTTCGAGCAACGTGTGTACAATAGAAGCACATTTTTATAAATCTTTTAATAAGGAGCAACACTGTAGTTCTACAATTTGTCTTTTTTCATCGAGACTTCCTGCTGCTTTCAATATTTTTTCACATATGAACCTAATTGTCATTATTATCAAGTTTTGAAGTAGTTATATTATTAAGAAATTGTAAGAAATATACACAATTTAATTATATTTGTTCTAATTTTAATATATAAGTTTCAATTCACTAATCTTTGACTATCGTTAAGATTTTGACTATCGTTAAGATTTTGGGGTTTAAGGTTTAAATTTAAATGTTTTATGTTAGATTTTAGGGTTTACACTTTATGGTTTAAAATTCTTTCAACTCAATGAAAAAAATGTAGTTTTGAAAATGACATTTTAAAGGTGTAGTTTTGAAAATTGACACATTTATTTATTCGGTGAGCTTGTTAAATTTTAGATATTAGACTTTATGCAAGTTAAATACTTCCTCCGCTTCAAATTAGTTGTCGTTTTGGAAAAATGTATATGTAATTATCTGGATGTATTAAACTCAAAACACATCCACATACATCCAAATAACTACAGATATATTTTCCCAAAACGACAACTAATTAAAAATTGAGGGAGTAGATACTCTTTCTACATTTTTAATAACCAACTACGATCAACTCATCAAAATTTTAAACAACATACAGTACTGTCATACTGTATATTTCTTAAGCTTCCTAAAAAATCATATACTATTGGGACCCATTCTTCCTTCATATAAAACTCATATTGAGGAAAAGATCAGAATATGTATACACACAAACATGTATATACAGAACTCCGAAAATTGCTCATATGTTTTCAGTTTCAGACAATCCAAAGATAATCAATCACTGTCTATTTCAAAAACAAACTTCACAGTTAAATAACATTTTTAAAGTTGTCAAGAATCAAAACCAGAATCTAAATGGATTGATCTCGAGATTTAAAATCTGCTAATGAAACACAAAGTTCTAAATCTTTTCTCTGATTCACTCGCACTAATCAGCAAATCTTTCTCTTTGGTGTTCATTCATTGTTTTTCAATGCAGTAACGGCTGAAGTTTCCCATCCGAAGAGATCACTAAGCCTTTCACTTTTGCAGCTTTTGTTTTGGATCTTCTTGGCAGAGTCTTACAGTCATGATCCTCCACGAACTCATCTCCCACATCTCCATCTTCATCAATCCTGAGCTTCGTTGAGTACCAACGCAGTCCCTGATCCAAACAAGCAATAGTATAATTCTCAGTCAAAGCTTAATTCCATCAAAATCACTTATTGAACACATAGATATCATCACATTAGGACACTCAAATCATCATCTTGCTTCACCAATATAACCAACTAAGATTCTTAAGACCCTCTATTGTAGCCTCAATGAGTCATGATGTATACACAATCATCATCATGCTTTGTAGATTACTCTTTTCCTAGTAGAGTGATACTGAAACTAGTTGCTTCTACAGATTTTCTTCTACCGCAACAAGTCGGAGGCAATCATATATATCATGGCTTAACCGTAACCTTTCAGGACAGCTCAACAGTTTGAGACACCACACAGTGACACAAATGAATGAACTATCATATCTACAGTCTACAGCTAATTTGAGAGATCATTTTGCAGAAACCATACAGAAAGTGATGGACGTAAAGCCATCGACAGAGAAATGCACAAACAAGGGTTCGGATTCGATATCTATCAATGTTAAGCTAAGGACATTAAATTAACAATCATGCTACAGAACCAAAGACATTAAATTTAACAAATCATGCTACAGAGTACAGAGAAGGCATAAAATCTGCAGTATGAGATTCAAAATCTTCATCAAGTCTAAAGCCAAAGCCAAATAACAGAATCAGTATCAAGTAATCAATCTCATTCATTTCTTCCATCCCTAGAATTTCACAAAGCAAATGCAATGAAAAACTAAAGTTTATAACTTGTTAAGAAGAAGCATTAAGCCTAAACCATACTTCAGAATCAGAACGAAACAAGCAAAATCAAACAATCATCGACCGAAAGTCAAAGACTAACCTGAACACCACCGTCTGCAGCAGCACAAGGCTGAAGAATAGGACCAGGATTGGGGCGTTCGACGGCGACTTGAACCGGAACACCAAAACCTTTCCTCGGAAGTCCGGTCTCACGGAACCTCGGCTGATTCTCCTCCCGACGTTTATCACCACCGTCGCCGCCGGAGACTGCTCCGTTCTTAACTCCGTCAACTTCTCCGTCTCTCGCAACTTCGTGATGCCCAAACCCGAAAATCCCCGTTAACTTCTTCATGAAACCCATTATTACCCAACACCCACAAAATCAAATTCGAACTCAACAATCTAATTCGATGCAAAAGCTCTAACAAAATCACAAAAATACAGTTTTTTTTCTCTCTCAATCGATGCTTTCCCAGAAGTTTGAGTATACAATCGAGATTAGGTTTGGAATATCCCTTTCTTTTCCCTCAAATTTGTCTACTTTCCTCGATCGCGTCTCAATCCATACCAGTTGATTATCGAAACACTGAAAAAGTTTGTAGGATTTTGGATCAAAGACGGATCGAGGAGGATCTTCTTCTACCTTTAAGCCTTTTCTGAATCTAATAAACCATTTTTACTAACGGCACCGTATATAGATAAAATTTCCACCTATTTTTTTTCGTTTCCTGCCAAAAAGAAATAAATACATTACCTTTTTAAAATTTTGTCTTCCAGTCTTTTTTTTCCTTCAAAAGGAAATAAATAAATTAAATTTCCAATTTTTTCTTCTCAAAACCAGTGGTGAATCACTAAATTCATGAATATACACATTGGTCAATGAAAATGAAAGAGTTGTCAAACAGGAAATTGGCATATGATGGGGTAAGAGAAAGATTTGTTTTGTGTTGTTCATGTAAAATTATCAAAAATCCTGAAAAATTAACTAAAAATAAATAAGCAAAAAATCTAGCTTATATGGAAAGTTGGAAACAAAAATAGGCAAGTGTAAAAGCTAAACATTTGAAAATGCGACAACATTTTTACAGGTCACATAACATTTTTCTTTAAGCGTCATAGAAATAAGTTTTAAGACCATCTCCAACCCTCATGCCATATGTTATTGCAAATGGCAAAAATATAGCAATAGCATTGGGTTTCTCTCCAACCCCTCATGCCATATATCATGCTATAATTTTTTTCCAACTTATTATTAATTGTTAAAACTACTTGATTTCTTCAAATTTTACAAAGTGAATCATTTGTTTTTCTTTTTTTGCAAAAACAACCAGAATTATATTTTTATTTTTTTATTATTATAATATTAAAACAAAATACATCATATTACATAAAAATTATAGAAAACAAAGATTTTAACCTATTGTTTTATGTTTTTTGAATTTCAGTATTTTTAAAAATAAAATTTTAAGTTTATTATGGTTATGTTTTTATATTTCTATGAAATAAATATTATTTATATTTTGAAAAAGTTATGAGTATTGTTTATTTATTTAAATAAATCATAATCAATATAATTAAACTGTTAAATTAAAAGTAATTACAAATTGAAGGACTATTTTATAAATAAAAAAGTTCAATGGCAAAATAGCATATTGCATAATCTCATGCCAAATATAGAAGCAAAAATAGCATGATGCTATTTTGCAATAGCATATGCAATTGGGTTGGAGCAAAAATTATGGCAAAATAGCATATATGTCATATTTAGCATGGGGTTGGAGATGCTCTAAGAGTTCTCAAGAAATTCCGAATCTGATTTTGACAATTAAGAGCATCTCCAACCCAGCCCCATATTTCACCTTTATTGTCATTTTGGAGTCAATTTTGCTCTAACCCAACCCCATTTTCAATCTCAAAATGGCAAAATGCCATATTTTTTCCAAAAATGAGATTGATCCCATTTTCATCTCCATTTTAGAGTTGAAGTTTTTAATTTATATAATAGTCCTTGAAGTTTTAAATTAATTCAGTTTAAGATATATAATTAATTATTTTGATCTTTATTTTTACTCTAAAATACAAATAACACATATTTAATAAGAAATTTAATTATTTAAGCTAATCATAATTTTTTTTAAAAAAAAAGAAAAACACTTTTATTAGAAATAACATAAAAAATAAATTTATTAAAACAACTTATTACTGATTTTTAATTTAATTTAGTTTCCGGATCTACCAATATCACTAAAATATTGTCCAAAAGAAGTAGTTTGTGAGAGTTCCTGTTGAACTTATTACTTAACTAATTGTGAAATTTTAGAAGAAAAAAAAATATATGGAGCAATTTGTAATTGATATAAATATACAATGTAAATTTAGTAATTATTAAAAAGTTATTTAAAAAGAATATTCTAGGACTATTATTTTTGAAGCAAAAAATGAAGCAATACATTGGAGCAAAACTCAACTCCATTTTGAGATTACTTCATTTTGGAGCAAAATATGGAGCAATACATTGGAGATGCCCTAGTAAATATGCAAGTTAACCAAACGGAAAACAGATAAGCAACTTAGATAAATATGTGCACAGTGCACTTACACGATTTTTTTTTTCTTTCTGTAAAACTATAAATAGCAAAAAACCCTTTTGAACTTGAAAAATGCCAATAGTCAGAGTAAAATGTATATCAGGACATATACAGAATTTACAGTCATATACTCATACCAAGGGGTGAGCCGCTTTTCGCGCGGGTTGTGTTAGTTTTATTGTTTTTCCACAAATTTAATGTTTTTTCAAAGATATTACACACATATTACTTAAATATAATTAAAGTTAGGCAAAAATTTTGTACCGTCTTGTTCCATCTTTTCCCATTTTGTTTATTTTCATCATGTACATTCTTTTCCGTCTCATCCGTCATGTATGTCCCATCTCGTACAGTCTCATCCTATCCCATTTTGTTATGTCGTATTTTGTTTCGTCTCGTCTTGTTCCCTAAATATAATTAGGGTTATGCATAATTCTGGTAAATTCTCTTCCCTTTCATCTTATCCTGTTATGTTTGTTCTGTCCACCCCATCCAATCGCATCCTATCCTATTATGTTTTTTTTTTTCATTTTATATTGTCTCTGTCTCGCCTCTAAATATAGTTTGGGTTATGCAAAATTTCTGTCTCGTCCCTTTCCATCCTACTATGTACATTTTCATCTCATCTCGTCCAATCCCGCCACATTATATTTATTTCATTATGTCCCTTTCTGTTTCTGGGCAAGGGAATCAAAACGGTTTCGTTTTTTTTTTATTGAATCCGCCGGGGTCCTGTTCAACCTTTATGTCTTGTCCTCTTTCATCATGTTTTTTCCGATTGTCCTTTGAGCGGCTTCTCTCTCCTCTCTCCCTTCTCTCTAGATCTAAATAAGCGATTGCCTTTCTCGTCTCTCCGGTGACCGGCGTTCTTCGTCGGCGCTGTGAGAGACACCTTTTCTTTTAAGTTTTCTTTTCCTTTTGGCCGGCGCTTCATTCTCGGTGGCCGAGTTTACCCTAGCTGTTCCGGTGGCGACTCTTCCTCGAGGCAGAGAAGGGTATTCCGGTGGAAAGCTCTGCAGATCTGGATCCGTTGAGGACATGATCCGGTGAAGCTTCCTCAAGCTTGTGTTTGCCGGCTACTCTCTTCTCCTCTCTTTCGGTGTAGTTGTTTTCTGTGTCTCTCCGGCGGTTGATGGTGGTAGGTTCGTGGCGGGTTGGTCTGCTCGGTGGTGGTAGAGGAGTTCTTGGGAGCTTGAACTAAAGGGAGTTTGTTGAGTAAGGCTGTTTGTTTGAGGACGCGAATGGCTCTTGAAAAGGGACTTCCGGCGGCGGCTGAACTGACGGCGACGGTGCTTTAGTACCGGATCGGCTCTCTCCTCTTCAGATCTGCCTCCTCACTTCTTTCTCCGGCATTTTCTTGGTGGTGGCGTGTAGGAGCGCATGGTTTCTCTCCCTGAAAAGTGGCGGTTTTGTTCACGGCGGCAACTTTTCCCTAGTGGCGGTGGCGACGGCAGCCGCAGCTCCTCGTTCTCAGATCTAGGGTTTTCAGTGTATCCGGTTTATCCCGGTTAGCGGGTCAATCGGATTAGGGTTTTCGCTAAACTGGACCCGTTTGGGTTTTATTGGGCTGTTTTTGTTGGGTTTTCTTTTAGGTTAGTATGTTTCAGAAAGCCCATTTTATTTTTTATTTTTTAAAATGTAACTTACTTATATATTTAATGAAAACCCTTTATCAAAAAAAAAAAAAATCATGTTTTTTCTTTCTGTTAAAGGTAGGTGGAATTTATGTCTTGTCCTATCTCGTTCTTTTCTATTCCTTTAGATCTCGTCTTGTCACTTAATATAATAGGAAGTAAACAAAATTCCCCTATTTTCAAGTTCTATTTTTTTCGTCTCGTCCTGTTCGATCTCGTCTCATTTTATTCCAAAATACTAAAAAAATGTTTTTTCTATAATATCTTTTTATTATTATTATTACTAAATAATAATATTTTTAAGATCTATACATAATTTTTTTAAATGGCTTTTCATATTCTTATTAAGTTAGTATAGTAATAAATGATAATTATTATAAAAATTAAAATAGAAAAAATATATAATAAATAAATTAATATGCTGAATTTAGAGATATCCTCTTCTGCTGAGGTGGCATCACCAGAATAGAATAACATAAACTTTATATATATAGATTTCATCACCAAAGTCTACTAAATTATTATTATTTATTGATTTATTTTTTATTTTTTTGTCAACAAGTCTACTAAATTAAAAAAAAAAAACATAAAATGTAATTTCAGAAAATTCATTTTTGTAGGAAAACAAAGCCAATTAAGATTTAACGGCCTGGAACTGAATAAAACGGGCCCAATAATATAAGCCTGGCCCAATATCCGTATAACGACGACTAATATCGCATTTCAGAGTTGTTCAATTTCGTCGTCGTCTTCCTCTTCCTCTTCATTCCTCCGACACCCGAGATCTCGTCGTACCTCTGATTCGAATCTCAAAACCAGCTCGCTCTTTGTTGCAAGTTGATTCGATCCGTGCTTCGAATCGCTTGGATCGAGAAGATGCCGGTGGCTGCTTCCGCTATCTACTTTCTAAATCTCCGCGGCGATGTACTCATCAATCGCACATACCGAGACGACGTCGGGTGAGAGAGCTTCTCTGGTTTTGTACCATTTCTCTTTCTAGATACTTAGTATATGCGAAATTTGGATACATTTCTCAGCTGTGTGTTTGTGTTCTATCGCTTCTAAGATTTTAGCTGTGGGATTCTGAGATTTTGTATTTGATTGATTTGGTTCTTAGGGGGAATATGGTGGATGCATTTCGTACGCATATAATGCAGACTAAGGAGTTAGGGAATTGTCCTGTGCGTCAGATTGGTGGCTGCTCCTTTGTGTATATGAGAATCAGCAATGTCTACATCGTCATTGTTGTCAGTAGCAATGCTAATGTTGCTTGTGGATTCAAATTCGTCGTTGAGGTGGTTTTTTTTTTTCCGAAATAGCTTTGCTTCTTGTTGAAATTTTGAAAGAGATTCATATTGATTCTTCACACGTTCAGGCTGTTGCTTTGTTCAAATCATACTTTGGTGGAGCTTTCGATGAAGACGCTATTAGAAACAACTTTGTTCTCATTTATGAATTGTTGGACGGTAAGTATACCTTATATAGTTTCATTGTTAAACTACTTTCTTCAAATCTTTTTCGGTTGTATTAATAATATTTGGTATGGAAATTGCAGAGATCATGGACTTTGGCTATCCACAAAACCTCTCTCCTGAAATTTTGAAACTTTATATCACTCAGGAAGGTGTAAGATCACCGTTTTCATCAAAGGTAAGGGCATCTATTCATGTGTGTATACAGCAGATTTTGAATTGTGTTGGTGTATGTTTGTACGTTTTTCCATTGATAAGTTTGTTTTCATTTGTTAAAAAACTGACAGCCAAAAGACAAGCCTGTTCCAAATGCAACATTACAAGTTACGGGTGCTGTTGGTTGGAGAAGAGAGGGTCTTTCTTATAAAAAGAATGAGGTAAGAGTTGTTTTTTTTTTTTTTTCCTCTGTGTGTTTCATTTGCTAGATTGTACACAAGTGTTGATATTATCCGTTTTCACTACTTGCAGGTGTTTCTGGATATTGTGGAAAGCGTGAACCTTCTGATGTCCTCTAAAGGTAAAATAGTTACTTTTTTTGGAAGGTTTAGTTGTTTGCTTCTAGATTTCCTTAGTATGACAGTTTTTGCACATTATCGCAACTTTTAGGCAATGTTCTTCGGTGTGATGTGACGGGGAAAGTTCTAATGAAATGTTTCCTCTCGGGAATGCCTGATTTGAAGTTGGGGTTGAATGACAAAATTGGTCTTGAGAAGGAATCGGAAATGAAATCTCGCCCAGCTAAGAGGTAGGTTTTTTTTTTTTTTTTTTTTCTGTTAAAACAGTGATCCACACTAGCCACTGACTTGTCTTAGGTGCTCACTTACTCACTCTTGTTGTGTGTGCAGCGGTAAAACCATTGAGCTTGACGATGTCACATTTCACCAGTGTGTGAACCTCACGAGATTCAACTCCGAGAAGACTGTAAGCTTTGTACCACCGGACGGTGAATTTGAGCTGATGAAGTAAGTTTTGAAAATGCTCACTGTTGCGTATTGTTCGGTAATCTGTAGTACTAAATGTGTTTCTCACTTTATGATGTCTCTCAGGTATCGAATCACAGAGGGCGTGAATCTACCTTTCCGCGTATTACCAACAATCAAAGAACTTGGTCGTACACGCATGGAAGTTAATGTCAAGGTAAATAGCTTTCCTTCTCAAAGATTAAAGGAATAAAAAAACTGGATTGATCTTTGGTCTCTTACAAATCTGCTCTTGTGCTTTGTCTTTTCAGGTCAAAAGTGTGTTCGGTGCTAAAATGTTTGCCCTTGGGGTTGTGGTTAAAATTCCAGTGCCAAAACAAACCGCAAAGACAAATTTCCAAGTGACAAGTGGTCGCGCTAAGTACAATCCATCCATCGATTGCTTGGTTTGGAAGTGAGTTTTACACACCCTTTTAAGAATTCAACTGGTTGGTGTTTTATCAGTCGCTTACCTTCTCTCTCTTTTACGCTTTAGGATAAGAAAATTTCCAGGACAAACAGAGTCAACACTAAGTGCAGAAATCGAGTTGATCTCAACAATGGGAGAGAAGAAATCTTGGACGAGACCACCAATCCAAATGGAATTTCAGGTCCATCTTCTTCTCTTGTTGGCACCTTTAAAATAGAACCGGTTTTTTTTCTTTACAGGCGATTTTGTTAACCGTCTCAGCTTTGTTCTCTCTTTCCAGGTACCAATGTTTACAGCATCTGGTTTGCGAGTTCGCTTTCTCAAGGTACGCTCTAATTTCTCTATCCATCCAAAAATCTTCAAGCCATTGTGTCATTAAAGTTCTGTTCCAATCTTTTGCTCCATTTCCTTCTCGTTGATTGCTTTACTTGGTTAGCTACTTCTTTGGACCTAACCGGAATGATTGATTGACAGGTATGGGAGAAGAGCGGGTACAACACGGTCGAGTGGGTTCGATACATAACCAAAGCCGGTTCTTATGAGATCAGATGCTGAACTTAAAACACGGTTCAGGTTCAGTGACATCAGACTGAGAGGCTCATGACTTCTAGCTTTTGTTCCTTGTGTTCAGAAAGAAAAAAAAAGAGAGTTAAATATGGTTTTATGTCGCGTTTATGTTTATTTTGTCTGTTAGAGATATCTTTGTTAATATGATTTCTTATGTCTTAATTTGGTATTTGATTGAGTTCTGTCTTTTTGTTCTTTTCTTTTCTTTTCTTTTCTATTTGCTTAAATTGTACGAGCTATAATAGTTTAGATTAATTTTGGTGTAAACGAACATGATATTCAGTATTTGTGAAATAAGTCTGTTTTTTCTTTCGGGTTCATAATCGGGTCTATTGGATAGAACTAAAACAGTCTACAAAACAATGCTTCTTTTTATTACTTTTTAGCCTAGTGATGTCTTTGTGAGTTTTGGGTTAATCTTCATGGAAAAGAAAAATTAAAAAGGTTTTTTAGAAAGTTATCGTATGATAGAGGATAAAAATATATTTTGATTATGATAAAAAATGAATCTAGAAAAAAATATTTCTCAACATGTTTTTCAACTAAGTTTTATTTCAATAATATCCCTGATTCAGTTTTTTAAATGTGGAATAGTATATATTAAAAAAAAGAAATTTGATTTGTAATGGTACAATTTTCTACTTTTACTTATTTTTAAAACTTATAAAGTTTTTTTATTTATTATTCTATATTTTTTTCTAAAATGCGTAAACACTAAATTTTAAATCCCGCGTATACACAGAACCTAATCAGTCGGATTTGGGTAAATTTCGGGTCTTTCACCCTTTTTAACATGATTTTACCCGAATTTCTCACTTTTGAACCATAAAAATCCAAGTAAACTTCATCAGAATTTAATTAGTTAAAACCAGAGCCGTGCCAAAGTCAAAAGATGCCGTAGGCCATAAAAAAATAAAACATTGACTTATAAAAAATTACAATGTCTACACTAACAGAAATCAAAAGAAAAACTGTCTAATATAATAAATATTGTCATATGATAAAAGAAAACAAAGAACATACGAAACAGTTCATAACTTGATTCTTGTTATTTTCTTTCACACACATCACTAACTAACCATTTCAAATCAAATTTTGTAACAATCTTTTTTCCGATGGATAAGATAACTAAGTCACTCAACTATAATAGGGATGATTAATAACTATATAAAAACAGAGAAGTAGAATAGATGAAAATAGCATACTTATACTCTAACGACAAACTTATAAGGATATATGCATACAAACTAAAATAATAGCAGCAATATGCTTCTATGGTTTTCTTAAAACAATCGAGGCCGTAGGCCAATGCTTTTTCCACATAACGGTAGGCACGGCTCTGGTTAAAACCACACAACACAAGTTTGAATTTTGAACTTTCAAACATTCAAGGTTTAAAATACTAAAGAAACAAAAACAAAAGAAAAAACAAGACATAAGTTTCAAAGTCAAAAAGAATAAAGAAGACAAGTCGGATCTAAATGGATACTCACAAGTATTCGTTTAATAACCGGAACCGACCCGAGAATCGTGGATATGAACCGACATGTGATTTAGACCTAAACCAATATTAACCGGAACCGGGTTTTTTCGGGTCGATTCCGGATCGGGTCCCACGCTTATCTCTTAAATTATTATTTTTTAATAAAAGAGATAAGTATGGGCATTAACCAATATAATAAAAAAAAAATTTATACATTTATATAAAATAATATTTTGATGAACAATCAAATTTTTCATATCCATATTTTTTACCAATATATGATAAATAGTAATACCATAAGGTTTATTAGTGTATATATATTACTGACTCCTGTAAAATAAAATTCTAGCTCGACCATTGTATGAGACTATACATTCACGACTAGACCAAACCTTCTCAATTATTGACCGCATTAACGTGAATGCATGATCAAGTCTCAACAACGTTAGCAGACATGTGTGATTCCTTGTTCAATACTCACTTTATTGAGATCTATCTTGAGCGTCAAGGGGATGGTGGTTGGGTCCTGAAAAAATTTGTTAGTCTTTCTTTAGAGCTGTCCAAATCTGAAATCCCTTATCTTTATATTATTAATTGAGAAGTACATTCTAATGTTTGGATACAAGAATTAGAGAAACATCTATTTGGATAGAAGAATAAATGGAAACAAAAGTTGTTTGGATATAAGAATAAGAGAAAAATCTATTTGGATAGAAGAATAAATGGAAAAAATTGTTTGGATACAAGAATAATAACTTAAAATAAACCGATGGTTTAGAAAACTTCCGTTTTCCATCTCTTAAAAATCTGCAAAAAAAAAACTTAACATAATCTAACGATAATTCCAAATCAATAGAATATGCTTTTTGGATTTTCGGGTTTTTATAGACAAGTTCGGGTTTGGGTGAAAATCTGAGACATAATTTTATAGAGATATATATAGAGATATAGAAATTGTTCGGGTTTCTTTGAAAATTTCTGTTCGGGTTAGGTTCAATTTTTTTTTCAGTTTAGGGTTTTCCGGATTTTTTAGATTTCTGGTTTTCGGGTTTAGATATATTAAAAAAATTGAGTATTTTAAAATTTTGATTAGGTATTGGGGTCGGGTTCCGGGTGAAAAAGTTTCCAGATTTTTTTTGTTCAGTCAGGGTTTTCGGGATTTTTTTGATTTCGGATTTTCATGTTTAGACCTATTAAAAAAGTTTGGGTTTTTAAATTTTTTGATTAGGGTTTTTTGTCGGGTTCGGATTTAGGGTTTAAATTTTCTACACAAAACAACAACGTCACACCGCACAAACGTGCGGGTACTCTACTAGTTATGGTTAGTATTTTTTGTTTCATTGAACTTTGAACACAACTAACCTTGGCTAAGGTTCTAAATGGTAACTCTTAAATGTTGCTGAATGCGGAATTTGACTAAAATGAAGAGTTTTTGCGGAATCTGGCTGATTAGTTTGTTATAATATGAATGGTAACAGCTAAATATTGCTTAATGTGGAATAAATGGTTGAAAAATTATTTGTATAACAAAATAATAAAATATTTACCTAGTTAAATTAATAAAATAAAGATTTTGTTTTGTGTGAAATATATAAATAATAGATTAATCAAAAGAAATCATTTAAAAATTATAAAATTTAGGAATTTGGATTCATAAAATTTTATTAAACATCAAAGTTTAAAAAAAAAAATAGACATTTAAAAAATAAATATTTTGATATTACCAATTCATTAATGAAAATTATCTCATATGTACCTCTTATTTTGCTCTGGTACTATATACATATAGCACCATATTGTTTCCCTCTTGTTTTTGTATAATTTTTATTGCTATAATAATTTAAAAATATATATTAAATTAAGTATTTTCAAACTAAAAGTTTTAGTTAATATTCGCATCCATGCTCCTCTAAACATTTTATTCATATCTTTTTCGAATTCATAATTATATTATTAAAATTCACACTCCAAAAATCCAAATATTTGAAGCTGATGTGATTGGGTGTTGGATAATTTGCCTACCCATATGAATTTTATATTTTGGTGATATTCTACAATATCTCAATAACTGAAATAAAGAAAAATATATCTGAAATAACTAACTAAATTTTGAATAAAATAAACTAATTCAAAATGCATTTGTGTAAAACCTAAAAAACCAATTTTGAAAATTTTGGATTCATAATATTAATTATTAAATAATATGAATTTTTATCTCAGCTTCATTTCTCTGCATTAAACTTATTAAACACCACCCTAAACAATAATATAATATAAACAATAGACATATTTACATTTTCAAAACTAAGAAATATAATCAAATATCTTTTGACTTTTATGTTTTATTTGTAATTAATTTTATTATTATGTAGGTATAACAAAGAATAGTTTTTTAATAGAAACAAAAATTTAGTTTTTCAGAAATATACAACTAAAGTATTTCATGTTAATTATAATAAAATTTAATGATTGTATTAAAATTATGTAAGTTCAATATTCAGTAGCTTTTATATTAAAGAAATCATGTTTTGTCTTTTAGTCCACAATTTATAACGCCCCGACCGCCCTTCCCGGTGAGTCACCCACACCCTCTCTCTGGGTCCGTAGGCTCCTCTCGGTCCGTGGGCCTCACGCCTGTCCGACAGTCGGTCTGATATTTTTGAGAGGCTCAAATGATTTGTTTATTATCCCTGCAATCAACACTCGACCTTTCCCCGTGTTTTGGCCTCACTCGCACGATTTCAGAAACTACTTCCCGGAAGGTCATCCATCCTTCAACTACTCTAGCCCAAGCACGCTTAATTGTGGAGTTACTTATAGACCTTTAACCGAAAAGGTAAGTACACTTTGTTGACATAGGTAATCAAATCAATTCTCTTAATCCTCTCCTTATTTATCATAAACCGGGATGTTACACAATTTTTTAATTCTTCATAATTATGCAATTCTTCAATTTCTCAATTCTTCAAACTCAACCGGTGACTTCTAAAAAGCGTTCCACATCATTCCACAATTCTGCTGCATTCCAAATTTTCTAGTTAGGTCCTAAGATTCAGAAAAATCCATGTGTACTTAACTTGTCTTGTTTGTTTTCTCTACTTGTAAAACAATCTTTACGGAATAAATTCTTTGATGTGCCTCACTGTCTCTTATGTCTTATCTTCGCTTGAGTTACATATTGCATGTTCCTGAATCCTGACGATGATGATGAAAGATTTATTGGTTCTAACAATGAGCAGCACTTGAAGAGACATGATTTATGTAATAAAATAAAATTCCTGATAATATGTAATTCAAATTATTTGATAATATTCCTGATAATATTAAATTCCTGTCTACGCACATGATAAAGTAAACTTTGTAAAAACGTAGTTGAATATTTTTTATTACAAGATTGACCGGCTCTTGTATGATGTATATGTATGAATTTATTCTTATATTAATTTCGAGTTTGTGGAAGTGATTCGGAAGTGCTAATCGCTTGATAAAATGCTTATTTTTATAATTTCTTAGACAATGTAAGTAAAAGAAAAAAATATTATCATGTTTTACTTTTAACTAATTCATATATGTGATCGTGTTTTTATTTATTTCACTCTTGTATCTTCCTAGTTGATGTGACATATTTATCTATCATATTTTCTCAAATTTTCTTTACTATTTGCTTATATTTTCTTGTTATTTGCATAAAATTGTTGATTACCAAGATCGTTGAAACTTTTATGTTTGTTAATTTATTTCTTAGTTTGCTACTTTGCTATGCTTGGAATTGTAAAAGCACACACAAACATAGATGCATTGATCCATAATTTACAATCATAAACAATGTATATACGAACTCAGAATTTAGTTCATATGTACCTAACCCATATTACAGTTGACCGGTCCCACTCTGTTCTCTCTGTATATATACAGATCCACTCGATCAAATATTTATTCACATAAAAAAACACACTACAAAGTACAACAAATAAACCAATCTACTTCGTATAATAATTAATCTCTTTTAGAATTAGTTATACGAAATGGCTCGTCCAAGGATCCTCATATCGAAAATTTACTTATTGCTTTTTATTGTAGGTTTCGTCTCGCAATCTTGTGAAGCTAGAAATTCAATGCCTTACGATGCAAGAAAGGGATTGTTTCTTAGTGCCCTACCAAAGGGCAATGTACCACCTTCCGGTCCAAGCGACAAAGGTCACACTTCTCCTCCGGAGGATTATTCCGATCAGCATATGGTGCCAAAAAACTCGCCGGAGATTCACCGTCTACAAGGATCGGTTCCTAGCCCCGGCGTGGGTCATTAGGCACATTAATTACGGATTATTATATGTTGTCGAGATTTTTTCTGTTGGGTTTTATGATATATCGTCGTCTTATTAAAAGTTGTTTGTGTGTTTGTGTGTCTTTATATACGATAAATATGGTTCCGACTATTGAAATAGATGTGTTTTTGTCTGATTTGTAATAGAGTAATAAAAATCACTAATTTACACTTAAATATGTATATCTCTTTTCTTTATTCCTTTTAAAGAAAAAACATATGGTACTGTGAAATTGTAAAATACATGTAGCTCTTTTTTTTTTCCGCGTTCGATCGAAGAAAATTAAAACTTGGGGAAACATCATTTTTTAATGATCTTGTTTGTGATTACTTTTCGATTTTCAGTTTGAAAAAAAATATGTTAAAATAAATATTGTGGACGTATTAATATACGCCCATTATAATCGAGATAATGTAAATAGGTTCGTACGTAAAATAACCTCATCAAAAAGAAAACTTTGATAGTAAATAATAATTCGAAAGCTTCCGCTCTGGCACTGGTGTAGCAAAAGTTGATGATCTGAGGTAGGCCTGGGCATAATGGGTACCAGGTTCGGTTCCGGGTCGGGTCTTTCGGTTCCAGGTCTTACGGTTATTTGAAATATTTGTTCAAATAGGACCCACTACTATTTCGGTTCGGTTCCGGGTCGGTTCCCTTCGGTTCCGGGTCTAACGGTTCTAGCATAAAAATAACTGTCAAATATCCGAAAAACTGTGGTTACTTGTCGGGTTCGGGTATAAACCGGGTTTTTTACCCGTTCTTACCCGTTTATACCCGTGTATACCCGATTTCCCCTGATTTAATCCAAAAAAAGAACCGAAAGTTGAGCACAAATATGTCCTAAACACATCAAACCATTCAAGATTTCAAACCAAACTGACAAAAGTACCAAACTGACAAAAACACATCAAACCATTCAAGGTTTCAAGACACAAAGCCACAACCACAAAGTATTACACCAAGTCTTGTAATAGAACTATAGAAGACACCAACTCTTCTATTCTTCAAGACAATCGGACCATTAAACTTCATTCCCTCCTCACCGAGTCTCTTGTTATCAAACTACATTACATAATACTAAGTTAAAGACTTAAAGAGATAAAAGAAATTGTATTCAGTTTTAAATAGTAAGTACTTACCAAGAACTCAAGGTGCTTTAAAGGTGAATGCTGGTTCAAACTCTAAAGAGAAACAAATAAACGGATTCATGAAGTTAGTAAGTAGTAACAGTAAATCTGAAATGCAATTGCTATATGAAATCATGAATATAATTTAGTAATTTACCTCGCATGAGATTATCTTGAACCTCTAGCTCTGCTAACAGTTGTTCCTTCTTGACCACTTTGTCATTCATTCTAAACTCACATTTCATCCATTGCTCAAGACACATCAAAACTTCAATTGTGTAATGAGTCAAGCAGCTCCTACTCGGTTCTAAAACTCTTCCTGAAGTACTAAAGGCTGATTCTGAAGCAACTGAAGACACTTGCATTGCAAGTATATCTCTAGCTATCACAGAGAGAACCGGAAACTTTGGAGTGTTCACCTTCCACCAAGAAAGGACATCGTAATCTGTCCCATCAAAAGAAATTGGATTCTCAAGCTTTTCTTTCAAGTACAAATCCAACTCATTTAGCTTCTCTTGAAAACCTCCATCCTCAAGAAGCTCCTTGTAGATGTCATTCATGCTTTCATACTCTAGACCATTTCCAAGAACCGTTTTCTGAGAAGCTTCTTCTCTAGACTGAGCAGAACTAGTAGATGCTTCATTTGACTGCGCCATTGAACCTGATTCACCACTTCCATTCTTGTTTAGTTCTCTGCTATACTCCTCAAACAGATTCTTCAAAATATCTCTCACTTCATCTTTCAGAGCTTCAGTCCTCGGACTTTTACTGTAAAGCTTGTCAAAACTTTTCTCAACAAAGATCATCTTCTTGCTTGGGTCAAACACGGCTGCTAAAATACCAGCTTGTTCATCTCTACCCTTTTATCAAATGGATCCCAATACTTGCCTAGTTTCATCAACATTGCAAAGGCTTTCTCACGTAAAACTTCATCCGGACCAGGATTAGTACTCAGCAACGAGATGTTTGAAGACATAGTCACAATCGCATGATACAACTTGTGGGAGCAAACACTGTTTGACGCAGAGAGAAAAATTGTGGCTTTGTAGAAGATAATGAGGAATTGGACTAACCTGTGAGCCGCATCAAAATCATCTTTCGTTGGTGGTCCAACCCTTTTCTTTCCCTCCACTATATCCGTGAAGTATTTGATGTATGGAAAGCTCATGCATCTTGTCAAATGCCAATCTGAACTTCAAAGCTTGGTCTAATTCGAATTCCATCTAGTCTTCACATCTAGAGGCAAGCTTCCTCTTTGAATCCTTCTTGATTCCACATGATTCTCAAATGCCTTGATCCTAGGTGTGGAAGATCTCACAAAGTAAATGCCGTTACGGATAGCATTAACACTTTCAACTATCTCCATCAGACCTTGTTTCACAATCAAGTTAATGATATGAGTAGCACACCTTAAATGGAGAAAATCACCTTTCAGAATCAGCGCATCATCTCCTAGCTGCTTGAACTCTTTCTTGAATGTCTCCATGGCATTACTGTTAGCTGTGGCGTTGTCAACGGTGACGCAGAAAACTCGCTTGATATCCCACTCAGCCATACAATCAAGAAGAACCTTAGCTATAGTTGCACCTTTATGATCATACACATTCTTGAATCCAATGATAAGTTTCCTTAGTTGCCACCAAGCGTCGATGAAATGAGCTGTTATCACCATATAACTAGCTCCTGTATGAGGCGCCACCCAAATATCTGTAGTCAGAGACAATCTCTGCTTATTAGCATCAAGAATCTTCTTCATCGCAACCTTCCTTTGGACATACATCTCCACAATGTCTCTTGTACAGGTTCTTCTAGAATGAGGATTGGGCAGCTTCGCTTTACCGCAGAAATGTCTCCATGCCAAGCCCTCAATGAAAGATAAAGGCAGCTCGCTAACACAATCATCTCATTAGAAGCTTCCCTAATCACCTTCTCAGACATTTTACAAAGTCGAACATCAGAACCATCAGAAGACAACACGGTTTGGTCTTTCTTTCCACTATTAGCAGTTGTCCACGCGGAGAAAGCCTTGCAAGAGACCATGTTATGTTTCTTCAGGTTGGATGTGCCATTGCCTGATGGAGCGACAAACACCTTCTTGCAATAATTGCAAATTGCCTTTGTCTTGTCATTCTCAGGTCTCTGGAAGTGGTCCCATACTTGAGACCATGATTTCTGGTTCGAAGCTTTCTGGTTCGAAGCGCTTGCTGCTTCTGGTTTCTTTCTCTTCCCTTTGCTTTTGTTCTTCGTAGTCAGTGGCGGTGTTGGTGAGGTTTCGGTTACATCATCCTCGGTCTCTGATCCACTATCATCATTCAACTGTGGTTCACCATTTGAAGCCATCTGGGAAAGCAAACAAAGCCAAGCAGTCATGATTCAATTCAAGTTTCAGGTCGAGTTCAAAGTTCAACATTCTAACAATCAATTCGCATAACTCCATAAGGCTAAGACTTCAACTCTATGTGTAATGAAAATACAGTATCCTAACTCAATCTCAAAACTCAAAAGTCAAAACTCTATGTGAAGAACATCGAGAAATCGCAAAACTCTATTACAATATCACAAATTCACAATATAGTAAGTTATAACAATCTATCAATCAATCGCAAATCATAAATAGGAATAACTTATTCCGAATAAGGAAGAGATCCAGAGAAGAAAGAACATCGAGAAATCGCAAAAACATCGGGAAAAAATTGCATGTAAGGTAAGGAAGAACATCGAGAAATCAAAATTGCATGTACCTTTGATCGATTTGCAGACGTCTCTGATGGAGGAGACGTTGAGAATCGGCGGATTGGAGTTTCCAGTTTGAAGTAATTGAGATGGTATTAAAGGGATTTAAGTTGAATTTCGAAAAACTTTTCTCGACAACTTTTTCAGATCGAGAAGCGGAAGAGTCTAAAGCGGCGGTGGCAAATAAAACGATGAGTGTAATAAAAAATCAATAGTCTAAAACGGTCATAAAAACGGAGATGTATATATAGCTCGGTTCCATACAGGTACCCGCGGTTTAACCGGTTATTACCCGGAACCGACCCGCTAACCGCGGTTATTGAAGCAAATTAACCGACAGGTGATTTTGAGTCTAACCAGTTCTAACCGGAACCAGGTTTTTTCGGGTCGGTTCCGGGTCGGGTCCGTCGGGTCGGGTATTATGCCCAGACCTAATCTGAGGCACCTTTTAACAAATACAAAATAAAGAGTTGATGATTTGAGAATTAAAAGAAAACTATAATTTTTTTGTATATTTAAGAGACGTCTCCCTCTGTCCCGTTGACATATTTTTATTTATGATATTGATAATACATTTAAAGTTTAGTTTAAGACTAAAGAGAGAAGAAGAAAAAAGTAAAATGAAAATAGACATGCAATAATAAGAGAAAGTCGATTTGGTGAGTGGTGAGTGACATATTCTAGGCTCATAATTAGCTAGACAACAAGATGCAATATGGTTATAAGAAATCAACATAAAGATACCTCAAACAATAAGTTTATTTGATGAACTTCAGAGAAGCTGTAAGTGGTGGTGTTTTTGTGTTAGTCTTCGGAGGAGAAGCTGTTGGTGATCCTTCCATCGAGGTTTTCAGTATTGGCCTTGGGGTTGTGGTTGCTTGTGGCAACGACGATGAGGACTCGGTTCTTTGGAACCGCGGCAACAACATGAATTTCCGAACTTTTGTGAGGAATCGGTATTTTTCTGCCATAGATTTTTTTGGTGGGCTTGGATGTGTGCCTTATTTGTCTTTGGTTTGACCTTCCTTGTAGTTTTCGTTGAGCCGTAACTTTTGTTTGTAGTTTTTTGGTTTTTCTATTTTCTTAGTTATATCTATAACCACTGTCACAAATTCGAAAATTGATATAAAATCTTCACATTTTACCAAAAAAAAAGAAAAAAGTTTATTTAATGAAATGGTAGTTGTGCGAGTGGGGAAGAAATAATAAGCAGAAAGAGAATTTTGAAATTAATTCTCATCTAATGCTTTGTTTTTTTGTTCTTTGTATTTTTTTCTTTCACATTTCATTCTATTTCATTTATTTATATTCCCACAATCAACACACATGTTAATACACACCGCTTACATATTCACATTGGTTAATAGATGGTAATATATTAACATAACGCAAACTGCAATAAACAAATAAATCATGACTCTTTTGTAAGTAAACCTCCATCCCATTATATAACGCCTCATTTTATGCAATGGAGTTTAGAAACAGTATATAGACAACCATTTAGTCTCATGTCTGAGTGCTATATTCATATACTATGCAAGACCATTAAGAACAAAACCTCTATCCAATTATATAACGCCTCATTTTATGTAATGGAGTCTAGAAGTAGTATATAAACAACCATTTAGTCTCATGCCTGGCGATATATTCATATACTATGCAAGCAGGCCCGGCCCAATATTATTAAGGGCCCTGTGCTATTTAATAAAAAGTAGGTTATATGTGTAATGAAAATAAATAAAGGTCCTATATACAATGTTACATAAAAAAGAAACCCCTAAAAGTAACAAAAACTTGAGAAAAAAAAAGTGGGACCCGGCGCAAATGCACTCTCAACACATGGGTAGGGCCGGCCTGTATGCAAGACCATTACTGTGACATTCCTGTTCTAGAAAGATAGAGCTTTTAAATATAGGAATCTAGAATTGAAAATTATTTTCTATTCTTCAAGCTCAAAAGCCCATCTTGATCAATAAGGACAGAAAAGCCCGTTCTTGTGAAACCCTAACCCTAGAACCTTCAGCCTCCACTCTATTTAAAGAGGAGCCACGACCTAGATGAAGACAGAGAGCATATCGACGGCGAAGCCCTGCCAAAATCGTGCCATGCAGAGCCACCTTGAAGGAGAACTCACTGAAGGAACCTAGAGGGCGGAAGGAGACAGATCTGAGGTGTTTCGGTACAGCAGATATCCGACCAGGCAAATCTACTCCGATCGGTCTGAAACTCGGTAACCATGATCTCAACTCTCTTAGCTAGCTGTAGCAAAAAGCGGATCCGCAATCGGAGCAGTAGATCTAGAGTTATGATCTTTTCCCGAGACTTATTTCTGTGGATCTCGATCTGACGGCAGTGAACTTTCAATGGTGTTTTCCCGTCGACTCGGAGCGAACCAGGAGCCGATCTACATATCATCGGAAAGCCCGCGAACACATCTTTCCATAGCCGTCAAGATCTTCCCGATCCGAGAGAGCTACAATGACATTCAAGAAGAGTTATGGAACCATGCACAAGGCAGGACAGATTTAGACCCGCTGCTTCGAAACATACCAGGTGGGGATTTGGATCGAGCATATTTAATACTTTGATTAACTTGTTAATGAATGTAGGATGTCTAACTAGATAAATGATGATGTGATATGAATTGATTGTTGCATTGTTAGTTCCCATGTGCATCATTTAATGTTGTAGTATGATAAATGTATTAAGGATCTGTGAAGTAGAAATGTTAAGTCTAAGAGTGTCATGCAAGAAAGTATGAAGTATGAAAGTATGAGAAGGAAAGAAATGATGAATGTAGGAACAGTTATGATTTCATATATAGCCATTAGGGCTATTGTTGTTACCGGGGCCATGCTGCGAACCATGGAGCGGTATTGATTGTCGCTGGGGTCATGGTTGCGAGCCATGAAGCAGTATTTCTATGATGGGCCACAAGATGAGGTTGTGGGCTCAGAGGGGCTGACGGGCCCTGAAAGAAGGGGCTGACGAGCCCGGAATGTTAAAGAGATTGAGTAACATGGGTCGAGGCCTGTGCGAATGTGAAGAGTCGAGTCAAGTATGTTTGAGGTCTAGATGCATGGTTATAGGTTGAATGTTATATTTATGTTACAGATGCATTTAAAAGGTTAAATGTGTTGCAGTTATTAATGATTTAATTATGGTATTGTGAATCTCGTGGGCATTCGTGCCTACTCCCACTGAGTAACATTGGTTACTCATACCCCTTTTACCCCTTTTCAGGTATTAGAGTGCAAGTCAAGCTATTCGGTGTTTTTATCCGGGTTTGGAGTGTCTTAATTACTAACTAAACATCAATCCCATTATATAACGCCTCATTTTATGCAAGTCTAGAAATAGTGTATAGACAACTATTTAGTCTCATACTATGCAAGATCGTTAGAAACATCATCTTACTAAAAAGAATATAACAATTCATTGCTTTGGATGGCGCTCCATATACATATAATGCCGTCTACATTGAAGGTTTCTACCGATTTCAAATCTTAGTTCACACGTAAAAATCTCACTTCCCAATATAACACATTAATTGTATGATGAAAAAATTTCTTCGTCGTATAGGAACGCGTAGAGTTAAAGTGGGAAAAAATGGGTCCAAAATATTTACTCCCTATGTTTCAATATATGAGGGATTTAAGGTTTTTGCACACAAATTAAGAACCCATTTAATTTTTGTACTTTTTGAAATAAAATATATTTTATCATCAATTCCAAAACATTTCAACCAATGAAAAAGAAATCTACAGAATATAAATAATTAAAAATTTACTTTTGCACAACCCCTTATATTTTGAAACAAAAACAAAATTCTAAAACAACTTATATATTGAAAGAGAGAGAGTATATGATTCAAGTCCAATAACCTCATATATTGAAAATTTAATCAACACAACAATCCTTGTTTCTCTATAGGTTATGACATCTCAGCTTTCTTAAGATTTATGAGATTGACACCTCAACAAAAATCAACAACCAATCAAAACATTCTAAATAATCATACTTCTTCTGTTTCATAATATAGGGGGTTTAAGGTTTTGCACACAAATTAAGAAGCCATTTAATTTTTATACTTTTTAAAATAAAATATATTTTATCATCAACTCCAAAATATTTCAACCAATGAATAACAAATCTACAGAATATAAATAATCTAAAGTAATAAAAACACATTTAATTCTACACTAAAACTCTAAAACCCCTTATATTTTGAAACAAAACTAAAACTCTGTGGGGAATAGTTAGCAACTTCTTTGGTTTTCTTTGCCAAGTTTTTCATCTGGTTTGGTTTTCTCCCTTGGGTTATCTCACAATTTTTCTTCTTCGCCAACACGATTTTTCTCCTTCATCGAATCCCATTCTCCATAGAAATCTGGATGCTTCTGAGTCTCCTCGCCGGTTACGTCTTCTCTTCTTCTTTAATTCTTCAGGAATCCCAACTAATCGTTCGTATTACGTTCTTCTTCGGAGGCTGAGGGTTGGAGATTTCGTTTTCGCCGTCCGCGTACGCTACCGTCTCGCCGGAAATCAACACAGGCAAAATTCTGTTCTTCGCCATGCTTTTTAATTTCGTTTTAAAATTTTACATTGCTCGATTCTCAAATAGTAGATTGCCCAAGGAGATTTAACAAAACTCAATTCATCCTTCACAAGAAGATTGAAGAATCCTAAAAGTGGAAGCTTTTTTCCTTTGTCTGAAATTAGCACTTTTTCCTCATCTTTTGGGTTTCGACGCAATATATGCAGATTGTAGTTTTGCGATTAAACACATGTACATAGTGTACTTTCTCAGATTTCTCCGATATCATTGCTTACATATCATTTCTTTCTCCTGTTCATGTCAAACTATGTCGCAGTTTGAGGAGCCACAAAGTGAGTGGGCCTAATCGAAACCGGTTATAGACTTACATGTGCTCTGGAATCTAACCAATGTTTGAAGCTTTGAGCTAGCCATTGAAGATATTATATGGTACAAAGTTCAAGAGAGGGGGAGAGATGGAATACAATGCGATGAGGATACTAGAAGAGATCAAATTTCTGATGTATGCTTCTCTTCGTTTATCTTTGATTGATTTTATAGGTTTGGGGATGTTGATTTGTGTTTAGCTTCTATCTTGCGTTTAGCCATGTCTCAGTGACGTAGCCCTTTTGCTGTTTGGTCACCGAATTAGTTTAGTCACATTTGCTTGGAGGATCTTATGCTCTGTTTTAGACATCGGATCTTATGCTCTGTTTCTTATGCAATGATCCTCTTTGTTCAATAAAAAAAACATAGAAATAATGGATTGCTTAACATGGTCATCATAAAAACGTGGTGAACTTTGTATATTCTGAGTGCTTATTCATATATTGTTAAGAATTTTGTCTATTCTGAGTGCTTGTTTTGTTAAGAAGAGCCCTCGCGGAGAAGATCCGCTTCTTGATTTGGTAACTGCAACTGCAACTCTCTTTTTCGTTGTTATTACACTGGTTTTGAATGTTTTTGATTATGTGAATAAATGAGTGCCTTGCGTTTCCTCATGAGTTAAACATAAAGACAATCTTAGAAGAGAAGGTTGATGTGTTGCAGCTTTATTGGGCGTGAATGTTCAAAGGAGCTTGTGGATGATGCTCACCGTGCTGATGTCAAAGTTGTTACTCCGGTAAAAAAATTATAACCACCAAATCCCACAGAGGTTAAGTAGAAGGAATTTGTCTGATTTATTAGTAGTTTTATAAGGTTGGGAATGTGGAAGAAGCTAGAAAGGGCATGAAGCAGGAGGGCATGTAATTGGAAAGGATACTCTGTTGTCATTGCTGTTAAGAGTGATGGATGTGGTCGGGGAATGCCATATTCCGGTGATCGCTGCTGAAGGAATAGTGGATGCACGCGGTTTCGTCCCAGCGTTGTCGCTTGGTGCTCAAGCGGTGTGTCTAGGGACAAGGTTTCCCTAATTACATTTTTTTTTTCTCCTCCAAATAGATGGTCTTGGGCTTTTGGCATTGCTGATGAAGAAAATGAATTTCTCACTACAAGAAAAATAGATAAAAAGGTTTTCAGGAACTATACCAAACATGGCAACTACGGGAGACTTAGAGAGTATAGCCATGTATTTAGGCCAAAGCGTAGGCCTCATCAAAGAGATTTGACCGGCTGGAGAGGTAGTGAAGACTCTCGTGGAAGAAGCTCAGCTTCTGATCCTCCAAAAGTTCAACAATGCTACATGATGGTTTCAAATCATGAGAATGAAAGAAAGAGGCGAACAAAAACTTTAGTGCTTTAGGAATCGGATGAGAATTAGTCTCACATGTATATAATGTAGTATATGTGTAAAAATAAATGTGTATTACTCCTTTTACCACTACACTATATGGTATTGAATCAAAGTTACTATGATTTTATTACATACATAATCTCATAGCTTTATTGATCAAAATAGGAGGAGACTTTGTTGCAGCTTTCACACAATTATGAAGCATGGAGTATACAAAGTAAAACTCATTTTAAAACAAATTATCAAAAAATAATTAACAAAAGTATCTCCCGGGGCGTAGGGTCAATTCCTAGTTACATCAAAATGTATGGCTACTCAGTGCAATTATTTTATAAGAAACACCTTATTGATTTATTGCTCATCTTCGGGATTATACTATCTAAAGACTAACTTTTTGTTATGGAGCTTCTTTTTTCACATTCATTTTTTTATATTTTCTTAATATAGGAAGTTTAACTAACCAACTACTCCCTGTGTTCTCTAATAAGTGTTCTTTTAGAGAATTTTTTATGTTTACAAATAAGTGGTTTTCTCATAAATCAATTCAAATATTTATGTATTTTTGTTATTTAACTGTTTAAATTTTGCAGATTGGCTTTTTCTTTCTTGTATTGGAGTTGATAATAAAACATATTTTATTTTGAAAAAATCAAAAATTTAATGATTTTTTAATCTATGTGCACAAGAGTTAAAAAAACACTTATTAATAATCTTCTTTTCTCTTTTTCCACCTGATTGGTTTATTAATAGAGTAACTCAGAGTAAAATACAATCTTCACCTATTATTTTACTCTAACATGTTTATTCATTCACAGCCGTGACATAATGTGTATCATTTATTGGCATGACCGTATACTGTCGACTTTTCATCAGTATTATTCATTATATTCATACTGAATTTACTACATTATTATCTATTTTATGTCATAAAAAAATGTAGAGTCTTATGTTATACATGGTTTGTTCACAATCATTAGTCATCTATTCTGGAACCTACCAAATGATGAAAGAATGAGTATGTATCCCTGGTTGATTTGGTTTATTTGGAAAGCCCGAAACGACAAAGTTTTTTCCAATGATGATTCAAATCCTAATGATATTATTAACCACGCGGCCAGTGAGGCGGTAGCATGGCGGACGGCACAGGAAAAACAAGAGCGACCACCACTCTCATTGGGAAATTCGGTTGAGTTGTCTTTCAAGGGTGAGATTTGTCAGATTGATGGATCATGGAAAGACACAGATCCTCGAGCGGGGCTAGGTTGGTATAATTTCAATACGGAAACGGGTGAAAAATTCATGGGTACGTGTAATTTAAGGCGAGGTATATCACCACTCCAAACAGAATTGGAAGCTCTGGTATGGGCTATGCAGTGCATGCTACGCCAGAATAAGTTAACAATAGTGTTCAAAACAGACTGTTCCGAAGTGGTAAAGATGGTGTCTAAACCCGAGGAGTGGCCAGCTTTCGTAACAATACTAGAGGAGTTTTGCAGATGTAAAACGGAGTTCATCTCCTTTTCCATAGTGCATATTTCAAGGAAACAAAACACGAAGGCGGACAAGTTAGCACGGAGTGCTAGAGCTCTACCTACCGATGTGTATTATGTAAACTCTGTTTCTCCAACTTGGATTCCCGAGTTGGTTTAGAAACAGAGGCTGTCGACAAAAAAAAAAAAAAAAAAAAAAAAAAAAAAAAATCTTAGAACTTTATTTCTGGTTTGAAAATCAAGCAATTCCTATGAAATTCAAATGTAATATCATGTCAGATTAACGTACCATCAAATTTGAAAAATCTGAATATTTTGATTTGTCTTGATAAATTTGTTGAAGATCATAGTATATATATCCACACACAAATGATCACAGTATATGTGTCAAGTTATAATGCAAAACTAGAAGGTATCAGTTTAGATTCTATGACACGCTAATGTATATCGAAATTTTGAATTATGTTGTCAAATAAACCTTTCATCAAAAAACGAAATATGTTGTCAAATGAATGTTTACCAAATCATTGAATGTGTATGATTAAAAATGTTGAAAAGACATTTCATGATTTGGTAAACTTATACCTCAAAACCCAAAGCCAAATATTAATCGCTCAATGAGTCATCATCATGCATTAGTCTACATATAAACTTGGTAAATAAACATTATTATAGATTAGTTTTGAAACTTGTAATTCACGTTAATTTCATTATCTGTGAATCGTACAAATGTGACTACAACATTGGTGCGTCTTAGAACTCAAACACTTAATTCGTTTTCACTTCATATTCTTTGATATTGATGTATCAGAGTTTACTTCACTTTACTTGGTAGATTCAATTAATTAAGACATCTGCCAGCTTTATTTGTCATGACCACACAAAGATATACCCCAGCTAGAAAGAGTAATTGTTTTCAGTTACATTGACTAACTTGTTTATTACTGAATTATAAAATTTACTTCCTCGTTCCCAAATTATAAACAGTTTTGTGTTTAAACTTTTGTCTCAAAATATAAATTGTTTCAAAATTCAATACACAAAATGAAAAAGAAAAAGTATAAGAAGAAAAATATTTGGTTTCAAAAAGTTTTTTTTTTAGACCACAATTTGTGGTCAAATGCAAAACCAACCTCTTCAATATTCCATTTTGAGTTTGTCCAATTTTTTTCAATTATTTACCAAAATGCAATTACCTTTTCGCTTGGTAGACCACTACGAGAGATGTCAAACGGGTTAGACCGCGCGGAAATGGGCCGAACCACCACGGTTTCACTTATCCGGCGGATCAAGCGGGTTGAACCGCTGCGGGCTGAGGTGCCACGATGCTCGACCCTAACCCGCACCGCTCGGTATTGGCGGTTATGCGGGTCAGCCCGCGGGTCAACAAAACCTGCAACTTATTATTTTTTTTAAGCGTTTTTAGACTGCGATTGCTTATCTTGTTGTGTGTAAAAATAGAACCAAACATATGTTGAAAAAACTTTTAACTTATTGTCTTGTGAAGTAATGATATAATAATCAAAACCTAAAATTTTCATTGTGTAAAACAGAGAAAGAAAAAACAAAGATCCGATAGCAAAACAAAGAAAATCTAATCTTAATCCGAGAAGCAACAAAAGTAATATGAAATCTTATTCAAATCAAACCAAATAGAACTTCTTTAGATTCGTCGATTGGAGAGCGGATCTTCGAGGTTCTCATGATTATTGGACTGAGATCGAGCTTAATCTTTTGATAACATGAACATTTCTCTGTTAATTTTTGCCTCCGCTTTAGATAGTCCTTTGTATAAATTAAAATTAATCAACATTAGATTATTTGCGACTATAGTATAATATATTAAAATGAAAAATCATATTGAAAACAATTTTCAGTCTTGTTGTTAAGAATTAATTAAGATTTTGTTTGTGATCCTAGATTAAAATTTGAGACTATTATTTTCTATTATTATAGCAAATGTGGTCGTAGAAAAATATAAAAATTGTGGTGATGTTAAATGTTTCTTGATATGTCTTGCAAAATAGTGATATTATGGAAACACGTAGTCAATATGACAATATATCAATCTAGTTAAAATACATTGTTCAAAGAAAACATGTCATTACATTTGGATTTTACTATTACGAGTGGAAAATATAAAAATATTTATGTTTAGATATTTGAAAATTACTCTAGTTTTTTTGTGTTTTTAAAAATACACTTTTGTATATAAAAAGAATGATTTAACCTTATTTTAACAAATATTATTAAATAATTATTAATTAAACAAAAATTCGTAAATATTATTATGAATGATATTATATTATTGTTGTTGAGATAAATATAAGTCAGTTATTTAAAATTTCCAATTTAAAAATTTAGAGATCTAGAGGAATTTTTTTTAATTTGTCTTAAATAGATGTAATTGTTTTTGAAACCTTATATAAACTACTTTAATATCACACATAACATAATATTCATCAAACATTGACCATAAGAGCCACAATTTTTTTTTTTGCAGATAATAAGAATTAAAAATGTTTATGAGTTTGTAAATTGTAATGAAAACAAAAACCAAAATCAAATCACAACCTTTTATTTTAATTATTTCTATCTTATGTTTATAATTAAATTAGTTAGAAATTTTAAACTAGGATAACTCAGTCTTTGTACATATAAAAAAGTGTAGTTTTCAAAATCTAGAAAAACTAGGGTATTTTTCAAATTAAAAACTGATATTAATGTATTTTTCCAAAATTTCTCAAAATATATACCTCTAACTAATATTTATATATACCATTCTTATCACATATACAGATTTAGAAATTATTACAATTTTCTAGAATATTTTGATAATCTAAATATCAATGGAGAGGACAAAGATTCATTTTTAATTATCTAGAATATGTAACTACATAATCTTATATTAAATGAATGTATTAAGAAATACACTTCAAGAGATGTAAATTTTCAAAAATACACCTATAGTGTGGCTTTTTTCAAAAATACATTTTTTCATAATTTTAGTATATATGTTTGGGTTCACTAATCCTAAATAAAGTTTAGATTTTGGGGTTTAGGATTTAAATTTAAGGGTGAAATGTTAGATTTTAGGGTTTAAGGTTTATATTTTAGGGTTTAGAGGTGTTTTACTCTATGAAAAAAATTTAGTTTTGAAAATGGACACCATAGAGGTGTATTTTGAAAATTGGCATCTACGAAAGTGTAGTTTTGAAATTTCCTTATACTTATTTGTGTAACATCCGTAAAACAAAAAATGTGAAGTTTTTGCCTTGTGTCGAGCCACACCACAGGGTGTGTCGGTCGACACAAGCGCTAGTTCGTAATTTCGGTTTGATTTGAGTGAAATTGATTTCCGGTTTGGTTATGGTTTAGGGTGGAAACCCTGGTTTTGAGTTCAAGGATTTGCGCAGCCGCATGGGTCTTCTTCTTTTGTCGTTTAGCGGACGAAAGTTGAGAAGAGAAGAGTTAAGAGGCGATTTCCGGCTTTGGAGATATCGTTTGAGGCTGTTCGTCGTTGATTTGGAGCTTGGGCTCGTGTGTGGTGGCTGCTGCGCGGTGGTTCGTCGTGTTCTTCATTGTGCTTCTTCATCTCCTTTGATTTCTTTCGCCCTTCAACCTAGAATCAAGGTGAGTGCATGACTGTGAATCCGTTATTGCTAGAGTGTGATTGTGTGATCGATTCTGTGGTGACTTCGTGATGATATTGATCATTGATTTAGTGTTTTGGGTCAATTGCTTGATTTCATGTGAATTTTGAGTTTCATATACTGTTCATAGCCTGATATGTGAATTTCCAGAATCGGTGTCGACACATCGTTAATTCTGCTTAAAATCGATTTAATTGGTTTAAGGGAAATTGACTGGTTTAATTCAATTGGAATTGGTTTAATCTGATATTTAATTAATTATTGGTTATTTAATTAATTAGATGGTTTAAAATAATTATATTAATTATTTTAAATTATGGAGAATTATTATTTAATTATTGAGAATTATTTAATAATTGAAAAATGAAACTTAATAATTATTAGATTTTGTAATAATTATTTTAATATCTAGTAAATTGCGTAATTGACCCGTAGGCAGGGTGATGGCCTCACTAAGTATTTATGAAATACTTACGCAACTCTATTCCATGTGTTGCAGGTAAAAGGTTTATGTGATCACTGAATCAAGGCTGAAGAGGGGGATGATAGGATTTATTTTTTCGCTTTATTTCATTGAACTTGTTTAAGTTGTTAGACTTGTTTAAATTTTTATTTGCTTCCGCTGAACTGATTTAATATTGTTATTTGATTTGATTTATTTATTTAATTTATTTTAAAGACCATCACTAGAATTGATTATAGATGTAACATCCAGGTTTGTGATAAATGAGGGGAGGCTTAAGAGAATTGATTTGGCTACCTATGTCAGCAAAGTGCACTTACCTTTTCGGTCAAAGGTCTATAAGTAACTCCAGAGTTAAGCGTGCTTGGGCTGAAGTAGTTGAAGGATGGGTGACCTTCCAGGAAGTGGTTTCCGAAACCGTGTGAGTGAGGCCAAAACACGAGGAAAGGTCAGGTGTTGATTGCAGGGATAGTAAACAAGTCATTAGAGCCTCTCAAAAATAACAGACCGACCGTCGGACAGGGGTGAGGCCCACGGGCCGAGATGGGCCTGCGGGCCAGAGAGAGGGCGTGGGTGACTCACCGGAAGGGGCGGGAGGGGCCTTATAATAGATATTGCATTGGATAACAATATTGGGGGCCATAATTTAATATCTAACCATGAAAAAAAAAAAGCAATATTGTTATATAATCTACAATATATACCAAATTGTCCCTCACCTCTTTCCTGTCTCCTCTCTTCTCTAGCATCTCTCATTTCAGCTCTCTCATCTCTCATGATTTATGTTTTGACAATCTTATATATAACTAGGCTTAGCCCGCGCTATGCGCGGGTATAACAAACTATTTAATAAGTATAAATTCAGATTTCAGAATTATTACATTTATTCTATGTTTATATAGTTATCCTTTTTAAACTCTATCCACATAGTTATAAATTATTTAAGGAACACACAAATAAAATTCAAATCAAATATGTTGTTTTAAGATAAAAAAAATGATGAACTGTTAAATCTTTAGTTTTAAACAATATAAACGTAAAGAGACAACATCCTTGCCTATCAGTTGGAGAGGCCAGTGAGAGAGAGCTGCGAGAAAGCAATGAAGTGATCTACTCGAAAGGAAATATCTCCTTCATATTTCACAATTTGGCCACCCTTTCTGTTTTATTAAACAGTATTATAAATATAAGTATGCATTTTCTTTAGAATAAGAATTCTCTTCCCAACTTTAGTTCCGGTTATAATCTCCGCTTCATAACTCTTTCACCTAACCTTGTCACCATCAACCTTGTGTTGTTGCACAACTCTTCTTTCTAATTCATGTTTCTCATCATGAGAATCGGTGTGTTGATCATCAGCTGGAAGATATGATTTGAAGGATATGATTTGGTAGTTTAGGGCTAAGTCTGCATGATGTGCGAGTTGTGAAAATTACAAAGTTTTGTTATTCATATTTTAATTGAATTTTGTAAATATTGTAAAAATATAAATGTATATTATGCCTTATTTCATCTAAAATCAATTCATTAACAAAAATTCTATGTACTACAAATTAATTCTGGCTAGTTGTAGCATATTGAAAATCTTACACCCTAATCCTAAAAATCTTAAATTAAAAAAGCAAACCTGAACTTCTAAACTTAAACCGGAAAAGAAAAGATTACTGACATAAAAGCCCAAGAAATATTTTTATTATGACTTTCTTCTCTAGTCTCTACGCCTCCCCAAATAAAGAAAACAACCAAAAACCATATTTTTAAAAACATTAAATTAAAAAAATAATCACATTAAATGAATAAAAGAAACGAGTTAAATTCCTTTCGGTTTCAGCTTCAATTGAAGAAGAGAGAAAGAAGCACAGTTTTTGAGAGTTACGATTCTCAATTTGTTTTTCCGTTTCACTAACGCTCGCCGGAAACTATGGCCAAGCCTTCGTCGGCGACTGCAACAGCAATCCGATCAGAAGACTACTCTCACGGTCCGGCTCATTACGCCATTGTTTTTGGGAGATCACGCAACACTGATTCGTCTGCTTTCTTCCTTGCCGAAGCTAGGAGATCCAGAGCAGATCTGAACCGAGTCCGACTCACTGAGCTAGGACCGTGTCGCGGATCAGATCTCCGACGTGCGCGACGTTCCCTCCCATGAAACGCCTCTCCATTAGGCGTTTAGGCTCAACGATGGATTTAAAATCCAGCGAGCGGATCAAAGCTTTCTGTGCTGAATTGAGACCACTGCAAAATCCTCCACGCATTCGAGAGTGTTGGAGCTTCGATATCCAGAATTACTGGTTTGGGTTAATTGATAGAATATTATATTTCAAAAATATGTATTTAGTTTTTTTTTCTAATAAAGAGATAGCGCCACGTGTCCTGTTGTTGGAACTAGGAAATTGACCAGGTGTCACTCACTCAACGGGAGAGTTGGAGAGTGATATTCTCTTATTATATATAAATTATATTTAAGATATTTAATACATGACTATTCATATTTCTTTACATATAATCCAAAGAAATATATAAAATAAATTAAAAAAATACTAATTAAGAAATATAAAGTATGTAACAATTGATATAAATTTTAATAGAAATTGTAGTACAAATTAGAGAAAGAAAAATGATATTTTTTACTCTAAATAGTATATATTTACCTTATTGATCAAAATTTATATAGAGGATTTATCTTTTGTAAAACATTATAATGTGTTTAAGAGTTATAAAATATAGAATATCATTTAGATAATACAGATAATATATTAGAAAGATAATAAGAAGTTAAAAGCAACATATGTAAATTTTAAGGATTATGACATGTTTGTTTAAAAATATAATTTAAATTTACAAATATAAAATTGTATATAAGAATCAATGATCCGTGATCAAATGCTAATCTACAAAAAAAAATATATATATATTTTACCATATTTCGAGTCAAAATGTGATTCAAGTTCAATGTTAAATTATAGTCCAATGAAACTGAATAAGGGAAATATTTAAAATGTTAAATTTTGGAAAAAAAAGAACCAGAGATGAAATATACAGTTAACATTTTTTAAAGTCATATTGAACATCCTTAATGTGAATAATTAGTTTAACTCAAAATGTAACCATTAAATTAAATATTAAACTATCACAATTTAAATCAATGAATACGCACAAACACAATTGTTATTGTAATAACCCCGCGCTTGCGCGGGGCTTCATTCCCTAGTGATTTTAATTCAGCATTAAACTTTTGCATCTGTATAGTAATTATTAAATAGTATAGTATCATTTCAAAGTGTTCTCAAATTTAGAGTTTAATTATTTAGGTATGAAGTTTAAAGTTTGGATTTAAGATTAAGTTTTTTGGATTTAAGATTTAGATATTTGGGTTAAGGGTTTAGCTATTTTTATTTGTGTTTTGGATTTAGATTTTTAGGTTTAGGATTTAATTTTTTAGGTTAAGGGTTTTAGTTTTGGGTTTAGGGTTTAAATTTGGGGTTTAGGATTTAGTATTGGGGTTTAAGGTTTAGTTTTTGGTTTAAATGTGGGGTTTAGAGCTTAGTATTGGTGTTTGGAGTTTAGGGTTTATTAAATAGTATAGTATAACATACTTCCTCCGTTTCATTTTAAGTTTCGTTTTGACAAAATGAATATGGACTATTTATTAGGGGTCTTTTTAAAAATCCCTGTTATTCAAATAAAGATTTTTAAATGTCATTTCAAATTCAGTGTTATTGAATATGGAGTTTTAGAAAGATCATTCAAAATCACTTAGCAAGCCCTGTTATTGAGTTAGTCATTTGTGAATCTTAAATCAAATCCACTATTATTCAAGACTAAACTACTATTTAAGGAAAAACTTGTCATTAGTTTTTTAGGAGATTTAACACCTATTTTGTGTTAAGAACATGCCATTGAGGTGTGATTTGAAGAAGTTTATTATAAAAAAACAATTATAAAAAAAAAATGAAAGGACAAAATACAGAAGCTTCACCGGAGCTTTATTACAAGACCTCTTCTATAGGCCACACCAAGAATTGTCTCTACGTGTGCTTAAAGTTCCACCCCGACTTTTGATCCCTCGCTGGTTCACTCTCTGCCGGAAACCTAATCAAACCCTAACCCCCAATGACGACGACGACACCATAAAATCGAAGAAGAGGAAGAAGAAGCCAATTGGTATCGCTTTAGCTAAAATCCAAGCTCCACATTTAGGAACTCACCAATCGTCGAGGAGTCTCGTGACAATTGGTTCAAATATCTACAACATCGGCGGACCAATAGACGACGACCATCGCTCGTCTAACGTCTCATCCTCGACTGCCGGTCCAACACGTGGCGCGAGGGTCCAAACAAGCTGGTGAAACGGGGTTACACTGCCGCCAATGTCGTTAACAGGAGGCTGCATAGACGGCCGCATCAAAGACTGCTGCCGTCCTTCCGATTGGATGGAAGTTTTCGATCCAAAATCAAAAACTTGGGAGATTGTGCCAAGCAATGGTGCTAAGATATGTGGCTGTAATATAAGTAAAAGCGCAGGAGCTGATGGAAAATTGTACATGTTTGGGAGCTGTAACGGTTTGTCTTACGAAGCAAGAGAAGGTAGATGGGGAAGGCTGGGATGGGAGATGGATTATGGTTGGGTTTGGTATTCTAATTCTGTGATTGGCGATGTGCTCTACATGTTTAACGAGAATGTGTTCAAATGGTATGACGGTAAGGCGGGAATTTTGAAAGGTATGAAAGGATTGCCTAAGATTCCTTGGTATATTGCTAGATTGGCTGATTACGGTAGGAAGATGGTTGTGTTGTGGGAGAGGCTTGTGGCGTATAAGGAGAAGCTGATTTTGTGCGCGGTGATTGCGCTTGACTGATATGATACTGTGCTTACAGTTGACAACAAGTCATGTAGAGTTGAGTATGCTCTTGGTGTTACCCTTTGATGAAATGACTACATATGAGACTTGACTTGAATGTGATGAATCTCTTTTGTAGTCATGTGTGAAATCGTTTTGTTGGAACATTGTGCATAATTAGGCAAGAATTTGTTCTTAGACGAAGCATCCAATGTATAATTAGGCAAAAATTTGTTCTTTTTCACAAATGTATTATGAGATTTTGGTGCTCTGTTTGTGATCATCTTGTATAAAACCTCATTTTCTAAATTCTCCCACTTACATGTAACTGTTTAACACTAGAGTCAAACGAGCAAAAGAATTCTATGAGTCTATGACATGCTTCATCATGCCCACATTAGAAGCTAATCGATTAGCATGATAATGAGAACAAAGAACCATTTATTGTTCTCTAGCTCATACCGCCTGACCACAATGCCCTCCAGCTCCCTTCGTATCACGATCAATTGTGAATCCACACACATTGTTCCCTTATTGCTATGGACAAAGCATTAGTCATGCATTGGTAATACAGGAAGCTGTCAAAAATTCTTAAAATCCTTATCAAAAATTGTCCAGTGAGATCCACCACTAGAATGCACACACATATGGTTGCACAAGCCCACGTTCTTGTTTCACCTTAAAAATCTCACGACTCTCGAGTAAATGTAAATTTTTTTTGTTAAAAAACTGAAGCTTCTAGTATTCAAAATATGAGGCACAGAGGAAAATCTCAAGCTGATGCTCCTTAGAAAGCCAAGGAGCGAAATGCTTATCTTCACTTTCTTCCTTCTCTTCTCCTTCCGAATCAAAACAAGGTTCTGCATTCAAGTCAGGAATGTAGGGCTTGGTGCCAACTGTTATAACATAATATTCATCAAACAGTTGGCACCAAGCCCTACATTCAAAGACTTGAATGCAGAACCTTGTTTGATTCGCCCTACATTCCCAGACTTGAATGCAGAACCTTGTTTTGATTCGGAACGAGAAGAGACGGAAGAAACTGAAGATAAGCATTTCACTCCTCGACTTTCTAAGGAGCACCAGCTCGAGATTTTCCTCCGTGCCTCATATTTTGAATACTCGAAGCTTCAGTTTTATAACAAACAACTTTCACATTTTTTCGAGAATCGTGAGATATTTAGAGTATGGCAAGAACGTGGGCATGTGCATTTGGGTGGTGGATCTCATTGGACCATTGTTTATACGAAGTTTAGGAATTTTTGAAAGTTTTCAGAATTAGCAATGTGCGGGAACACAATTGATCGTTATAGGAGCAGAGCTGGATCAGATTGTGGTTATATATAAATCAATGTTATTCAATAAACTTCCATGAAACATGTCGTTGACGAAATTAATTTTCTAAATAACATATCATTGACTGCAGAAAACACATCGTTGACTAGAAAATAGTTCCAAAATATTCAGTGTGTTAAATAACATACTAAACTTATTGTCTAATAGCACATATAAAAAATCCTTCAACTTAAAAACAACAGTTAAGGAATTTAACTTAAATTGTAAACATAGTTAAAATTATCTATATAATACAGGGAATAATTTTCTTCGCTTACACAATCTAAAGACTAATGTACATTTTTTTTCTTGGCATTGTATTTCTCTCCGATGTTCGCAACTTGAGGTATTACATTTTTCGTTATCTTAATTCCTCCACCCCAAAAATATTGCTTCCACTGCCCTATTCTTTTCTTCTCCTTTCGAATTGCATTTTTCATATGTTATTTGCTTTATTCATGTGTTTAATCTTTATTCTTATCAACATAAAACCCTTGCATTGTGAAACAACGAACACATTTTATTTTTATATTTAAATCCTAACAAGTCTAGCGAAGGTCTTTAAAATAAATAATCATTAAATAATAATCAAATAACATTATCGGTTCAGCGGAAGCAAACAAATAAATAATCAAGTCTAACAACTTAAACAATTTCAAATGAAATAACGCAAACATATAAAAATTCTGTCATCCCCTCTTAAGCCTTGATTCCGCGATCACATAAACCTTTTACCTGCAACACATTGCGATAGAGTTGCGTAAGTATTTGATAAATACTTAGTAAGGCAATCACCCTGCCTACGGGCCAATTATGCGATTACTAGCAATTAAATAACATATTAATAATTATTATAAACCTAAATAATTATTAAAACTTCAATTCTCAATTATTAAATAATTCTCATAATTAAATAATAATTTTACATCTTTAAAATATTTAAAATAATTATTTTAAGCCAATTAATTAATTAAATATCATTTATTTAATTAAATCCGAATTAAACCAAATCAATTCTATTAAACCTATTAATTTAAATTAAACCAAGATAAACCAATTAAATCAATTACCAGTACCGATGAACAGTGCCGAATCGCGACGATGAACAGTACCGGTGAACAAACCCGATGAACAGTGTCCAATGAACAGTTTCGATGAACAATGTCCGATGAACAGTGACGAAATCAAGCTCTAAAACTCTAATCTCGAAAATTGAGCCAAAGGAAGATGGCTGCACTGTTTTAAACTCAATTTTAGGGCTTCCCTGTCTAAACCGGCCCAAACCAGCAACTTAATTTGAACTGACGAAATTCCCAATTTTTGGTTTACATATGTTACAAATTGTTTGATTTAGCTTAGACCTTTAAACTTTATGATTGTGTAATGTGTGAAATCCAATCCCTTGTGGTTCGACCCCTAAATACTACAATTATATGTTGTGCACTTGCAACTCTAGTTGTCTTTTAAGGATTTATTACTTGTACTCATCCCGCATGCCCATCACTTGCCAAACCATACCTGACCCGTGGTGTGATCATGGCTAGATCTCCGAATCATTTATTGTTCTCTAGCTCATACCGCCTGACCACAATGCCCTCCAACTCCCTTCGTATCACGATCAATTGTGAACCCGCACACATTGTTCCCTTATTGCTATGGACAAAGAAATAGTCATGCATTGGTAATACACGAAGCTGTCAAAATTTCTTAAAATCCTTATCAAAAATTGTCCAGTGAGATTCACCACTAGAATGCACAAACACATATGGTTCCACAAGCCCGCGTTCTTGTTGCACCTTAAAAATCTCACGACTCTCGAGTAAATGTAATTTTTTTTGTTAAAAAACTGAAGCTTTTAGTATTCAAAATATGAGGTACGGAGGAAAATCTCAAGCTGATGCTCCTTAGAAAGTCAAGGAGCGAAATGCTTATCTTCACTTTCCTCCTTCTCTTCTCCTTTCGAATCAAAACAAAGTTCTGCATTCAAGTCATAAATGTAGGCTTGGGCTGTAAATGGTAACTGAGGAATTGTGGAATCTTGAGGAATTCAGCTGAATTTTTATTGTGTGTTACCATTTGATCTTGAAGAATGCTGCTGAATTAAAATCTGAGGAATGCAGCTGAATTTGGAGAAAAGATTATTCAATTGAAAATTTATAAGCCGAGACCACGTGTGACCAATGAAAATAAAGAAGTCATACCACTTAAAAAAAAAAGGTATACATTAGTAAAATTTAAAATAAAATATTTACACAGAGCTAAATTCTATATGCTTTTTATCTTCTTTTTAAAATTACCTGAACAGCAGCACAATAATTAAAAATTCAATATACCACAAAAATTAACATAGAGCTTTTATTAAAAACTAGATTAAGACCCGCGTATACGCGGGTTTATTTTAAGATTTTGTAATAAAATCATGGAAAAGTATTAAACCAAATTTGATCATTTTAAAGTAAACAGAATAACATTAAAAACCCGATAAAAATATTTAAATAAAATTAGATCGGTAACCTTTTACGTTTTTATTGTAATTGATATTTTTTTTTGAATTCATGATATGAAAAATGAATTAATTTGTTTTATTTTTATTTTTATCCAATATAGAAAGACTTATATATGTCTAAATATGATCAACTGATTAATTAATTCAACAAAACTTTATTATTCCATTCAAGAGATTTCAATTGATGAAATCTTTATTTAATAATTTTTTACCTAACAATATTGAAAATTAAACTATTTAAAATTAGAATATCGGTTCATTATATTTTCTTAATATTAGTTAGTTGCTTGATAATTAATTTGTTAGTTTTCTATTTATATTGTTTCTTTCTCAATTTTGTTTTTGACTCAGACCATTATAAATTTTCATTTTCATTATTAGTTAGTTTTTTTTTTTTAGTTTTTATATCTGTTTAACATTTTTCCAATTAACATGTCTTCACCGGATCAAATACATCTAACGACAATAATTTTGATTTCTATCCAACCGATATAGAGTTAGATACATGTATCGACAATAATTTTGATTTCTATCCAACTAATATAGAGTTAAATATTATTCATTGATACCATGAATTTTAAATACATGATTTTTTATGAGAGAAAAGATTATACAAAAGATAGAAGCACATAATTGAATCGCAATAGCTTATTGTGAGTTATAAAAATCATATGTATTGCTATCATGTTGTTTGCTTTGATGAGTTTGTGAATGAGAAAAAAAAGACTACTTTAACTCTCTTTTTATAGGGGTTCATGTAACTTATTCCATGCAGTAATAGGAAATTTAGTTTACATAACCTATTTCATGTACTAATAGGATTTTATTTATTTGATTAATTTGAATCTTATATGTGTTTGGATAATATAAATTTGATGAATGGGAAACCTTTTTCTATTAGGATATGACAAATATTTTTTTTTCTTTCTTTTAACTATAAAAAATTAAAATTTCGTTTTTTTTCCTTTATCTATGTTTTTTTAATTATTTTTTTTAACTTATTTCATGTACTAATATGATTTTATTTATTTCATTAATTTGAATCTTATATGTGTTTATAATATAAATTTGATGAATGGGAAACCTTTTTCTATTAGGATATGACAAATATTTTTTTTCTTTTAACTATAAAAATTAAAATTTCGTTTTTTTTCCTTTATCTATGTTTTTTTAATTATTATTTTTTTTTCTTTTTTTCTAAGACACATGTCACGATCTTAACGGATATAACATTAAAAGTGACACATGTCGCAATCCTAAATTTTATAAAAATCATACGTGTCGCAACCACGTCGCGCGCATCCAGCTTTATATAATAAGATATTCTGGTTCCCAAAAAATAATTTTTTTTTTGATGTGGATCCATGTAATAAAAAAAAATTATTAAAGAAAATTTATTTTAGTCTACGACAAAATTAACTATAAGTATATCAAAAATATATTTTTTTTAAAAATAATTATAGTACATAAACTTTGGGCAATAACAAAAGAGAACAACCGGATAATATCATTATGCATACAATACGAAAAAGAATTAAATAAAAAATATGTTATGATTTTCATTAATAAATTGATAACTATAAAATATTATGAATCAATATTTATATTTGTATATTTCAAAAAAAAATCAAATTATTATTTAGTTATTTCACAATATATATATTTTTTGTTATTTTATTAATTCAACTGGTTAAATATTTTGTTAGGTATTTATTCCGCATTCAGCAAAATTCAGCTGTTACCATTCACATTATGAACTAATCAGCCAGATTCCGCAACTATTCATCATTTAATTCAGCCAGATTCCGCATTCAGCAAAATTCATCGGTTACCATTTAGACCCTTGGTGCCAACTGTTATAACCTCCGAACCATTTATTGTTCTCTAGCTCATACAGCCTGACCACAATGCCCTCCAGCTCCCTTCGTACCACGATCAATTGTGAACCCACACACATTGTTCCCTTATTGCTATGGACAAAGCAATAGTCATGCATTGGTAATACAAGAAGCAGTCAAAAATTCTTAAAATCCTTATCAAAAATTGTCCAGTGAGATCCACCACTAGAATGCACAAACACATATGGTTGCACAAGCCCGCGTTCTTGTTGCACCTTAAAAATCTCACGACTCTCGAGTAAATGTAAATTTTTTTTGTTTAAAAACTGAAGCTTCTAGTATTCAAAATATGAGGCACGGAGGAAAATCTCAAGCTGATGCTCCTTAGAAAGCCAAGGAGTGAAATGCTTATCTTCACTTTCTTCCTTCTCTTCTCCTTCCGAATCAAAACAAGGTTCTGCATTAAAGTCAGGAATGTAGGGTTTGGTGCCAACTGTTATAACATAATATTCATCAAACAGTTGGCACCAAGCCCTACATTCAAAGACTTGAATGCAGAACCTTGTTTTGATTCGCCCTACATTCCCAGACTTGAATGCATAACCTTGTTTTGATTCGGAACGAGAAGAGACGGAAGAAACTGAAAATAAGCATTTCACTCCTCGACTTTCTAAGGAGCACCAGCTCGAGATTTTCCTCCGTGCCTCATATTTTGAATACTCGAAGCTTCAGTTTTATAAGAAACAACTTTCACATTTTTTCGAGAATCGTGTGATATTTAGAGTATGGCAAGAACGTGGGCATGTGCATTTGGGTGGTGGATCTCATTTGACCATTGTTTATACGAAGTTTAGGAATTTTTGAAAGTTTTCAGAATTAGCAATGTGGAACACAATTGATCGTTATAGGAGCAGAGCTGGATCAGATTGTGGTTATATATAAATCAATGTTATTCAATAAATTTCCATGAAACATGTCGTTGACGAAATTAATTTTCTAAATAACATATCATTGACTGCAAAAAACACATCGTTGACTAGAAAATAGTTCCAAAATATTCAGTGTGTTAAATAACATACTAAACTTATTGCCTAATAGCACATATAAAAATTTCCTTCAACTTAAAAACAACAGTTAAGGAATTTAACTTAAATTGTAAACATAGTAAAAATTATCTATATAATACAGGGAATAATTTTCTTCGCTTACACATTCTAAAGACTAATGTACATTTTTTTTCTTGGCATTGTATTTCTCTCCGATGTTCGCAACTTGAGGTATTACATTTTTCGTTATCTTAATTCCTCCACCCCAAAAATATTGCTTCCACTGCCCTATTCCTTTTCTTCTCCTTTCGAATTGCATTTTTCATATGTTATTTGCTTTATTCATGTGTTTAATCTTTATTCTTATCAACATAAAACCCTTGCATTGTGAAACAACGAACACATTTTATTTTTATATTAAAATCCTAACAAGTCTAGCGAAGGTCTTTAAAATAAATAATCATTAAATAATAATCAAATAACATTATCGGTTCAGCGGAAGCAAACAAATAAATAATCAAGTCTACCAACTTAAACAATTTCAAATGAAATAACGCAAACATATAAAAATCTTATCATCCCCTCTTAAGCCTTGATTCCGCGATCACATAAACCTTTTACCTGCAACACATTGCGATAGAGTTGCGTAAGTATTTGATAAATACTTAGTAAGGCAATCACCCTGCCTACAGGCCAATTATGCGATTACTAGTAATTAAATAACATATTAATAGTTATTATAAACCTAAATAATTATTAGAACGTCAATTCTCAATTATTAAATAATTATCATAATTAAATGATAATTTTACATCTTTAAAATAATTTAAAATAATTAATTAAATATCATTTATTTAATTAAATCTGAGTTAAACCAAATGAATTCTATTAAACCTATTAATTTAAATTAAACCAAGATAAACCAATTAAATCAATTACCAGTACCGATGAACAGTGCCGAATCGCAACGATGAACAGTACCGGTGAACAGACCCGATGAACAGTGCCGATGAACAGTGTCCAATGAACATTTTCGATTAACAATGTCCGATGAACAGTGACGAATCAAGCTCTAAAACTCTAATCTCGAAAATTGAGCCAAAGGAAGATGGCTGCACTGTTTTAAACTCAATTTTAGGCTTTCCTGTCTAAACCGGCCCAAACCAGCAACTTAATTTGAACTGACGAAATTCCCAATTTTTGGTTTACATATGTTACAAATTGTTTGATTTAGCTTAGACCTTTAAACTTTATGATTGTGTAATGTGTGAAATCCAATCCCTTGTGGTTCGACCCCTAAATACTAAAATTATATGTTGTGCACTTTGATAAGTAGGATTTTTGTATCAACTACTCTCAATCCATACCACTCATGTCATTGTAGTACTTGAGATGTCAATCCAAGTGGAGATTTAAACTATCGAAATAAAGAAAAGGCAAAGATCAAGTTTTGATAAAAGATTGGGTTTTGTTTTGTAAAGATCTATGCTTTAAGCTAACAAGATGAAATAAAGATTTAAACTTTAACAATAAAGATAAAGGAGGCGTCTTGGGTGAGATTAGTTGGGATCAAACGAGCTCAACCTTCCTTTCTCAACACACCAAGACTCAAGCTTTGTGCTTAGACTTTGGGTAAATCCGCCACTCTCGTGGTCAGATCGCTTTGCAAGCTGAGAATCCAAAGCTAGCTCTCGCTAGTGGACTCAAAGTTACAAGCTTTCACAAGATCTAGTCTAAAAGTGCACAAGATACATCCCAACAACCAATCTCTTAGGTTGGGAATGTTTCTCTCTATCGCTAGCTCTCTTAGGCATTAACGCAAACACCTTCTAGGTGTACTAGCCTAGATTCGCGACTTCAAGTGATCAAGAAGAAGCCGAGATATAAAGCTCTAGCTAAAGAAAAGCTGGTCAAGGGAGATTAAGGAAGAGGTTAACAGGAAGCTAAAGCTCTGACCTTTCCTAATCTCACCCTCGAAACCTCTAAAGAACTACTCGCTACTCATACTCGAACCGAAAGCAAAGAGGTAAAGAAAGCTAGAAATCATCATTAAGACAAGATTAGCAAACTAAGTACTTCTTAAACTTAAAAGATTCAAAGTAAAAGCTTACAAAAGATCTCCAAGAACAAACTGTTTTTCTTGGAGAGAAACTGGTTACAAGATAAAGATTGCCTAAAAATTAGGTCTTAAAGGTTTATATAGAGAAGGGAAAAGTGTATCCTTTGGTCAACGTTTTTGCTTTGACTTCACAGATGCGCGCAGCTTGAGCAACTTCCTCAAGCACTCTGTTTCCTTTTGCTCAAGGCTCTGTTCCGTCTTGCTTGTTTTGCCATCCGATTACTCCGATCTCCTTCTGGTCCATCTCCGATCATCACCTCCGGTCCCTCCTTCGCCATAAGCTCCGAATACCTGATAAATGCACCCCAAATGCAATGGAAATGCAAAATGCTATCCTAAAGGCTAAATGATCCTAAGTAGACTAAAGCTACTCTAAATGTTATGAAATGGGACTCAATTATACACAGAACTATGCAGTATGAGAGGCTAAATGTATGCAAATGTTGAGTACATCAACACCCCCACACTTAGTCTTTGCTTGCCCTCAAGCAAACATCAACCAAGCATAAGAGTGTTCTCTGAGCAATAGAGTCAAGTGAAAGCCGAGAAGAGAAATTGAATCAACAACCTAGTTCCAAGGTCTAAAGCGCAAAAGATGTTCTCTACTTCAAAAATCTTAGCCGCACCTTCATAATACAATCAATGACAACTAGCTCAACCTAAACATGCATTCAAATCCTCTACTCCTTTTAACATTCATTAAAGCTCAAAACAGTGAATCAAAACACATGCAAGTCAAGTTAACTCGTTTGGCCAGATGGAAAGAGAGAGAGCAAATCACAATGCAAGCTCATGTCAAATGACAAAGGAAGGGTTCTCTCAAGAAGAAGTGAAACAGCTTCGGCATAATGCTAAAGGCGAGAACCAATTGGGAGGTACAAGGACAAATGATCATCTACCCGAAACCCCAAGTACCTTTTTGGTGACTCTCAAATCCGAAACTTCCTATTTCTACCCTTTCCCTTTGGGTTTTCCTTTTCCTTCTCCTTTTCTTAGAGCTTTTGAAACTTTTAGCGAATTTTTCTAAGGCTTTTTGAAAGATAAACTCGAGAGACTTGGTCTAAACTCTTGCCCTAACCCATCTTTTCCTTTTGAAACGCTTTTTTTCTTTGTTTTTTTATTTTATTTTCTGATGGGGGCTTTCTTAAACTCACAGACCAAGCTCTTTATCTACCTCAGTTAAAACGCTTCTTTTCTTTTTGCTCACAAGCTCTTTCTTTCTTTTTCTTTTTGAAACTCCCACCCCAAGACATTCCCAAACCCAGGTCCTAACCTAGTCTGGCCCAAAAAGCGTGGACCAGAATCTACATGATCACCTATCCTTGTCGGCTCAAGACCTAACACTTTATGCCAAGCTTTTTCAAAAATGGCCTCACAACACACAAGAACAACATTTGGTTTGAAAGGAAGGGTTGGTTAAGGGCAGGGAGTTCTACTTGAATCAACAAAGACGGATAAACAATGATGCAAAGATGATTCAAGTATGTATAATCCACGAGTTGAACTTAACAAGCATGAGTATGATAATTAAAGATCAGGTTCAGGTTTCACTTAAGCAAGGAGTAGATTCAAATCGCAGCAATGCATTCGGTTTTACTAAGACAGTCATGATGCTTTTTGATGATGCGGTTCTACCTTAACTTCAAGAACTATCAAAAGCGCCAAACAACTTAGAACTAGGGCACTGAGCAATTCTGCAACTCAATCAATCAGCTCAACAAACATTGCTCAGATGCAAATGAAATGATCTTAACTACATGCTCTGTTTTTGGTTTTTTTTTTAGCAATGCAAAAATGAAAATTTTACATGATTTTCTAAAGATGCAAATGCATGAGACTCAAAGGTTATGCAAAATATAAAATAAGAACATAAAGCACTTCGTCAAATACCATTGACCCTCTCCCCCACACTTAGTTCACACGGTCCCTTGTGTGATAAAAAGGTAGAAGAGAGAATCAAAGCAAAAGATAAGTGAAAATAAAAATGAAAAATGCATGCTATTTACAGTTTGGGGTTCATACCTCTCAGAAAGAATCTGAGGAGGAGGATGATGTGGAATCACCCTTTGTGCTCGCTTGAGGTGACTTCGATGCCTTCCTCTTCCTGGTTGAGGTCTCTGCCGTTTGGAATTTGGAGGAGCCTTCATCACCTTCTTTGGAGTCCTCGACCACGTTCTCGCCGTCGTCGCCATTGTCGTTAAGCAAAGTAACAGCTCCATAAGGAAGGACGTCCTTAATCTCAAACGGGCCCGACCACTTGGACTTGAGCTTCCCAGGGAACAACTTAGCTCTCGAGTTGAAAAGCAGCGCATATTCTCCAACCTTGAAGACCTTAGGCACAATTTTCTTGTCGTGAAATGCCTTAGTCCGTTCTTTGTAAATCTTGGAGCTCTCATATGCGTCCAGCCTGATCTCTTCCAACTCATGTAAGTCGAAACCCCTCTTCTCTTGGGCAGACCTGATGTCGAAGTTGAGCAGTTTGATTGCCCAGAGTGCTCTGTACTCAATCTCCACCGGAAGGTGACACGATTTCCCGTAAAGGAGCGAGAAAGGTGTCCTTCCTATTGGCGTCTTATAGGCGGTCCTGTAAGCCCAGAGAGCGTCGTCCAACTTAACTGCCCAGTCCTTCTTGGTGACTCCCACAATCGTCCTGAGGATCCCCTTTATCTGCTTGTTCGACACTTCCACTTGACCACTTGTCTGAGGATGGTATGGTGTCGCTACCTTATGCTTGACTCCATACTTCTTCAGCAAGTTCTCGAAGACTTTGTTGATAAAGTGGCTTCCTCCATCGCTTATTACAACCCTTGGCACTCCATATCTCGGGAAGATGATGCTTTTGAACAGCTTGAGCACAACCTTGGCATCGTTCGTTGGGGAAGCGATTGCCTCGACCCACTTGGACACATAGTCAACTGCCACTAGGATGTATCTATTCCCATGAGAAGGTGGCTCAAAGGGGCCCATGAAGTCGATGCCCCATACATCAAACACTTCCACCTCAAGTATCGGGTTTTGTGGCATTTCATTGCGCTTGGAAATGCTCCCTTCTCGTTGGCATCTATCACACCTTGCAATGAAGTCGTGAGTGTCTTTGAAAAGGCTTGGCCACCAGAATCCGGCTTGAAGAACTTTGGAAGCTGTTTTGAAAGTCGCAAAGTGACCTCCGTAGCTCGATCCGTGACAATGCTCGAGTATTCCTTCTACTTCCTCCTGAGCTATGCACCTCCTAAACAGACCATCTGATCCTCTCTTGAACAGGTATGGTTCGTCCCAAAAGAAGTGTGAGATGTCCCTGAAGAACTTCTTCTTCTGGTAAGGAGATAGATCGGCCGGGACCTCTCCACACACCAAGTAGTTGGCGTAATCTGCATACCAAGGCGCTTCCTTTTCCTCAACTGCCTTCAACTGCTCTAACCGAACTGCCAAACCTACGCTTTTCCCAGACTTTCCACCAAGAGTAGCTGTTCCTCAGGCAGAGTATCGTCGATAGGTGCGGTTCATTTACTCTCATCCTTGAGAGATGATCCGCAACTCCGTTCTCAACCCCTTTCTTATCCAAAATCTCGAGATCGAATTCCTGGAGAAGAAGTATCCATCTCAGGAGCCTTGGCTTGGTGTCCTTCTTTGCCAACAGATGTCTTAAGGCCGCATGATCGGTGTAGACTATCACCTTTGAACCCACGAGATAACTTCTGAACTTCTCGAACGCAAAGACTACTGCCAAGAGCTCTTTCTCAGTTGTTGCGTATCGTCCTTGGGCATCGTCCATGGTTCTGCTTGCGTAATATATCACGTGGAGCTTTTTGTCTATCCTCTGGCCAAGCACAGCTCCCACGGCGTAGTCACTAGCGTCACACATGATCTCGAAAGGGTAGTCCCAGTTTGGTGCTTGCACAATCGGGGCCGTGACCAAGGCAGTCTTGATCATCTCAAATGCCTTAAGGCACTCCTCGTCAAACAGGAACTCAGTCTCCTTGCACAAGAGGCGTGTCAAAGGACGAGCTATTTTGGAGAAGTCCTTGATAAATCTCCGATAGAAACCGCGTGCCCAAGGAAACTTCTCACGTCCTTGACTGTCTTTGGTGGAGCAAGCTGACTCATCACTTCAATCTTTGCTTGATCAACCTCTATCCCCTTTTCTGATATCTTGTGTCCCAAGACGATCCCTTCCCTGACCATAAAGTGACACTTCTCCCAATTGAGCACTAGGTTCGTCTCCTCGCAGCGCTTGAGAACCCTGCACAAGTTGGACAAACAAGACACAAAGGAACTGCCATAGACAGAAAAGTCATCCATAAACACTTCAACAGTGTCCTCAATCAAATCAGAAAAGATTGACGTCATGCACCTTTGGAAAGTCGCCGGAGCGTTACACAATCCAAAGGGCATACGTTTATAGGCAAAAGTTCCATAGGGACATGTGAAGGTCGTTTTCTCTTGGTCATTAGGGTGGATGGGGATTTGAAAGAATCCCGAATAGCCATCAAGGAAGCAATAGAAAGGATGGTTTGCCAACCGCTCAAGCATCTGATCGATGAAAGGCAGTGGAAAATGATCCTTCCTAGTCGCCGCATTGAGCTTTCGGTAATCTATGCACATTCGGTGACCGGTTATGGTTCTGGTTGGGATCATTTCGTCTTTTTCGTTCTTGACTACTGTGATTCCACCTTTCTTGGGCACACAGTGTACCGGCGAGACCCAAGTACTATCCGAGATAGGGTAGATCACGCCGGCGTCAAGCAACTTAAGGATTTCCTTTTTCACCACCTCTTTGAGGTTGGGATTTAAGCGTCTTTGGTGTTCAATAGATCCCTTAGATTCGTTATCAAGGTGAATGCGATGAGTACAAAGCTCAGGAGATATGCCTTTGATGTCCTCTAAAGAGTAACCAATTGCTCTCCTGAACTTCCTCAACTCATTAAGGAGGGAGGTTAATTGGGGTGGGGTAAGTTCTTGGTTCACAATTACGGGATAAGTTGAATTTGGTCCAAGAAATGCGTACCTTAGCCCATCTGGTAAGGTCTTGAGGTCCACCTTTGGGGCTTTGAGCTCGCTCCAGTCATCGTCTGAAGGTTGCTCGAGGTCGTGCTCTGCCTCTACCTTGTGGATTTCCTCAACTCTCACGGAGCGTCCTATGATTTCCTCAACCACGTCATTGGGAACAGTCCCTCTGTGGGAGTCTAAGAGTCGAGCATACTCCAAGGATTCGGTGTTGAAGTAGCTCTTTTCCTCCGCTTTCTCAGTCAAGGTTAGCTGAAGCTGGTCCTCTGTGGCTAACTCCTCTAGATACTCGTCTGCCAACTGATCCAAAGTCTCTACCCAGAAGAGCTGTCCATCAATGGTTGGTTTCTTCATCGACCTCTTGATGTCGAAGCTGAGCTTGAAGTCATCTCCAAAGTTTAGCTCAATCTTCCCTCTCTGAACATCGATGATAGCTCCAGCGGTTGCCAAAAAGGGCCTTCCCAAGATCAGCGGATCCTTGGGTTCTTCGTCCATCTCAAGGATAACAAAGTCAGTGGGTATCTCCACGTTTCCTACTCGCACAGGCAAGTCCTCGAGCATACCCACTGGGATGCGTACTGATCTATCCGCAAGTACCAAGGAAACGTCGCACTTTTGATACTTCTCGAACCCAAGCCTTTTAGCTACCGTGAGTGGCATTACAGATACGCCTGCTCCAAGATCACACAAGCTTCGGTTGAATGCCAGAGGACCAATAGAACAAGGAAGAGTGAAACTGCCCGGATCTTCAAACTTCTTCCCAACCACTTTCCTAGTGATGATTGCACTACATTCCTGAGAAAGAACGACCATGCCCTGAACCTCTTTTCTTCTCTCGGTTACAGCGTCCTTGAGAAATTTCTGATAGGGAGGGATGAGCATACATGCGTCCAAGAAGGGCATTGTAATATCAATCTCCTTTATTTGCTTATCAAACAGGGCTCTAGCTTTCTCAAGCTGTTGTTTCTTGAATCGAACAGGAAAGGGAAGTTGCGGTTTGTAAGGAGGAGGAACGAAAGCTGGGGCTTTCTTCTTCTTTTGCACTTCCTCTGGTGCTTTCTCTTTCTCTTGAACTGGTGGTTCCTCTTCAGTCACAGGTGCCGTGGCTTCAGTTTCAACTGAAATCTCCTCCTCTTGTTCCTCAATGTCCTCATTGACTGGTGCGGGTCCTGTTCTTGGAGGTAAAGCGCGTCCACTTCTCAATGTAATTGCTTGTACGTATTCCTTGGGATTCTGCTCTGCTTTACCCGGAAGTTGACCTTGCGTTCTGGATGAGGAAGCTGTTCCGCCTTTGTGTTCAAGCTGATGGATTCTACTTGTGAGAGCTTCAATCTTAGTCTGAAGGTCGTGGTGCGAGAAGTCGATTCTCCCATTGATCTCAGATAGTCGCTTGTTGAGATCCACGTTTCCGGTAGACTGTCCCTGAAGTAGTTGCTGAAGCATCTGCTTGACTCCAGGTTCTTGTGGACCTTGCTTAGCTTCGAATCCAGGTGGAACAGAGGTGTTTTTCTGATAGCCTCCTTGGTAATTTTTGTTGTACCCATCACGTGGTTTAGTTGGGTACATCTTTCCTTGACCAGACGTGTTGGCTTGAGGAGGATAGACTTGGTCCTGGGGGTTCTCTACATTCGTGCTTCGATAGGACATATTGGGGTTGTTCTTGTAGTAACCCTGGCTATGAATGTAGTTGACGTCCTCAGTGTAAACTCCTCCTCTTGATCGTCATCACGTTCCTCCAGCATGTGTACCGACTGTTTTTGCTGGACTATAAGCAGTTTGTCAAGCTTGTCGTTCAGCACTTTCAGTTCCTTCTTGTGCTTTTCCTCTGCTTCGACGGATCCTCTGTTTGTGCGGTCATGATCTTCGCCGTATGTACCATTGCTCATTGCCATGTTTTCCACCAAAAACAGACCGTCGTCGACGTCTCTGGCCAAGAAGTTGCCTTGGCTTGCTGTGTCAAGCATCTGCCTGAAGCGAGGCAGTACACCACGGTATAGAGTGCTTAAGAGTGACTCTTGAGAGAAACCGTGGTGTGGGCACTTCGACTGATATCCTTTGAAGCGTTCCCAGGCGTCTGTGAAACTCTCGCCGTGCTTTTGTGCGAAGCTTGAGATGTTGGTTCTGAAGCTTGCAGTTCTGACTGAGGAGAAGAACTTAGCCAAGAAGGCTTTCTTGCACTGATCCCAGCTTGTGATGGACCCTCGAGGTATCGTCTTTTCCCATTGGCGAGCTTTGCCATCAAGTGAGAATGGGAATAAACGAAGTTTGGTTGCGTCTTCGCTTACCCCATTCTGTGTGATCAAATCACATGCTCTGTCAAACTCGTCAAGATGGTCCAACGGGTCTTCCTCAGGTAGACCGTGATAGATCTTTTGTTGGACTTGATGCAGAATGTGCGGTTTGATTTCGAAGTTGTTGTGCACATTCGGCGGGGCTATGCCTTGACGGTTTTCGTGAGTGTTAGGTGCATCGCCGGCACCTATTTGACGGTGAGGTCGCAGAGGTGGGTTGTTTCGCTGACCACCTTGTTGTTCCGGTCCGGGTGGGAATCCTTCCTGTTGGGGTTGGGCTGCCATGTCCGGAACCTCTTGTCTTCTGGTTCGCGAAGTAACTCTGCGTGACCGTTTGTTTTGCTCTGCTTTGTCAAGATCGCTTGTACTTAGGAGGTTGTCTCGTCCTTTGGATCTGGTGTGCATACACCTGAGGTCAAAGATGAGAGGTTTCACAGAAAGTTAGCGACTTTAGGCAAGATAGAGCAAAACCGACTTAATCTAAGGTTTTTCTTGAAAACGAAATGCTTAAAAGTCTCCACTTTGGCAACGGCGCCAAGTTGATAAGTAGGATTTTTGTATCAACTACTCTCAATCCATACCACTCATGTCATTGTAGTACTTGAGATGTCAATCCAAGTGGAGATTTAAACTTATCGAAATAAAGAAAAGGCAAAGATCAAGTTTCGATAAAAGATTGGGTTTTGTTTTGTAAAGATCTATGCTTTAAGCTAACAAGATGAAATAAAGATTTAAACTTTGACAATAAAAGATAAAGGAGGCGTCTTGGGTGAGACTTAGTTGGGATCAAACGAGCTCAACCTTCCTTTCTCAACACACCAAGACTCAAGCTTTGTGCTTAGACTTTGGGTAAATCTGCCACTCTCGTGGTCAGATCGCTTTGCAAGCTGAGAATCCAAAGCTAGCTCTCACTAGTGGACTCAAAGTTACAAGCTTTCACAAGATCTAGTCTAAAAGTGCACAAGATACATCCCAACAACCAATCTCTTAGGTTGGGAATGTTTCTCTCTATCGCTAGCTCTCTTAGGCATTAACGCAAACACCTTCTAGGTGTACTAGCCTAGATTCGCGACTTCAAGTGATCAAGAAGAAGCCGAGATATAAAGCTCTAGCTAAAGAAAAGCTGGTCAAGGGAGATTAAGGAAGAGGTTAACAGGAAGCTAAAGCTCTGACCTTTCCTAATCTCACCCTCGAAACCTCTAAAGAACTACTCGCTACTCATACTCGAACCGAAAGCAAAGAGGTAAAGAAAGCTAGAAATCATCATTAAGACAAGATTAGCAAACTAAGTACTTCTTAAACTTAAAAGATTCAAAGTAAAAGCTTACAAAAGATCTCCAAGAACAAACTGTTTTTCTTGGAGAGAAACTGGTTACAAGATAAAGATTGCCTAAAAATTAGGTCTTAAAGGTTTATATAGAGAAGGGAAAAGTGTATCCTTTGGTCAACGTTTTTGCTTTGACTTCACAGATGCGCGCAGCTTGAGCAACTTCCTCAAGCACTCTGTTTCCTTTTGCTCAAGGCTCTGTTCCGTCTTGCTTGTTTTGCCATCCGATTACTCCGATCTCCTTCTGGTCCATCTCCGATCATCACCTCCGGTCCTCCTTCGCCATAAGCTCCGAATACCTGATAAATGCACCCCAAATGCAATGGAAATGCAAAATGCTATCCTAAAGGCTAAATGATCCTAAGTAGACTAAAGCTACTCTAAATGTTATGAAATGGACTCAATTATACACAGAACTATGCAGTATGAGAGGCTAAATGTATGCAAATGTTGAGTACATCACACTTGCAACTCTAGTTGTCTTTTAGGGATTTATTACTTGTACTCATCCCGCATGCCCATCACTCGCCAAACTTTACCTGACCCGTGGTGTGATCAAGGCTAGACCTCCGAACTATTTATTGTTCTCTAGCTCATACCGCCTGACCACAATGCCCTCCAGCTCCCTTCGTACCACGATCAATTGTGAACACACACACACATTGTTCCCTTATTGCTAAGGACAAAGCAATAGTCACACACTCATAATACAGGAAGCTGTCAAAAATTCTTAAAATCCTTATCAAAAATTGTCTAGTGAGATCCACCACTAGAATGCACAAACACATATGGTTGCACAAGCCCGCGTTCTTGTTGCACCTTAAAAATCTCACGACTCTCGAGTAAATGTAAATTTTTTTTGTTAAAAAACTGAAGTTTCTAGTATTCAAAATATGAGGCATGGAGGAAAATCTCAAGCTGATGCTCCTTAGAAAGCCAAGGAGCGAAATGCTTATCTTCACTTACTTCCTTCTCTTCTCCTTCCGAATCAAAACAAGGTTCTGCATTAAAATCAGGAATGTAGGGCTTGGTGCCAACTGTTATAACATAATATTCATCAAACAGTTGGCACCAAGCCCTACATTCAAAGACTTGAATGCAGAACCTTGTTTAGATTCGCCCTACATTCCCAGACTTGAATGCAGAACCTTGTTTTGATTCAGAACGAGAAGAGACGGAAGAAACTGAAGATAAGCATTTCACTCCTCGACTTTCTAAGGAGCACCAGCTCGAGATTTTCCTCCGTGCCTCATATTTTGAATACTCGAAGCTTCAGTTTTATAAGAAACAACTTTCACATTTTTTCGAGAATCGTGAGATATTTAGAGTATGGCAAGAACGTGGGCATGTGCATTTGGGTGGTGGATCTCATTTGACCATTGTTTATACGAAGTTTAGGAATTTTTGAAAGTTTTCAGAATTAGCAATGTGGAACACAATTGATCGTTATAGGAGCAGAGCTGGATCAGATTGTGGTTATATATAAATCAATGTTATTCAATAAACTTCCATGAAACAAGTCGTTGACGAAATTAATTTTCTAAATAACATATCATTTATTGCAAAAAACATATGGTTGACTAGAAAATAGTTCCAAAATATTCAGTGTGTTAAATAACATACTAAACTTATTGTCTAATAGCACATATAAAAATTTCCTTCAACTTAAAAACAACAGTTAAGGAATTTAACTTAAATTGTAAACATAGTTAAAATTATCTATATAATACAGGGAATAATTTTCTTCGCTTACACATTCTAAAGACTAATGTACATTTTTTTTCTTGGCATTGTATTTCTCTCCGATGTTCGCAACTTGAGGTATTACATTTTTCGTTATCTTAATTCCTCCACCCCAAAAATATTGCTTCCACTGCCCTATTCCTTTTCTTCTCCTTTCGAATTGCATTTTTCATATGTTATTTGCTTTATTCATGTGTTTAATCTTTATTCTTATCAACATAAAACCCTTGCATTGTGAAACAACGAACACATTTTATTTTTATATTTAAATTCTAACAAGTCTAGCGAAGGTCTTTAAAATAAATAATCATTAAATAATAATCAAATAACATTATCGGTTCAGCGGAAGCAAACATATAAATAATCAAGTCTACCAACTTAAACAATTTAAAATGAAATAACGCAAACATATAAAAATCCTGTCATCCCCTCTTAAGCCTTGATCACATAAACCTTTTACCTGCAACACATTGCGATAGAGTTGCGTAAGTATTTGATAAATACTTAGTAAGGCAATCACCCTGCCTACGGGCCAATTATGCGATTACTAGCAATTAAATAACATATTAATAATTATTATAAACCTAAATAATTATTAGAACTTCAATTCTCAATTATTAAATAATTCTCATAATTAAATGATAATTTTACATCTTTAAAATAATTTAAAATAATTATTTAGAGCCAATTAATTAATTAAATATCATTTATTTAATTAAATCAGAGTTAAACCAAATCAATTCTATTAAACCTATTAATTTAAATTAAACCAAGATAAACCAATTAAATCAATTACCAGTACCGATGAACAGTGCCGAATCACGACGGTGAACAGTACCGGTGAACAGACCCGGTGAACAGTACCGATGAACAGTGTCCGATGAACAGTGACTAATCAAGCTCTAAAACTCTAATCTCGAAAATTGAGCCAAAGGAAGATGGCTGCACTGTTTTAAACTTAATTTTAGGTTTTCCTGTCTAAACCGGCCCAAACCAGCAACTTAATTTGAACTGACGAAATTCCCAATTTTTGGTTTACATATGTTACAAATTGTTTGATTTAGCTTAGACCTTTAAACTTTATGATTGTGTAATGTGTGAAATTCCAATCCCTTGTGGTTCGACCCCTAAATACTAAAATTATATGTTGTGCACTTGCAACTCTAGTTGTCTTTTAGGGATTTATTACTTGTACTCATCCCGCATGCCCATCACTCGCCAAAATTTACCTGACCCGTGGTGTGATCATGGCTAGACCTCCGAACCATTTATTGTTCTCTAAATCATACCGCCTGACCACAATGCCCTCCAGCTCCCTTCGTACCACGATCAATTGTGAACACACACACACATTGTTCCCTTATTGCTATGGATAAAGCAATAGTCATGCATTGGTAATACAGGAAGCTGTCAAAAATTCTTAAAATCCTTATCAAAAATTGTCCAGTGAGATCCACCACTAGAATGCACAAACACATATGGTTGCACAAGCCCGCGTTCTTGTTTCACCTTAAAAATCTCACGACTCTCGAGTAAATGTTAATTTATTTTGTTAAAAAACTGAAGCTTCTAGTATTCAAAATATGAGGCACGGAGGAAAATCTCAAGCTGATGCTCCTTAGAAAGCCAAGGAGCGAAATGCTTATCTTCACTTTCTTCATTTTCTTCTCCTTCCGAATCAAAACAAGGTTCTGCATTCAAGTCAGGATTGTAGGGCTTGATGCCAACTGTTATAACATAATATTCATCAAACAGTTGGTACCAAGCCCTACATTCAAAGACTTGAATGCAGAACCTTGTTTAGATTCGCCCTACATTCCCAGACTTGAATGCAGAACCTGGTTTTGATTCGGAACGAGAAGAGACGGAAGAAACTGAAGATAAGCATTTCACTCCTCGACTTTCTAAGGAGCACCAGCTCGAGATTTTCCTCCGTGCTTCATATTTTGAATACTTGAAGCTTCAGTTTTATAAGAAACAACTTTCACTTTTTTTCGAGAATCGTGAGATATTTAGAGTATGGCAAGAACGTGGGCATGTGCATTTGGATGGTGGATCTCATTGGACCATTGTTTATACGAAGTTTAGGAATTTTTGAAAGTTTTAAGAATTAGCAATATGCGGAACACAATTGATCGTTATAGGAGCAGAGCTGATCAGATTGTGGTTATATATAAATCAATATTATTCAATAAACTTCCATGAAACATGTCGTTGACGAAATTAATTTTCTAAATAACATATCATTGACTGCAGAAAACACATCGTTGACTAGAAAATAGTTCCAAAATATTCAGTGTGTTAAATAACATACTAAACTTATTGTCTAATAGCACATATAAAAATTTCCTTCAACTTAAAAACAACAGTTAAGGAATTTAACTTAAATTGTAAACATAGTTAAAATTATCTATATAATACAGGGAATAATTTTCTTCGCTTACACAATCTAAAGACTAATGTACATTTTTTTTCTTGGCATTATATTTCTCTCCGATGTTCGCAACTTGAGGTATTACATTTTTCGTTATCTTAATTCCTCCACCCCAAAAATATTGCTTCCACTGCCCTGTTCCTTTTCTTCTTCTTTCGGATTGCATTTTTCATATGTTATTTGCTTTATTCATGTGTTTAATCTTTATTCTTATCAACATAAAACCCTTGCATTGTGAAACAACGAACACATTTTATTTTTATATTTAAATCCTAACAAGTCTAGCGAAGGTCTTTAAAATACATAATCATTAAATAATAATCAAATAACATTATCGGTTCAGCAGAAGCAAACAAATAAATAATCAAGTCTAACAACTTAAACAATTTCAAATGAAATAACGCAAACATATAAAAATCCTGTCATCCCCTCTTAAGCCTTGATTCCGCGATCACATAAACCTTTTACCTGCAACACATTGCGATACAGTTGCATAAGTATTTGATAAATACTTAGTAAGGCAATCACCCTGCCTACGGGCCAATTATGCGATTACTAGCAATTAAATAACATATTAATAATTATTATAAACCTAAATAATTATTAAAACTTCAATTCTCAATTATTAATTAATTATCATAATTAAATAATAATTTTACATCTTTTAATTATTTTAAGCCAATTAATTAATTAAATATCATTCATTTAATTAAATCCGAATTAAACCAAATCAATTCTATTAAACCTATTAATTTAAATTAAACCAAGATAAACCAATTAAATCAATTACCAGTACCGATGAACAGTGCCAAATCGCGACGATGAACAGTACCGGTGAACAGACCTGATGAACAGTGTCCAATGAACAGTTTCGATGAACAATATCCGATGAACAGTGACGAATCAAGCTCTAAAACTCCAATCTCGAAAATTGAGCCAAAGGAAGATGGCTGCACTGTTTTAAACTCAATTTTTGGGCTTCCCTGTCTAAACCGGTCCAAACCAGCAGCTTAATTTGAACTGACAAAATTCCCAATTTTTGGTTTACATATGTTACAAATTGTTTGATTTAGCTTAGACCTTTAAACTTTATGATTGTGTAATGTGTGAAATCCAATCCCTTGTGGTTCGACCCATAAATACTACAATTATATGTTGTGCACTTGCAACTCTAGTTGTCTTTTAGGGATTTATTACTTGTACTTATAACATCTGTAGCCCATTTTGTGGAGTTTTAAAAGTTGCGTCCGGCGACGGAAGAGTTGCGTCGGTCGACGCAAGGTTTTCAAAATCAAACCCGGTTCAAATTAAGTCAATTGGGCCCGGTTTAGCCTGGTTTGGGTCTGGAAACTCTATTTTTTTTAGTTAAAAGTCGTGGGGCAGCCTTCTTTTGGTTGTTTGGTGGCTCAGAAACTTGAGAGAAGAAGAAGAGAGGTGATTGTGGTGATTTGGAGGTGTCTTGAGCGAATCTGTGGTGATTTGTGGCTATTTTTCAGTTCTTCTTCTCCTTTTCCTCTGTTTCAATCCAAATTAAGGTGAGTGCATGACTGTAGGTCCGCAAATCACTAGATCTGGATTGATTGAATGTTGTTTTTGAGGTGTTCTTATGATATAAGGTTTATGTGATGATGTTTGGTTGATTCCTGTGTTAATTTGGTGTTTCTGCGTGTTTTATTGATACTAGAATTAGACCCGCGCTACACAGCGGTAGATTTTCATTTATTTAATCTTGATCATTTTTTTACTGGTTTGTTAAATATATGTAAAAAAAAAACAGTTTGGGCTTATATCATGTTATAATTTGTTTGTTATTTCGTATAAGCCCAATTGATCTATCAATTCTTTTCTTTTTTTTAATATTGTGTGTTGCCATTTCGGTTTTGCGGGTGGGCTAGGAAACCCGTACAAACCGACTGCTTTTCTGTATGATGAATAACAGTTTTCCTCTTCGTTTCACTTTTTCCGTTATTTGGAAGGCTTAATCGTTAACATTGCGCTGCTTCATAAGTCATTTCAAAATTTTGGAGGCTATTGAGTTTTTCAATTTTCGAAAAAGTGAAAAATGCGAATGATTTATTCAATTTCTGAATCTGAATTTGATCCTCCATTTGTCCCATGAATTGTATGATTGTTGTTGGATTTAATAAGGTTAGAGTTTATTGTCTGTTTAGTTGGCTGTAAGAAGAAGACCAATTTATGTCAATTGTGTACTTATACTTTGGTTTTTTCAATTGCAGTTGATTTTGGTTTGAATTACATTCTCTGTGTCTTAAGCGGAAGGAGTGGTCATGAATTTGGGTCTGCCTTCGTGGAGGTTTCAGGTAATAATTCCATTGCTTTGATATGCCTCTGGTTTAGCTTAGGATTCCGTTATGCTTTTCCTTTATTTTGATTAGATCTCTAATCTGGTTTTCTTTTGTTTTCTCTATGTTTTTGCTTAATGCTATGTTCTACTGTTGTCAGTTTTTGTGCTGCCTTTGTTTTTCTTGGATTTCTTCTCTTCTTTTCTCTTCTAATCAATTTGAAAGATTGTTCCTGTAAGAACACTTGATCTACGATTGTTTGACACAGAGAGGTTTTACTCTAGGTGATTGAATAGATTAACAGAATAACTTTTTTGTTTCTTGTTATGTTGTTATTGAAGGCTATTTGTGGAGATTAGAATCTTGGGGAGAAAATATATTACAATAATCAGATAATAAAACAAAAGTTGGACTCATGGTATCGAGCCTATACGATGCTAAAGAACACGGGTACATTGTTCTAGCATTTGTTATTCTCTTTACTCTCGTCAATCTTTTCCTTGATAACTATCCCATCGATGATCTTCTCTCTTTGTGTCGTTGACCAAGTCTTTTTTTTTCGGATTCCACACATACTTTGTAGAAACTTCTTCATATTTTAGGCTACCTCTTTGCGAAAAAGCTGCCAATTTGTCTTCTTTTCCAGGCATTTGATTGAATATGTGAATAATTAGCTAAAGAGTGAACAAAATTAAAGGAAAGTTACAAAAACAGAGCGTAGTATCATATACCTTTGAATGTTTGGTTGATGTTTTTCTGATCTGAGGTCGAAGAGGAACACTTGAGGTCTATTTATGGTTGTTTTTTGTCGTTTCGTTTCTGGTAGATTCATAATGAATATATGAATACTTTGAATAAGATCTAACTTTAATGTATTGGGATTGTAGTTTCGTATAACCTCTAAGTTTGACCACTCTCATTGAAAACTACATTATACTATTTGTAGATATGCTTTTATCTTTTAATTCATACGTATATGGTTGTCTAAAAAGCCATATGCAACTCTAATCTCTTTCTAAGAGCATGTTTATTGGTGAAACCCAAAAATGTTTCTTAACATTATTCTAACAATAAACTTAAGTTAAGAGATCTTGTTAAGAGACATATGTTTTTACATCAATTATTGGTAAAGTTTCTTAAGTGTTCTTAACTTTTTTTTTTTGTGAATTAAGTTTATTTTTATATAAAACATTAAATATCTTACATTGAATAAAAATTGAATCATAGTTTGACATAAAAACATTTATATACAGCATTTGAAAACATAGTGATGTTGCCAAAACATAGCGATGGAATCTTGCTTGTTACGCGAGCTAATAGAACAGTCATCAAGACTGTAACTGGAATCCATGTCCAAGAGCAAAAGGACAGAGGGAGGCAAAATAACCACATGACGCAGAAAAAGACTGATCATGAAAGCACCACTATAAGTGAATTTGCAAACAGTGACGAATTTAGAGACATGTTACGTTTAGTTGCAGTAAAACGAGAATGGCAGTGTCTGAGTCAAAGGTTACAAAAGAGCAACAACTCCAGCGATTGGTTTGGAATCTTAATCATTATCATATATAATAGATACTCTAGTAGAAAAGAACAGTTACAAAAACAGAGCGACATAAGCGAAAGTTACCATAATTTAGCCAAACTTGTTCATACAAACAGAATTTCAAGAGAATAAAAGAACAATGCCGACCTTTCGACTACTTTTTTATTAGAATACAACAATCTTTTAGCCAGAAAATCTGACAATCTCTCTTTAAGGTTTTGCTACTCCATTACATGACTTAACAGACGCATTTGTTCATCTTGGGATTGTTGAAATATTGATTAAGAAACAGAGAGAGAGGGATTGAGACAAAAAAACAGAGTAAGAGATTGATTATCTCTTCTCTCGTGAAGAAGAACATTTACGAGGAAGTTTGTTATTACACTGAAACTTGATGTCTTTACATCACGTGTTACATCATGGTTATATACTAAGACAACAACACAAAGAGTTGTGTCTTAACAAACCCTAAACCAAAAGTCACGACTTTACAAAGACAACGTTTAATACAAACTTTATTCTAACTTAGAAATCTCATAACCTAAACTCAATTAATTCAAACAGGGATCACCATTAGGCTTCTTTTCTGTTTCAAACAAACATCTTTCTCTCTGTCAATTTCACAACAGATTCAGGTCGGAAATTAGCTAAACTAGTTGTGACTGAGTCGCCTGATGGGCTTGTCTCCTTCATTCTTCCTTCTATCATGTAAGGTCTCGTTTTCCAGCTCTGCTCGCTGTTCCTGCAAAGTAAACATTCTGAATGATCAAGAAAATAGATATATTCTTCCGCTATTATGTGATCACATAAGCTTACATTTCTGTATATGCAGTAAGAAACTTATTTCACAGCAAAAGCCAAGTGGGACTAAGTTGAAGAAGTTCCCATACAAATGTTTCTCTTGAAGCTTTGAGATCTCATCCTTTCAATGATCCGCCTCTGTACAATTCTCCTGGTTCTAAACGGCAAATCCAATTTGTAATACAGACAATCACTTCAGAATCTAACACAAAACAAAGAACGATAACAATACACTGAGAGCGAAAGGATTCAAAATCTTACATGTAGTGGTCAACAATCTACACCAATCCATCAAACAATAGCTTATACAGGTAACAGTAAGCACATCAGAAAAAAATGTGACTTTAAATTTTACTAACCTGAATCTCCCGCAAGACCTCGACACGCCTTCTGATTTTAGGAGTCACATTCTCGAGCACATCAGAATGCTCTCCAGCCAGATTCTCCAGCTTGTTCTGTGAATCAAAACATTTAACAATCACAACCAAATCTCCAGGGAAACTAAAATGTAGAGCACAAATCTATTCTCTTAAACACAGAAATGTAATCGAAACCTTCAAATCGCACATTCCTTTAAGTATATTGCGAAAAAATCTCCAGAGAACAGATAGAAACTCACCTTAACAGCTTTAACAAGGCCTGCTCGATCCTCATCCTCAAACAATAATATCAAAATAAATAAGCTTCTTTAACAGACGGAAAGCTAGAGCTTAGCAAATCTCGACTGAGAAAACTTTGACCAGGACGAAGCAAAGTGGCAGAAACAAAGAGACGGAACAAATCGGATTGGTAAATTACCAGCAGTGAGATGGCTGACGTTGAAATTGTCCTTGTCGTTGCTCATTTCTGGGAAATCTCGAGATCGAAATTGAAATATTTGAGAATCGGAGACTGTGGTTTGAAAAGTGGTGGAGAGATTGAGGAAGAAGAGGAGACGAGGGTTTCTGGGTGGCGACTAAACGCTAAACGTGTCTTCCTTTATAAACATATCTGGTAATCATATTCCTAGATGAGGGTTTCTGGGTGGCGAATCAAATTAAAAGACAAAACTTTGGGTGATTTGGGTGAAATTTCTCACTGAAATTTGAAGAAGAATGGAAGAGTCGCGAATCGCCTCAGAGCGAGGAAGAAGAGAGAGGAAGGCGAAAGTGAAAAAATGAGGAGAAGAAAAAAAACATTTTGCGTCCACTAAACTCGGTCCAATCAAACCTCGCCACGTGTCACTAAAGACGTCTCTAATTTATTTCAAGACTCTCTAATATAAGCGACGTTTTATGGTTAATATGACATTTCTGATTTAATTTAATGAGCCAAAAATGCTAAAAAACAGTGTAAGTAACACCAATAAACATGCTCTAATTGCGGTTAGTTTGTTGACCCATTAACGTGTTTTTTTCATCTTTGGACCATGTTTGAAGATTCAGTTTGTGAAACCATGTTATTAAACTTGAAATTTATATTGTTCCGAACTCATGATCTGGTTATAGAGGATAGAAATCATTTAGTACATAGTTGAACTTTTCAAACATTGAAATAAAATAATTTCAACTGGACTGTTTCTTCATGCTGATCTATGCCACGGTTTTTTTGTTTGTTAACTTTCTGCCTGTTCCATGTGTAATGGGTATCAAATAGATATCTAAAAATACACCTCTTGTGTAAAAGGCTTCTCTAAATAGCATGTTTTTATCAAGTGCAGAAACGATTAACCATCATTTTCTTTCTCATATCTATTTTAGAGTATTTCTGATGCTAGAATTATACATTTCATTCAAAAGAATTCTTAGTTATTTGATATTTCTGTCATTTGTTGTGGTTTGGAGGGGGGTCACTTTTACATATTCGGAGCCTTCTTCAGGAAAGGATACTAATAATTCATCTCATGCTATCATCTAAATTTACAAACCCCAAGCCCGTTATTATACATGTGTTGGTCGTCATTCAGGTCGAATCTGGAAAAATATGTTTCTAATCTAATATTGCACATGTAGCTCAAAAGAATTAGGAAGGTTGTCAGTTTGAGATTGCAGGTTGGGATCGAATTTGAGATTACAGGCGAAGAGAACTACACATGTTGAGGCTGAGATTGAGATTTAGATCGAATTTGAGATTTGCAGGAGAATTTACACTGCGAGAAGATAGAGATACAGAGAAAGAGCTTTGTGTTTTAAAAGAAAACTAATAGAGTACCCGCACGTTTGTGCGGTGTGACGTTGTTGTTTTGTGTAGAAAATTTAAACCCTAAATCCGAACTCAACAAAAAACCTTAATAAAAAATTTTAAAACCCAAACTTTTTTAATAGGTCTAAACATGAAAATCCGAAATCAAAAAAATCTCGAAAACCCTGACTGAACAAAAAAAATTCTGGAAACTTTTTCACCCGAAACCCGACCCCAATACCTAATCAAAATTTTAAAATACTCAATTTTTTTAATATATCTAAACTCGAAAACCAGAAATCTAAAAATCCGGAAAACCCTAAACTGAAAAAAAATTGAACCTAACCCGAACATAAATTTTCAAAGAAAGCCGAACAATTTCCATATCTCTTTTTATTTATTTATTTATTTATTATTATTATTTTTTTTTGAATTACTAAGAGGTTCTGGGCCGAAACCCGTACATCCCCTTAGGCCCGAAACCACAACATGTAATATTGGTTTCGTCCCAAGCGGCACTCGATCCTGTGACCTCTAAGCTTTGCCTAGGGTCCCTTTACCAGTCGAGCTATAGCTACTTGGTAGATATCTCTATATATATCTCTATAAAATTATGTCTCATATTTTCACCCAAACCCGAACTTGTCTATAAAAACCCGAAAATCCAAAAAGCATATTTTATTGATTTGGAATTATTGTTAGATTATGTTAAGTTTTTTTTTTTGCAGATTTTTATGAGATGGAAAACGGAAGTTTTCTAAACCATCGGTTTATATTAAGTTATTATTCTTGTATCCAAACAATTTTTTTTCCATTTATTCTTCTATCCAAATAGATTTTTCTCTTATTCTTATATCCAAACAACTTTTGTTTCCATTTATTCTTCTATCCAGATAGATGTTTCTCTAATTCTTGTATCCAAACATTAGAATGTAATTCTCAATTAATAATATAAAGATCTGATGTGTTTAATTTTTTCATTTAAAAAGCTGACTGGTATTATTTAGAATGTTTCCATTGGTTGCTTGTTTTTAATGATGTGTCAGGTGCAGGAAGCTTAAAAATCCTATGTGTCATCACCTGGAGAGGTACATGGACTTTTGCTGTGTTTATTTCTGTCGACCTGAGGGACATGCGTCGGTCGACGCAAAGTGGTCTGCGTCTGGCGATGCAAAGCTTGTGTTGGTCGACGCAGCCAGTTTTGTCTGGTTCAATTGGAAATTGATTTCTGGTTCAAATTAAGTGACTTCTGGTTAAAATCTGATTAAATGGTTTAATTCGAATTTAATTAATTAAATGATATTTAATTGATTAATAGGTTTAAAATAATTATTTAAATTATTTTAAAATATGGAAAATTATTATTTAATTATAAAATTTATTTAATAATTGAGAAATGGAGTTTTAATTATTAATAATTATTTAATAATTGGAAAATGGTATTTAATAATTATTGGAGTTTATAAATATTATTAAATATCTAGTAAATTGCGTAATTGGCCTGTAGGCAGAGTGATTGCCTCACTAAGTATTTATTAAATACTTACGCAACTCCATTCCAATGTGTTGCAGGTAAAAGATTTGTGTGATCGCGGAATCAAGGCTGAAGAGGGGGATGATAGGATGTTTACTGTTTTATTATTTTGCAGTGTTTGACTTGCTAGTACCTCGTGTTTAGGTTGCTAGTATTATTATTTATTGAACAGGATTTATTATTTATTTAATTATTTAAAGACTTCTGCTGAATTGTTATTTAATTTATTTTAAAAAAAAATGTTGGTTGTTTCAGTACTCATCCCGCATGCCCATCCTCGCCAAACCATACTTGACCCGTGGTGTGATCATGGCTAGACCTCCGAACCATTTATTGTTCTCTAGCTCATACCGCCTGACCATAATGCCCTACAGCTCCCTTCGTACCACGATCAATTGTGAACCCACACACATTGTTCCCTTATTGCCATGGACAAAGCAATAGTCATGCATTGGTAATACAGGAAGCTGTCAAAAATTCTTAAAATCCTTATCAAAAATTATCCAGTGAGATCCACCACTAGAATGTACAAACACATATGGTTGCACAAGCCCGCATTCTTGTTTCACCTTAAAAATCTCACGACTCTCGAGTAAATGTAAATTTTTTTTGTTAAAAAACTGAAGCTTCTAGTATTCAAAATATGAGGCACGGAGGAAAATCTCAAGCTGATGCTCCTTAGAAAGCCAAGGAGCGAAATGCTTATCTTCACTTTCTTCCTTCTCTTCTCCTTCCGAATCAAAACAAGGTTCTGCATTCAAGTCAGGAATTTAGGGCTTGGTGCCAACTGTTATAACATAATATTCATCAAACAGTTGGTACCAAGCCCTACATTCAAAGACTTGAATGCAGAACCTTGTTTTGATTCGCCCTACATTCCCAGACTTGAATGCAGAACCTTGTTTTGATTCGGAACGAGAAGAGACGGAAGAAACTGAAGATAAGCATTTCACTCCTCGACTTTCTAAGGAGCACCAGCTCGAGATTTTCCTCCGTGCCTCATATTTTGAATACTCGAAGCTTCAGTTTTATAACAAACAACTTTCACATTTTTTCGAGAATCGTGAGATATTTAGAGTATGGCAAGAACGTGGGCATGTGCATTTGGGTGGTGGATCTCATTGGACCATTGTTTATACGAAGTTTAGGAATTTTTGAAAGTTTTCAGAATTAGCAATGTGCGGGAACACAATTGATCGTTATAGGAGCAGAGCTGGATCAGATTGTGGTTATATATAAATCAATGTTATTCAATAAACTTCCATGAAACATGTCGTTGACGAAATTAATTTTCTAAATAACATATCATTTACTGCAAAAAACATATGGTTGACTAGAAAATAGTTCCAAAATATTCAGTGTGTTAAATAACATACTAAACTTATTGTCTAATAGCACATATAAAAAATTCCTTCAACTTAAAAACAACAGTTAAGGAATTTAACTTAAATTGTAAACATAGTTAAAATTATCTATATAATACAGGGAATAATTTTCTTCGCTTACACAATCTAAAGACTAATGTACATTTTTTTTCTTGGCATTGTATTTCTCTCCGATGTTCGCAACTTGAGGTATTACATTTTTCGTTATCTTAATTCCTCCACCCCAAAAATATTGCTTCCACTGCCCTATTCCTTTTCTTCTCCTTTCGAATTGCATTTTTCATATGTTATTTGCTTTATTCATGTGTTTAATCTTTATTCTTATCAACATAAAACCCTTGCATTGTGAAACAACGAACACATTTTATTTTTATATTTAAATCCTAACAAGTCTAGCGAAGGTCTTTAAAATAAATAATCATTAAATAATAATCAAATAACATTATCGGTTCAGCGGAAGCAAACAAATAAAAAATCAAGTCTAACAACTTAAACAATTTCAAATGAAATAACGCAAACATATAAAAATTCTGTCATCCCCTCTTAAGCCTTGATTCCACGATCACATAAACCTTTTACCTGCAACACATTGCGATAGAGTTGCGTAAGTATTTGATAAATACTTAGTAAGGCAATCACCCTGCCTACGGGCCAATTATGCGATTACTAGCAATTAAATAACATATTAATAATTATTATAAACCTAAATAATTATTAAAACTTCAATTCTCAATTATTAAATAATTCTCATAATTAAATAATAATTTTACATCTTTAAAATAATTTAAAATATCATTTATTTAATTAAATTCGAATTAAACCAAATCAATTCTATTAAACCTATTAATTTAAATTAAACCAAGATAAACCAATTAAATCAATTACCAGTACCGATGAACAGTGCCGAATCGCGACGATGAACAGTACCGATGAACAGTGTCCAGTGAATAGTTTCGATGAACAATGTCCGATGAACAGTGACGAATCAAGCTCTAAAACTCTAATCTCGAAAATTGAGCCAAAGGAAGATGGCTGCACTGTTTTAAACTCAATTTTAGGGCTTCCCTGTCTAAACCGGCCCAAACCAGCAACTTAATTTGAACTGACGAAATTCCCAATTTTTGGTTTACATATGTTACAAATTGTTTGATTTAGCTTAGACCTTTAAACTTTATGATTGTGTAATGTGTGAAATTCAATCCCTTGTGGTTCGACCCCTAAATACTAGAATTATATGTTGTGCACTTGCAACTCTAGTTGTCTTTTAGGGATTTATTACTTGTACTCATCCCGCATGCCCATCACTAGCCAAACCATACCTGACCAGTGGTGTGATCATGGCTAGTCCTCCGAACCATTTATTGTTCTCTAGCTCATACCGCCTGACCACAATGCCCTCCAGCTCCCTTCGTACCACGATCAATTGTGAACCCACACACATTGTTCCCTTATTGCTATGGACAAAGCAATAGTCATGCATTGGTAATACAGAAGCTGTCAAAAATTCTTAAAATCCTTATCAAAAATTGTCCAGTGAGATCTACCACTAGAATGCACAAACACATATGGTTGCACAAGCCCGCGTTCTTGTTTCACCTTAAAAATCTCACAACTCTCGAGTAAATGTGAAATTTTTTTGTTAAAAAACTGAAGCTTCTAGTATTCAAAATATGAGGCACGGAGGAAAATTAAGCTGATGCTCCTTAGAAAGGCAAGGAGCGAAATGCTTATCTTCACTTTCTTCCGTCTCTTCTCCTTCCGAATCAAAACAAGGTTCTGCATTCAAGTCAGGAATGTAGGGCTTGGTGCCAACTGTTATAACATAATATTCATCAAACAGTTGGAACCAAGCCCTACATTCCCAGACTTGAATGCAAAACCTTATTTTGATTCGCCCTACATTCCCAGACTTGAATGTAGAAGCTTGTTTTGATTCGGAACGAGAAGAGACGGAAGAAACTGAAGATAGGCATTTCACTCCTCGACTTTCTAAGGAGCTCGAGATTTTCCTCCGTGCCTCATATTTTGAATACTCAAAGCTTCAGTTTTATAAAAAACAACTTTCACATTTTTTTGAGAATCGTGATATATTTAGAGTATGGCAAGAACGTGGGCAAGTGCATTTGGGTGGTGGATCTCATTGGATCATTGATTATACGAAGTTTAGGAATTTTTGAAAGTTTTCAGAATTAGCAATGTGCGGGAACACAATTGATCGTTATAGGAGCAGAGCTGGATCAGATTGTGGTTATATATAAATCAATGTTATTCAACAAACTACCATGAAACATGTCGTTGACGAAATTAATTTTCTAAATAACATATCATTGACTGCAGAAAACACATTGTTGACTAGAAAATAGTTCCAAAATATTCAGTGTGTTAAATAACATACTAAACTCATTGTCTAATACCACATATAAAAAATTCCTTCAACTTAAAAACAACAGTTAAGGAATTTAACTTAAATTGTAAACATAGTAAAAATTATCTCTATAATGCAGGGAATAATTTTCTTCGCTTACACAATCGAAAGACTAATGTACATCTTTTTCTTGGCATTGTATTTCTCTCCGATGTTCGCAACTTGAGGTATTACATTTTTCGTTATCTTAATTCCTCCACCACAAAAATATTACTTCCACTGTCCTATTCCTTTTCTTCTCCTTTCGAATTGCATTGTTCATATATTATTTGCTTTATTCATGTGTTTAATCTTTATTCCTATCAACATAAAACCCTTGCATTGTGAAACAACGAACACATTTTATTTTTATATTTAAATCCTAACAAGTCTAGTGAAGGTCTTTAAAATAAATAATCATTAAATAATAACAAATAACATTATCGGTATAGCGGAAGCAAACAAATAAATAAACAAGTCTAACAACTTAAACAATTTCAAATGAAATAAAGCAAACATATAAAAATCCTGTCATCCCCTCTTAAGCCTTGATTCCGCGATCGCATAAACCTTTTTACCTGCAACACATTGCGATAGAGTTGCATAAGTATTTGATAATGACTTAGTAAGGCAATCACCCTGCCTACGGGTCAATTATGCGATTACTAGCAATTAAATAACATATAATAATTATTATAACCCTCAATAATTATTAAAACCTCAATTCTCAATTATTAAATAATTTTCATAATTGAATAATAATTTTAAGCCAATTAATTAATCAATTAAATATCATTTAATTAATTAAATCCGAATTAAACCAAATCAATTCCATTAAACCAATTAAACTCAATTAAATCAAGATAAACCATTTAAATTCAATTAAATCAAGATAAACCAAGTAAATCAATTAAATTCTATTGAACCAGATTTAACCAAACAAACACCCAGTTCACCACAGCAACAACCAAAATACCACGAAATAACAATCAAACACATAAACTTCTCAAGAATAACCACAAACAAAACCGAATCTGGCAATGTGCGAACCCACAGTCATGCACTCACCTCGAAAAGGAATTGAAACTGAAGGAAATAGGAAACACGATGAACAGTACCGATAAACAGACCCGATGAACAGTATCCGATGAACAGTGACGAATCAAGCTCTAAAACTCTAATATCGAAAATTGAGCCAAAAGAAGACGGCTGCACTCTTTTAAACTCAATTTTAGGGTTTCCTTGCCTAAATCGGCCTAAACCAGCAACTTAAATTGAACTGACGAAATTCCCAATTTTTGGTTTATAGATGTTACAACTCTTTCCCACTAAACTGGATTCGACCTCGAATCCCAACACAAAACGTCACAACGACCACAAAACCCGACCTCACAAGGCCACAACACTAGAGATCCGCACCTGATCCCCCAAGACACACATCTAATCTTATGTTATACGCCCTTCTCTAGACATCTTTACTCTTAACTCCTCACCTCAAAACACATGTACTGGGGCCACTACACCCAGACAAGTCTGCATCTACCCAAACTGGGGCCGCTACATCGAGGTGGGCTTGCCAACCGCTGCTTATAATGGGGCCACTACACTGAAATAAGCCAGCCACGGCTTATACTGAGGCCACTACACTCAGATAAGTCACTCATACTGAGGCCACTACACTCAAATGAGTCTGCCAAAGAACCGCTGTCTCCAAAAACTTTGATGAATTATTTAGGATCGCAATCCCTAGAGTAAAAATTCCCAAAACGACTATAACAATAAAATTAGAACTGTCTCACGACCCAAAAATGGTCAAACACTTTTACATCTGAATTACCATTTAAACCACACAAGACAAAAATGATGAATAACTGTATCTCATTAAAACTCCAAAAATGTATATCGTTACAACCGAAACGAAAATACAATAACACCAAAGCCAAAAACAACGACTGAGGCTACAAAGATGAAATAAGCTCACTTCTCGACCTGCTTGTCGTACCACGTCCCGAACTTCAACTTCCTCTTTGCATGTGGCTCCCAAGTCTCCTCTGTAGAACCACTGCAATCCCACAAAACTCAGCAAAGGGATCCTTTTGTTCCTCAGAACTTTATCCCTCCTCTCCAAAATCTTCATAAGTACATGTTTACATATAAACATAAGACGCAAATATTAAACAAACAGATATTAATAAAAAAACACAATTATAGACTATATTTATCAACTAGTTTGTTTGAAAATAAATTCAGTAGCAAACATCAGACAACAGTTATGAATAAAATGGTTGAACCTGTTGCAACAATCATTATAATGCTCACTACTTATGATGCAATATTAAAGTTATAGAATGACATACCGCATTTGTGGTTCATATATTTTGAATACTCCAAGCTTCAGTTTTATAACAAATAACTTTTACATTTGTCCGAGTATCCTGAGATATTTAGAGTATGGCGAGAACGTGGGCATGTGCATTTGGGTGGTGGATCTCATTGGACCATTATTTATACAAAGTTTAGGAATTTTTGAAAGTTTTCAGATTTAGCAATGTTTTGTCCATAGCGACAAGGAAACAGTTTTTGCGGGAATCGTTCTAGGAACAGAGCTGGATCAGATTGTTGTTATATATAAATCAATGTTATTCAATAAACTTCCATGAAACATGTCGTTGACGAAATTATTTTTCCAAATAATATATCATTGACTGCAGAAAAAACATCGTTGACTAGAAAATAGTTCCAAAATATTCGATGTGTTAAATAACATACTAAACTTATTGTCTAATAGCACAAATAATTTTTTTTTTCAACTTAAAAACAACTGTTAAGGAATTTAACTTAAATTGTAAATATAGTTAAAATTATCTATATAATACAGGAAATAATTTTCTTCGCTTACACAATCTAAAAACTAATGTACATCTTTTTATTTATCTCGGCATTGAATTTCTCTCCGATGTTCGCAACTTGAGGTATTACATTTTTCGTTTATCTTAATTCCTCCAACTCAAAAATATTGCTTCCGCTGCTCTATTACTTTTCTTCTCCTTTCGAATGAAAACATGAATTAGGGCTTGGTTAAAACAACTATAAGCTTCATTGTTTCCTTAGATTCTCACATGCCTACTCCAATTCTAGGAGCTTCATCTTTTGCTAACATCAACATTTGTCAGTTCAATTTACACTCGGCTTTTGATATCTCTTTCTGTATATTATTTAAAATTGAGAACCAATAGTTTATTTGCGTGAGTGTACTGTAATAATTTTAAATAAGAAATTATATTTTAAAACAATTCCAGTCATGTTAATCATTTATGTGTCATCCATCTCAAGGAAATATAACTAGCTTTCTATTCTTTCCAGAATTCAAATTGTAAACTTATTTCTTACGAATGGTTTGGACAAGTGATTATTCAATGTGCCCTATAAGCTTATATTTGAAGTATAACCATGTTCAGATCCATTACTACTAAACTTTCCATATCAAATTCATCAGATTCATAAAGCACGCCATATTAAACATAAACAACATTTTACTTTTACACAAGAAACGGTTACATTAATAACACTTACAAATGCCACATTGGTCTAAGAATAAAAAAATAAACAAAAAGAAAAACAACAACAAACACCACAAAACCGAAAGAAAAACAAAATTATAACAAAATATAAATAAAACCATAACAGCAGTTATGTTGTGACATGAAGATTTCCACAACTTATTTTAAACACCAAAAACAAAAGAGAAATCAAATATAATATGTTGCCAACTTCGTTTTGGAATAAACCTCAAGCAAACATAACACAACAATTGAGAATAAACTGATGGTAATAAGCAATGTCACAAGAATCCTTTAGTTCCTCCCAAAGTTGTTCTTCCACTTTTGGAGAAGGACGACATGTGTAAACCACCGTTCTCCTGTTGCAAGATTGAGAAGACGATGGTCCAATCACCAAAAGCCTATCTCCAATTGACTTAAATGCAACTCCCCAACCTAAAGTGATATTTGTTTCCACAGGCACAACACCAAGTTTCTTCCAAACGTTTGTGTTTCTATCATAAACACGAAGCTCACTCACAGAATTATCCATTAAGTAGAGGTTGTCGTCGACCACCGCAATAAGAGGAGGCGAGTGAGAAGACGTGAACGCCATTTCTTTGAGCATGTATGGTATCAGCTCCCAAGAATTTGTCTCTTCATCGTACATTTCTCCACAAGTTAGGTTTTCATTATTCTCATCTCGGCCACCAATTACGTAAAATTTGCCGGACAAGAAAAATCCTGAGCTGAATTTCCTTTTCTTGTGCATTTCACGAATCACTGCCCACGTTTTGGTATCAGCATTGTACTTCTCTACTATGTTTACAGCTTGATAGACCTCATTAATTCCTCCTGCAAAGAAAGCCTCGGTCCCACGGCTCGCCGAACCATACATGACCCGTGGTGTGATCATTGCTGGACCTTTGAACCATTTATTGTTCTCTAGCTCATACCGCCAGACTACAATGCCCTCCAGCTCCCTTCCTACGACGATCAGTTGTGACCCGCACACATTGTTTCCTTTATCGCTATGGACAAAGCAATAATCATGCATTGGTAATTCTGGAAGCTGTCGAAAATTCTTAAAATCCCTTATCAAACATTGTCCAGTGAGATCCACCACCAGAATGCACAAACACATATGGTTGCACAAGCCCGCGTTCTTGCTTCACCTTAAAAATCTCACGACTCTCGAGCAAATGTGAAAGTTTTTTGTTAAAAAACTGAAGCTTCGAGTATTCAAAATATGAGGCACGGAGGAAAATCTCGAGCTGGTGCTCCTTAGAAAGCCGATGAGCGAAATGCTTATCTTCAGTTTCTTCCTTCTCTTCTCCTTCCGAATCAAAACAAGGTTCTGCATTCAAGTCGGGAATGTAGGTCTTGGTTCCAACTGTTATAAGCTTCATTTCCTCTTTAGATTCTCCCAAGCTTGCACATATTCTAGGAGCTTGATCTTTTGATACATGAACATTTCTCGGTTAATTTTTGCCTCCGCTTAGATATCCTTTCTGTAAATTAAAATTAATCAACATTAGGTTATTTGCGACTATAGTATAATATATTAAAATGAAAAATCATATTTAAAACACTTTGCAGTCTTGTTGTTAAGAATTAATTAAGATTGTGTTTGTGATCCTGGATTAAAATTTGAGACTATTATTTTCTATTATTATAGCAAATGTGGTCGGAGAAAAATATACAAATTGTGGTGATGTTAAATGTTTCTTGATATGCCTTGCCAGATAGTGATATTATGGAAACATGTAGTCAATATGACAATATATCAATCTAGTTCAAATCTGGTTCAAATACATTGTTAAAAGAAAACAGATCATTATATTTTGATTTTATTATTACTAGTGGAAAATATAAAAATATATGGGATTCTTTGAAAAATACCCTATTTATGTTTAGATATTTGAAAAATACCCTAGTTTTTTTGTGTTTTGAAAAATACACTTTTTGTATGTAAAAAGATAGTTTTAACCTTATTTTAACAACCATTATTAAATAATTATTACTTAAATACAAAATTCAAAAAATATTATTATGAATTAAATTACTTTATTGTTGTTCAAATAAATGAAAGTCAGTTATTTAAAATATAAAATTTAAAAATTTAGCAATCTAGAGAAATTTTTTACTTTGTCTTTAATAGATTTAATTATTTTTGGAACCTTAGATAAACAATTTTAATATCACACATAACATAATATTCATCAAACATTGACCATAAGAGCAAAAAAAAAAAACATTTAGCAGATAATCAGGAATTAAATTTTTTTTGTGGGTTTAAAATGAAAAAAAAAATCAAAATAAGATCATTATCTTTTTTAAATTATTTATATTTTATTTTATTAATTAAATTAGCTAGAAACATTAAACTAGGATAATTCAGTCTTTTTACATATAAAAATGTAGTTTTCGAAATCCAAAAAAACTAGGGTATTTTTCAAATTAAAAACTGATATTAAGATAAATTTCCAAAATTTCTCAAAATATATACCTCAAATTAGTATTTATATATACCATTCTTATCACATATAGAGATTTAGAAATTATTAATTTTCTATAATATTTTGATAATCTAAATATCAATGTAGAAGACAAAGATTCATTTTTAATTATCTAGAATATGTAACTACATATAATCATATATTAAATGGATGTGTACTTATATGCCCAAAGAAAAGAAAACTTCAGCAGATAATTAATGAGACACATATGCTCGTATATACCTTGAAAGTTGAAGGAGAAGAGTTCACTGAATGCATACTCATAGTAGATTTAACTAAGTTTTTCTTTATTTTTATTTTTTAAGTCATGGTTTAACTAAGTTAAACACTAGTTATATATATACTTCTGCATATTTAATTATCTACTATAAAAAAATAAAATTATGATATGCTTTTATTTATTTATTTACCATAAAATAAAAGTCATAAAGTCTTAATTTGTCCATTTTTATTTTGAAACAATTGAACCTAATTTATTTTGGTACTTATTTAATTCTTTACCATAAAATACTTGTGGTAATAATTTTTTTTATCACTTTGACTGATATTTTGGTAGTTTTATAAAAGAAAATACATTGACTAAAGTTTTTGGTATGTACTTTAAAAAACTTAGTCAAAGTTATATACAAAAATTTCACAATGATATTTCCAAAAAAAAGTCATATCTTTTAAAAAAAATTACATTATTTAATTTTCATGGTATCATTATAGTATAAAATTTATAGCTTAACAATTTAAAAATTACTTTTGTATTACTTTGTCTTTTAGAACTGTTTTCTCGACTTTTAAAATTCCAAAAAGAGTTAATTATGTAAAAGTACTATTCTTTAATTCACTATCTTCATAAGCACATGTTTACATATAAACATAAGACGCAAATATTAAACGAAGATATTAATAAAAAAAACACAATTATAGACCATATTTATCAACTAGTTTGTTTGAAAATAAATTCAGTAGCAAACATCAGACAACAGTTATGAATGAAATGGTTGAATCTGTTGCAACAATCATTATAATGCTCACTACTTATGATGCAATATTAAAGTTATAGAATGACAACAACAATCTAAATTTTAGGTTTTTTTTTGTTAGTTTTCTATTTATTGTATGTATATTTTCGTTTATTTTATTCTTAAGATCAAATTTTAATAGAATTATTAATATGACGAAAATATTAATATTTTCTAATTTAAACAATTAAATTCGTGAATAATAACAAAAAAAAGAATGTGATAATGAAGATTTAATAAAATATTTTCATTAAGGGTATGTGGGTAATCAACCAGCTGAAAGTTAACATGGTGGCTGAAAACGAAATTCGGACTTCGCAAATACTATAGTATGATTAACTAGTGTCTAGTAAAGAGAATGTGATGTATCTTTTGTTGTTGTCAACGATGTGTTTTAAGTTTGAGGGTTGCATAAGAATAATTATCAAACTTTGGGATGTTACTGAATTGTATTGTCTGACTCCAAGGCTCCAAGCCAGGAACAGCTCTAGAGCCCTTTCACACACACTGATATAATCTTTCTCTTTTTTCTTTTTTTTTTTTTTTTAAAGGAAAAAGCCGATGATAATTTATAAGATTTAGATTTTTAATAAACTATTTATGATATCTTTTATATTATTAATTGAGAAGTACATTCTAATGTTTGGATACAAGAATTAGAGAAACATCTATTTGGATAGAAGAATAAATGGAAACAAAAGTTGTTTGGATATAAGAATAAGAGAAAAATCTATTTGGATAGAAGAATAAATGGAAAAAATTGTTTGGATACAAGAATAATAACTTAAAATAAACCGATGGTTTAGAAAACTTCCGTTTTCCATCTCTTAAAAATCTGCAAAAAAAAAACTTAACATAATCTAACGATAATTCCAAATCAATAGAATATGCTTTTTGGATTTTCGGGTTTTTATAGACAAGTTCGGGTTTGGGTGAAAATCTGAGACATAATTTTATAGAGATATATATAGAGATATAGAAATTGTTCGGGTTTCTTTGAAAATTTCTGTTCGGGTTAGGTTCAATTTTTTTTTTCAGTTTAGGGTTTTCCGGATTTTTTAGATTTCTGGTTTTCGGGTTTAGATATATTAAAAAAATTGAGTATTTTAAAATTTTGATTAGGTATTGGGGTCGGGTTCCGGGTGAAAAAGTTTCCAGATTTTTTTTGTTCAGTCAGGGTTTTCGGGATTTTTTTGATTTCGGATTTTCATGTTTAGACCTATTAAAAAAGTTTGGGTTTTTAAATTTTTTGATTAGGGTTTTTTGTCGGGTTCGGATTTAGGGTTTAAATTTTCTACACAAAACAACAACGTCACACCGCACAAACGTGCGGGTACTCTACTAGTATATTAATATTATACAAGAAAAAACCTAGAAAACAATACAGGTATCTGTCAGACTGTCACGCCTCCGTTTCGAACCTTCTCTGCCTCTTTCTCTTCACCTCCCTTTTGCGCCGGACTCCGGAGGAGCTACAATCTATTTTCGTCGTTTTTTCTCCTTACCCTAATTGATTTTCAGGTTTTTGCCTTCTTCTCTTTCTTTCTTCTTCAGCTCCGTTTTGACTTTCAGTTGAAGATTTTATTGATTAAAATTGATGTAAATTGGGTTTTGTCAGTAATCTGAGAAGTTTCAATCTTCTCTACATATAGGACTTACGATCATGTCTTAGGGTTTAGTCGAATCCCAATGAAATCAGTGTTTTAGCTCAGAACGAAATCCCCTTGATCGTTTTCCGACTTGCATTGACACAGGAAGTGAGAAAAAAATGGATTTTGACGACCAAGACAAACCAAAAGAGGTTGCTAAAACCCGGAGATTTGCACCGGTTCCTGCCGGAAAGCCCAAACCCAAACCTAAACCCGAACCTACGGCAGCAGAGAAACCCGACCCGCCTCCGCAAACTGTTGCTCCTTCGGAGTCTGTGAGCAAGAGTGAGCACGACGTTGATGCGAAATTCGTTGACTCCAAGGTTGAACCGGAGGTCTATAATGGCGTCGCCGTTAAAAGGGTGGTTGATCCGAAAGTGGACAAGGAGCCAGAGCCGGAGCCGGAGACGACGGAAGAAGAAGAAGACGTTGTTGTGCGTGAAATCGATGTTTACTTCAATCCGTCTATTGATGACAACACTAAGGTCAGCTAGAGATTCTTCAAAATTTTGAATTTTGCTAATCATTGCAGAGTTTTGATTTCTCAATTATGTTCAGCTTTATGTTCTACAATATCCCTTAAGACCGTCTTGGCGTCCATACGAAATTGATGAACGATGCGAAGAAGTGAGTGTTCTCTTTGTTTTTTGTTTTTTTGCTATTTACTCTCTTCTGCAATTTTCTTGTGCCCTAACCTTTTTGTTTGTGTAATGTGTGTCTTGAAGGTTAGAGTGAATCCCTCCACGTCTCAGGTGGAGATTGATATGTCTATGGATGTAAATTCGAGGAACTACGACTCCGAGTTTGGAAGTAAACTACATATGACTAAGCAGGTCAGATTTTACTTCTTCCAAGCTTTGATTCAAGTTTAATATTTTTTTTATGCAACTTCATTTTTCATTTGTTGTTGTTTTTGGTAGACATTGACAACAACGTGGAAGCAACCTCCTACGTTGGATTATGCTGTTGGGGTTCTTTCAGGTGATAAGGTATATTTTCTTCTCTCTTTTTCGTAGCTTGATAACATTTGCTGAGTAATGTGGATTATGTTATGAGAAATTTTAAGAAATACATGTGTCGATTTTCAACACTATACTTCTATAGTGTTAATTTTCAATATTACACTTTTTAAAAATTTAACATATATGTTTGGATTCACTAATCCTAGACTAGGGTTTAGGGTCTAGATTTTGGGTTTAAAGTTTAGATTTTGGGATATAAAGTTTATATTTTAAGGTTTAAAATTATTTTATTCCATGAAAAAGTGTAGTTTTGAAAATTGACATTCCACACTGTATATTTTTGAAATTTCCCCCTTATCTTATTGAATTTGGACTTATTGAGCTTGCAGTTACACTTGAATCCTGTTCATGCTGTCGCTCAGCTCCGACCGTGTATGGACTATCTTTCAACTAAAAAGAAACAAGAAGAAGCTATTAAAGAATCTGCGGGAACATCGAAGAAACAGGTATGAGTCTCATGATCTAACATCGTTCTTATTTTTGGTCTGAGTAGTTGTGCTAGTTATGCAACCGTTAACATGATTCTGATTATTTCATTTGTGGCAGAACAAGGGAGCGCAGGCTTTGGCGGATCAGAAACCAGTTATTGAAGAAGTATGAGAATTGGTTTTTATGTGACCGTTTCTAATATTTGAGTAGTTGTTAGAGATGGTGTGATTAACTTATGCTTTTATCATTCTTCTTCGTTTTAGAAATGGGTTTCACTCAAGTACCATGGACTTGAGTCCGAGTTTTGCTCCAAATATCTTATCGGAATGATGGCGAATGAGAACTCTTCAATAGACTTCACCATGACCCCGTATGATAGTCTTCCTTGATATACAGTTTGTGTTTACCTGCGTACCTTAAAACTTTTGTTGTTAATATCTTCTTGTATTTCATTGAAGGGACGTTTATATCAACTCACTTTGCCGTGGGGAAAGCAGCAGAAAACTTTGAATCAAAAGATATATCTAAACGGTGCAGTCCATCATACTTTTTGATATATCAATTTCTCGTTTCTTGTTCTTACGTATTCCTTAATGATATAGCCTTCTTCTGCTTTCAGGGTCTTGACCTCCCTACCGCAAAAATAAGAAGGTATGCGGAAACGGGAAACGCCAAATACAAACTTTAAGTTTTTTACTTTATTTTGCTTTTAAACTTTGTATTTACAAAATTTAACAAAATATTTGTTTTTCTTTTGACACAATATACATATCTTCTATTACTAATAAAAGTTGACCCTATATGCCTCTAAAGGTGTCCACATAGGATTCTAAAATTGAATTTGATTGGTCCACATAAGCATCTAAGAATAGTTTCCTATTTTTATTGTTAATATCAATTTACTTAATACTTAATTCTATTTTTATTCATATTAAGTGTGTAGAAAATATAAAATAAAATAAAATTAATGACATAAAAAAGAAAAACTTTCAAAAAATTCAATCTCATTGGTCCACATAAGCACCTTAGAATAATTTCCTTTTTATTGTTATTATGAATTTTCCTAAATACTTAACTCTATTTTTTATTCATATTAAAGTGTTTATAAAATAGAAAATATAAATTTTCTAATGACATAAAAAGGAAACTAACTTCCTTTGAATTTTTTCTTTATTTTTAATTTCGTTTTTTTAATGTATAAAATATAAAATGTTTAAAATTATACATTGTTAATATGTTACATGCTCATTTTATTATTTTGAAAAAAAATATGTTACAAATTAGTTTGTTTTTAGAAGAAAATTATATGTAAAAATATATTAACATAAACCAAATAAACTTTATTTTGTATCTAAGAATCAAAATATTATTAATTTGTTGATTTATATGCACCATAATCATATATTAAAGTGGAAAGAATATTTTGTCTTGAAGATATGTAGAAGATAAAAATTGTAACTATCTTTAGTTTTTGGAAAGCTATTGAATAACTGGAAACTAGACCAGTATGAACGTTCACTAGCTCAGTTCAAACACATGCAAAAAAAAGATCTAACCAAGCTACAAGAAATAGACTATATCTAATGTTCATAAAAAAACAATATCTTATGCTTATCATTGAAGTCTATATCTAAAGAAACTAATATTATTTATTGCCAACAAAAATTCAACAAACCAACAATTATCAATGAATGACTAAATATTAGATATTTATAGAAGAAACCAATAATTAAAGGCTGTAATATATATATGATAGATCCAGATTCAAATAGGACTCGAAATAAAACAAAATGGTATATGGAAAATTGAGTTTAGATAATACCTCAAAGAATTCTGATTGATAAAACATGCAGCCAATCAACTATAATTAGTGGATGTTTGTAAATTATTCAAAAGATTTGGGATTAAGAGGATTTGGTATGAATCGTCACCTTCAATGACATGCAATCTTTAAAATTTTGAAACAAAATGCTTGGTAGTGTGCATATAATTAAAGAAGAGGAGAGGTAGAGTGATAATAGGGATGTAGGGATTTAGGAATTTGACGAAATTGGTTTTTAAGTGAAATTTAATTTAAGGTTCTTAAATAATTAGTGGATGTTTGGAAATTATTCAAAATATTTGGGGATAAGAGGATTTTGTATAAATTGTGACCTTCAATGACATGCAATTTTTAAAATTCTGAAATAAAATGTTTGATAGTGTGCATATAATTAAAGCAGAAGAGAGGTAGAGTGATAATAGGATTTCGACGAAATTGGTTTTGAAGTGAGATTTAAGTTAAGATTTTTGAAAACACAGTGCCAAAAGAGTTTCATTTTTGAATTTTCATATTTGCATCTAGAAGACGAAAGTAATGAATTTTTAATTTCATAGTGATGACTAAGCCCAAAATATGATAAAACCAGACTTCTGAACTGAAAATTAGAGATTTGATTATGTATACTCCACTGAAAACAATAGGAAGATAAACTTTAAGGATTAACGTAATTTCTCCGGTGATCGGTCTTTATGCCTTACGAAAAAATATGAGAAAGATTTGTAATATATTTTTATTCAGAAATTATCATAAATAAAATTCTTTTTATTACCGTGACTACTTATACAAGAAAATAATTCATTACAATTTAAAATATAAAGAATCAAAAAATAAGAAATTATAATTATAAAATAATGTTTAAAAATATTTTAAAAAGAATAAACAAAAAAATTAAACATTTTGTTTCCATGAATTTTTTTGAAAATTAGAAAATTCATAATGTGTTTTTATTTTATAAACATAAAAATGAAACCCGCGCGTAGCCGGGTAAAATACCTAGTATATATAATAGGAGAGTTGCTCTCTCCTCCTAGGCTATCCACATCAGCAAAAAAATCATTAATTGTATTTAAGATATTTAATATATGTGTATTAATATTTCTTTATATATATTCCTATTTTACAATATAAACAAAACTAAGAAAAATACACAAACAATTTAATTGATTAATATAAAATATGTGATATCTTGATGTTAAAAGTTTAAAAGAAAGTTGTAATATAAAATGGAGATGAAATAAAGAAATATTTAACTTGAAATAATATATAGTTAGGTTTTAACTCAAAGGATTTATCCTATTTAAAAATGTTATAATGTGCTTACACGTAAAAAAGGTACAGTATAAATTATTTAACATAGTAAAAAGCTAATAAAAAATTAGAGTTAGAGTTTGTTTTATTAAAAAATAGAAGTCGAGTTATTATTTAAATTTCATTGCAACGAAAAGTATGAAAATTTTAAGAATGGTGACATCTTTGTTTCAAAAATACAATTTATATTTACAAAACTAACATAATAGAAAATAATCAATTGTCATATGCTACCAAAACAAATGATATATGTAAGAAGTTATACATGTTTTTGTTTTTCATCATATTTTGAGTGCAATTGCGATTCTACACCATGTTTACAAATTTTAACGTTGAGTCAAATGCATATTAAATTTTAGAAATAGAAAACTCGAGATGAAGTAAGGTGTTAATATCTTAATAAAAAAAATTGATCATATTGTTAGTGTTAATTGTTGGGTTAACTCAAAATATAACCAAAACATGGAAGTTAACATATAACCATCATCATTCAAAATTTCAAATCAATAAATATAAATTAAATCAAACATAAAAATTATCGCAAACAACCCCGCGTTTGTGAAGTTAATGCAAACACAATTGGAAAGATACCCTAGTAGCTTTGATTAGAGATTTGACAAATACACTAGATGGTATCCCGCGCTACAGGTGTATATTAAAATTCATTTTGTTAAGATTATATAAGTATTTATTTTTACACTTCTAATGTTTATATTTTGTTGATGAAGTGTGAAAAATGAGTTTGTTTTGTTTTTAAACACAAATACCAAAATAAATATTTACATTTCTCTATATTCCATTTTGTTTAACCTTTTCAATTTGTATTCTCACTTTTTTTTCGCCTTAATTTGACACCAAGTCTCTTCTCGTAAACAAATTCAAACCAATTTGAAAATAGCAATCCTCTTTGTTTCTCCACTTTCTAGTTCATAGTTTTTAAATCCATGTTCTTCTTCCCAATTATTTTGGTTTGCGTTTCTTTTGTTAATTTCATATAATCTACATAACTGAAAAGGCTTGTGACACTCTCCAGACTTCGACAAATCAGCACCCCAAGAGAGTGCTACATCAGCTTTTTCAGATTTTTTTTTTTTCGTCACTGGCTCCAAAACGACGTCGTTTCTGATTTTTTTTTTTACAAATCTCTTACAGAAAAAAAACAATGTCTCAGCCACATAACTGAAAAAGCTTGTGACACTTTCCAGCCTTCGACACATCAGCACCCCAAGAGAGTGCCACATCAGCTTTTTCAGAAAATTTTTTTTTTCCGTCGCTGGCTCGTAAACGACATCGTTTCTGTGTGTGTGTTTTCTTTTTTTTTACAAATCTCTTACAGAAAAAAACAATTTCTCAGCCCAATCGTTCCTCGGCTACGGTCTCACTTTTCTATTACTCTTGTTGTCTTTCATTTTTCTTCTCCGATTTCAGTACTTTCCACCATCTGCACTATTTAATCCTGTTTTTAAGCCTCTTCAACGTCGATGATAGGTCTGTATTATTTTTTAATCCGATGACGCCAGAAACGCGGTGAGAAGAATGTAACGGGACGTGTATCCAGTATCCATGATAGGTCTGTATTATTTTTTAATCATTCAATCATCTTACTTTTCCGAATCCCAAATTGGTGAATCTCGATGACCATAATTCTATTATGTCTCCACAGATCATGATCGGAAGGTGTTCCCACATGGCGGCAGACCTTATTCCGAATAGTTCTATAGATAAAAGTCACACTCTATATCATTCTTCTCCTTCCATAACCGTACCATAACCCTTATTCCGATTAGTTCTAAACGCTTCTTTTCAAAACTGCAGCTTCTCCCTAACGAAGGACGAGACCAGCTCTGATCGCGGTTCTGTCTCTCTGCAGAAAGTTAACCGTAACATTACAAAGTGATATTTAAACAAAACAAAATAATATCAACAATAATAATAAACTTTTAGAAATATGCAACCCACGCATTGCGTGGGTGCTCTCCTAGTTTTATTGTAATATGTCTAGAAAATGCGTGGTTTAATTTCATAGTTATTGTAAGTGTCAAAATTGGTTTTAGGCTATGAATTAAAATATGTATAAGAAATTATTGTTGTTGACCTTTTCTAAAAACATGCGAAATAGTTTTTGTTTCAATTGAGTTCGGTATATAATTGAACTCCAAACTATATATTGTATCATTATTTTGATGGAGAACTATTTGACATTTTAAATAAGAAATAAAGCAACTTATCAACATAAGACCACCAAATAGATGAATGTTCTACTAAAAAATTTGTTTGCTTTCAATTTTTATCTTCTAGTCTGTTTTTCAAGTACTATATAATAGTGTAATATTGTTAATCCTATCAACCATCGAATTTGAACCATCAGATTTTCTTTGTCATTGCAAGATTCCAGTGAATCGCTTCAATACAAAAAGCATAATGCTTTCATTGCCTTCTAGTGACCAATCTCATGAAGAAGAAACTTATTTGAACGAACTATCTTACAGAAAAAAGCTGCATATGATATGCTTATTTTCATGTCATCAAAACACAAAGAGAAATAAAAGAAAACAGATACAAAAGAAGGAGATCGAATGTTTTACATTACACTTTGAAAAGAAAAATTGTATAACCCCAATGGGACTAACCCAAGTATAACCTGGGATCGCAAACGGGTCTTGTAAAGTATGACACTTACTGCTCAAATCCTCTTTGCTTGCTCTAGACGAACGAAACCACGAAGACCACGATGAGTTCTTGAACTCAGTTGCAGCAGCTGGACTCTCATCATTTCCAGAAGCAGTCGGGCTCGAAGGAGGCGTCTTAAACTCATCTCCAGCATCAATCTCTTCAGACTTTGTGAACGTAACAAACACTTTTATTGTCGGCACCACTGGTATAGCAACCTACATACATATCAATCAAAATGAAGCTTGAAGAACTTTCAATTAGCTCTTATAACATTAAACAACGACATACATTGACAGGAAACGTTCCAGCGGGAAGTTTTGTCGTAAGAAGTTCTCTGAGACGACGAATGGCTTTGACCTTGTTTGCAAGTATGTCAAGCAAAGGAAGAAGCTCTTCTGTTTGTAACTTGAAGTTTTGAGATAGCCATAGAACAGGACGTAAACCTTTCTTGTATTCACTCTCGTGATGATGATGAGTCGTCGTCTTACTCGAGACTGATGATGATTCTCTTGGCTTCCTCATAAGCTCGTTATCAACAGAGTGTCTTCCTGGTTTTATCTGATTAGAATCTCCCAAGAGATTACTCACTTTCTCATTCGCTGGCGCATACTGAATCTCCTGCTTCTCCTGCTTGCTCGTCTCTTTCCTTCTCCATCCTCCTAACCACCCGTTCTTCGTTCTTCTCCGGTTCCTTGCTACACTGACTCAATTCCACAGCTGCAGCTGCAGGAGCCTCAACGAAACCGTTATCGCCATTAACATTTGGGAACTCTGTGGTAAGTGAAGCTTAAGTGCAGCCTCAAGCTGCTTCTGCTCTTCATCTGTGTAATATCCATAAACCAAAAATTGGGAATTTCGTCGGTTTAATTTAAGTGATTTGGTTTGGGCCGGTTTAGTGGAGAAAGCCCTAAAATCAAGTTTAAAGAGTGCATCCGTCTTCTCTTTGGGGAATTTTCGAGCTCAAAGGCTGCAGAGGAGAAAAGTGGAGTTTTTGGAGAGATTTTCGAGTTTTACTGTTCATCGGGTTACTGTTCATCGGATTACTGTTCATCGGGGTACTGTTCATCGTCGGAATTTCCGCACTGTTCATTATCTTTCCTTCAGTTTCAATCCATTGTCAAGGTGAGTGCATGACTGTGGGTCCGCGATTTGCTAGATTAGATTTGGTTTATGATTGTTCTTGATGAGTTTTTGTGTTTAATTGTTATTTCATGATATTTTGGTTGTTTATGTGGTGAATTGTGTGTTTGTGTGGTTAAATCTGGTTTAATTGAATTTAATTGATTTGATTCTGGTTTATCTTGGTTCAATTGAATTTAATTGGTTTATATTGGTTTAATTGAATTTAATTGGTTTAATTGAATTTAATTGATTTGATTCTGGTTTATCTTGGTTCAATTGAATTTAATTGGTTTATATTGGTTTAATTGAATTTAATTGGTTTAATGGAATTAAATAGATTTAATTCGGATTTAATTAATTAAATAATATTTATTTAATTAGTTGGTTTAAAATAATTATTTTAATTATTTTTAAATATGAAAAATTATTATTTAATTATGAGAATTATTTAATAATTGAAAATTGAGGTTTAATTATTAAAAATTATTTAATAATTAGAAAATGGTATTTAATAATTAGAAAATAGCGCTGGCGAGAGCGCGGGCATGGTAAAGATGGCGGGAGGTGGATTCTTGTCTACTTTGGGCCGTGCTAGAGGAGTCAAGATCGAGATTGCGGGGCAGTTGATGATAAGATTTTGTGTGTGGATGTGAAAAGAATGAAATGAGATGAGTGGAATGCAATCAGTGGTATAATGAGGTGGTAAGATGCAAACACAAACACAGTCAACAATTCCTCTTTAACCATCATAGTCATTGAAGTATAAGAGGTTATCAATCCAAAATGGGAAACTTGTCACTCTATGAGAATATGAAACAACCAGGAAGTCAAGCAAGCAGTTATAGATTTGAAGTAACACTAACAACCTAAAAAAGAAATGCAGTGCAATAAAAGTAAACAAAGCAGTGAAGTGTCAGCTCGACCAAGACTCGAGTCGAGTAGAGCAAAGTACCAGCTCGATCGAGTTTAGGGACGAGTTGAGACAAACAAAGCTAAAGGTGACGACTTTAACAAGATAAAGAGAGAATTAGGGTTCAAGACAGGGTTTTGCAATCAAAGGAATCTACACTTAATCAATCTAGCTCTTAAAACTCCTTGTATCAAGGCTTCTCTTGATATTGGGCTTCTCAATGCCTAGCCAACCCTTTCCCAAGGTGGAGGCTATCAACCAAGGAATGATCTCAGAAACAGGGGGTTAGCCAGTGAGAATCAAACCTTGGAGGCTATAGGATCATTGCCCAAACTAATCCATCCAACCCCTTAGACCTCTATTGTCTAGAGCAAGAGATATTGGAGCTCTTAGTGGATCTTTTCCAGCGAATGCCATCACTTTCGTGTGGGGAGTCGCCTAAGGACTTACAAGCCAGGGGTAGTGGTCATGTAGCCTTAAGATCTATCCAAAAGAGAGAGAATCTAGATTAAGACCATAAGCTAGAAGGATTAAGCATATGAAACCTCTAATCTATCCCATCTCAAACCCTAATGGGTAACTACTCACTACACATGAATGTAAACACAAGCAAATGCAATAAAAGAGACATCATAAGAAAGAGGAGATGAAATTAAACAACTTTTATTGAAATAAGCAAGTGCAAATACAAAGAGATTATCCAGGATCTAGGATTCAAGAAGCAAGAGCTTCAAGAACACAAAGATGGGATTAGATCTCTAAAAAGTAAAAGACAATAAATTAAAAGAAACTAAAACAAAATAATCTAAAGCTTGGTGGTTTTTTCGTGGCTTAGAGCCTTTAAATACAAGAGGATTAGGTTTAGGGTCAAAGGAAAGTCAAGGGGGAAGCAACATTTTTCGGGTTTGACTTTGACTTCCAGCTCGATCGAGTTGAAGCTTGGCCGGTCGAGTTGAGGAACTCGACCGGTTGGTCGAGTAGGACGGTCGAGCTGGTCTTCAAGATGGCTTCTCCCTTCTTCCTTTGCGTATCCAGTTGAGCTGCTTCCATGTGCCAAGTCCCTCCATGCTCCTCATGTCCCATATGCTCCAGAATGCTCCAAAAGACCTATTTCAAAGGACCAAACATGCATATGTATGCAAATGCAACCTAAAACTAACATGAATGCATAAGAAGAGAAAAGGAACAAGATATGATGCAAATGGAAGCTAAAACTATGCAAAAGATGCATAAAAGATGTGCTAAAACTATGTAAAATGCAAGTACATCAACACCCCCAAACTTGAACTTTGCTTGCCCTCAAGCAAACAAATAGAACAAGAAAGAGATGAGGTTTGAAAATAGCTGATTCAACACTTAAAAACATGTCCTCAAAAGCGATTTGCTAAATGTCCAACTTAGAGATTCTAGAATGCAACAAGGTGAGAGATATTCATTAAGATTTAACCATGCTTATCAACATCAATCCCACTTCACAGTCACTCAAACAATGCATTCATTCCCTTTAACATTCATTAAGCAAAAACAGTGAACCAAAAACATGCAAGATCAATCAACTCATTTGGTTTCAAGGGTTTATGGGTTAAGAGACAAAGAGGGTCTCTTTTGTATGGTGGTTTAGTTAACAGGGATCTCTCAAGAAAGTGGCTTTGCTTTGGCAGAAGGCTAAGTGTTAGAACCAAAGATGATGCAAGAACAGCAGCTCGAGCCGCCTAATCCTAACTCGATCGAGTTCAACACTTAGAGCTTTTTAGAACAAAATCCTAACTACCCTTTTGTATGGTGGTTTGGTTAACAGGGATCTCTCAAGAAAGTGGTTTTGCTCTGGCAGAAGGCTAAGTGTTAGAACCAAGGATGATGCAAGAACAGCAGCTCGAGCCGCCTAATCCTAACTCGATCGAGTTCAACACTTAGAGCTTTTTAGAACAAAATCCTAACTACCCTTTTTGGCATTTCGCCTTTGAAACTGAGGAGCTTTGCTCACTTTTCTTTTAAGAACTTCCTAGGGAGAGGCTTCTTGAGGCAACATCTAGCGGTTTGGGACTTTTCTAAAACTTAGGGAACTTTTCTTCACTTTTTTAACACTTGAGGCTTTGCCTTCTTTTCATTCTACTTAGAACCCTTTTTACTTTCCTTTTTTACTTCCCAAACCTTTACTAGACCCTTTTTTAACACTGCCAACTCCCTGGACTTAACCAAACTCTTTTACTTTTGGGTTTTTCCCAACCACTTTTATTTTTTGACGACACCCAACTCGATCGAGCTCGAGTTGGCACCCCCAAACTTAGCCTGAAAACAATCCCAAGAGAACTAGACAACTAGAACTACTGCCCCTGCCGGTTTAAACACAACACCTTATGCTAAGCAAAGCCAAGAAAGGTTCTCACATTCGCACAAGAGATAATAAGGGGTTTGAAATGAAAAGGCTTAGGTTTAAGGTGTGGTAACTGTCTCAAAGATAGAGATCAGCTATCTGGACAAGCAAAAGGGATATGAAAATGTAAAGAATGTCCAGATATGTATGTGGTAGCCATGAGTTGAAATCAAATGCAAGCATTGGTAATTAAAGATCAAGTTATGGTTCAAATAGATAGGGAAATGCATCAAATCACAGCAATGGTTGAATGAGATGTGCATGCAGTGATATGATCAAGATAAACATGGTTCTTGCTGCTCAATCAATCTCACCCTAATGCACAAAAGAATCTAAAAACAGGGCACTCAAGAAATCGCAAAAGATGGACAAGTTTTCAAAGTCAAATCAACAATGCAAGTGAAAAATGCAATCCTAAACAAGTCTAACAAATATGAATGCAAAAAGATGAAAATATTTTTGGATTTTTTGAAAATTTTATGATTTTTTTGGTTTTTCTATGCAAAAGATAAATGAAAAACTAAGAACAAAGAAAACAAGGTTAAATCATCTCTTGAACCCTCCCCCAAACTTAAATCACACAGTCCCTTGTGTGAGAAAAATTCAGTGAAAGATTCAAGAGGGCAAAACCAAGAAAAAACAAGAACAAATGCAAGAAAATATGAAATGGTATATACAAGGGTTGGTGTTTGGATACCTCAGTGCCCCCCAAAGAACTGGGAGGCTAGGTCGTGGTCTGGAGATGGTAGACGGCCATCAGGAGCACTCCACTCAACTGGGTTCGGCTCACTCGATCGAGCTTGTGGCTCCTCTCCTCTTCTTCTTCATCTTCAAAGTGGGTGTGGCTTCCTTGGCCTTGGTGGAGCTTGTGCTCGCTCGAAGCGGTTGTAGGGGTCCAGGGTCTGGAGAAGTCCTGGTACTGGTTGATCGTATTCGAATCCAGGATCTCAAACAGGGGCTCCTCCAGGTCAACTCGACCCTCAGCTCGATCGAGTTGAGTTTCCTCTGTTTGGACTCGATCGAGTCCGGTGGTCGAGCTGGAGCGTCTGGCCTTGGAAGTCTTCCTCCTTCTCTGCGTGTTGTCTCTCCTTCCCTTGGCTCGAAAGAAGAGGCTCTGTGAGGCTCTTGGGCAGGGAGCCTCCTTTGGTGGTGAGGAGTGATCTACTCCTAGGGAAAGTGGGAGCCTTGGACTTCTTCTTGCTTGAAGAACCAGAAACTTCTTCTCCAAACTTTTGATCTTGCTCACCATCTTGTCCATGGACTTTTGCATCTTCTCATGGCTTTCCCTTGCCACTTGTTGAACCTTTTGGAGAAGTCCAATCCTCTTGTGGGCAGCCACAACAGAGGGGTTCATCCTTGGAGCCTCATACTCCTCAAAGTAATAGCACTCAGGCTCACCCAAATCCTCATTCACTCGAGCGTTGTCCTCAACTCGATCCTCAGCTGATCTCAGCTCGATCCTCAGCTCGATCGAGCTCGATCTCTTCTCTTGCAAATCCGCTTCATGCCCAACCAAAGTGTACACAGGGGGTCTGAAGTCAATGTTGTACCTCCTAGGACCGTGGTGAGCTCAGGGTTGGGCAGGAGAAGCTTGGAGAGTCCAGCCGTGGGGTGGGTGAACTTGAATTGGAATCTCCCATCCAACTCCTTGTGCTCAATGAGGAGGTTGGTCTTGCAAAACTTGATGTCCATCCAACCTGGTGGAGTAGACCTTCTCTTGTCCATTGAACTCCTGCTGCACAAAGATTGGTGTGATCACCCCTCCAACACTAAGCTTTCTTCCTCTTTGGTGCCTAGTGTTGTAAGCTGTGACCTTGTAGGCTTGGAGCTGCTCAAGGAGAGGCATGAGATTCCCTGCGTGTGCCCTGTCTCCTCTGATCTTCTTCCCATCCTTGTGCGTGAGATGATGGGCTTGATTCCCATGGTAAGGAGCTTCACTTCTCCCTCATTGATTGTTCCAGTGGCTTTCCTTGCAAAGAAGGTGTTTGCAAGAGCCTTGTGGACATATCTAAGCACAGGCTTCTGATCTGGCAGCCTTGGACCTTGAGGAAGAGTACCCCTCTTCAGCTATTGTAGCCCATACTCTTTGGAGTTCTTCTTCCTTGATGTTCCATGGTTACCTTCTCCATAGGTGAACCCAAACAGTATCTCAAGCTGCCTAAAGGTCACCATCTTCTTCTCTCCCTTTGCTAGAAAGTTATGTACCCCCAGCCTTGGTCCAACTCAGCTCGATCGAGCTCATCAAACTCGTGATGCTTCATCGACGCCAAAAACTCACAAGTCAACTCCTTGTAAGACTCCATGCGGTGAGAGAAGAACTTCCCCAATTGCATGTTCTTGAGCACCAACTCCACATCCTCAAAGATCCAAGATCTCTCATGGTGTCATCATGTGGGTACTTAGTCTCCACAAAGTCCATGGAGAAGAGAGCATTGTAGTGCTCTTGGTACATGGGGAGCTCATCCTCCTCTCTCTTCCTCAGCCTCTTCCATTGGCTCATCTTGGTTCCCTCTTGTCATCTTCATCAACCAATTGGTTCACCTCTTCTCCTTCCTCTTCACTCTCAGTTTCCTCACTCCTTCCTTCATTTGGAGAGCCATTTCCCTCCTCTTGAACAAGGTTCACTCCAATCTCAAACTCCCCTTGCTCACTCTCACTACTAATGGGTCATTCCTCTTCTTGGTTCTCCTTTCTTCCCTCAATCTCACTCACTCTCAGAGTAGACATACCCCTGCATCAGATTCTTCCATCTCTGGTTCCTCTCTTCTCTCGCACATACTCCAAGCCTTCATCTTGCATCCTTTCTCTCATTCCTTGCTTCTCTCCTTTCCTCTTGAAGCTGTTGGCTTCCCTCACTTTCTCAACATCTTGAACTTGTTTTTCTAAAGTACCTGAAATGCATCAAAATCAAAGAATTAGAGTTGCAATGTCGGTTTGGTCAACTCGACACTCAGCTCGATCGAGTCAAAAAACTCGAGTGACAAACTCGATCGAGCGGGTGAAAACAGAGTATAACCGAAACCTAATTCAAATATAAGAGCTGGAAAAGATGCTAATCAATCAAATTGAACCAAGAACAACTAGTAAATGGAACAATGAGCAATTCTACAAGCACTCCAATACCAAACTCAAATTCAATCAAGCACATGCAACAAGGTGAGGTAGGCAAATTCACAAGATTATACAAATATGAAGCATATGAAAGCAATTACTCAAGAAAAGTCCACAAGGGACACATGCAATCAAAAATCAAAGAGAAACAAGCAATAGAGGAAATCGAGATGGAGGAATCAAGGGTTTTAGGGTTCATACCTTGTTGAATGATGGAATTGAAGAGCAGTAAACAAAACCAAGCAAAACAAGAAGATGAACAAGAAATCGCAAAAACTTAAGAGAGAAAGATTGAAATTCGATTTTTGTGGTGAAGAGAGAGATGGATGAGTTTCAGAAATTTAGAGTGTGGGAGAGAGAAGTGGGTTCGATCGAGTTATGGGGAAGAGAGTGTTTGAGATGTGTGGTTGAGATTAAAAGATGAAATAAAGAGGGAACAAGAAGCTAGGGATTCTCTGATCAATTAGGGTAGTGGGGGACCAAAATCAGCTTGTGGGACCCACTCCCTTGACCAAGAAAACGGTTATGAATTTGAAATTCAAAAACTTACCTTGGTCGAGTTGTGTAACTCGATCGAGTTGCCCTGGTTTCTAGCTCGATCGAGCTGTCGGTCGAGCTGGCTCCTTGACACCTAAACTTAACTTATTGAAAGGTTAAAAACATAAAGATAGATAGAAATTGCATAAATAGAGTATGTACAAGGATAAACATGGGACTTCCTCCCAAGTGAGCTTGTTTAAGGTCCCATAGCTTGACCTTTACCTTCTTAGGCATTGGTTGAGCTAGTCCCACCATCAAGGGTGATAGTGAGGACTTGAGACAGAAGCTCCTTTAGCTTGGTTGGGTCCCTGGACTGTTCTGAAGTCACCAAGGCCTTGGCTCTAGAGAATGGCCTTGATCTCCCCTTGTACCTTATCTTGTACTCAATCTTCCCATTTTCAAACTTGGTGGGGAACAAAGTCATTGTGAGCTGAGATGGCTTGACTGAAGGGGCCTGAGCTGGTGGATCCTTTCTTTTATCTCCTGGTCTTGCCTTAGAGGCTGCATCCTCCCCTTCTTTTAGAGCCCTTCCTAGTGGCTCATCAAACAAAGCTTGAAGGCTCTCTTCATCAAGCACACAAGGGGCTTGAACAAGTCCTCAGCTCTTGGCCTATCAGATCGTGGTTTCTCAACTCTAGCCCTCTCAAGACGTGGCTTCTCAATCCTTGGTCCTCTCTCATCCTTATCCTTCCCAACTCTTGGTTCCTTGTCAACCCTTTCCTTCACAACCTTTGTAGCTCCATGACTCTTAGAACTGAGATTGGTACTGTCAATTGTGGCACAAAAGTCTGAACCTCTAGGCTGCAAGCGATATGACACCAAACTATTCACCTTGTGAAGGATCACTTCTTGCTTGTGAAAGTCTATTGAAGCGCCAACTGTACTAAGGAAAGGGGTTCCCAATAACAGAGGCAAATCCTTCTCTTCTTCCATTTCCATCACAGTGAGATCAGTTTGGATGATGCATTCTCCAATTTTCAAGTGATAGTTCTTGAACACTCCAAGAGGAGACTTAGAAGTTGCATCTCCAAACATGATTGAAGTAGTAGGGCGCTGCAAGGCTCCAGCAATGCCTAGCTTCTCTGCCATGGAGAGAGAGATCAGATTGATGCTTGCTCCAGAATCCACTAAGGCATTGTCAATCTCAAGATGCCCAAGTGTGCAAGGGAGAGTGAATTTCCCTTGATCCTTGACCTTTGGTAGGAAGGTGGGTGAAGTAAGCAGGTTGAACTGATGAGTAGACTCTTGTAGGACCTCTGAAACTTTATCACTGTTGGCTAGAACATCCTTGACCATTTGCATTTGATCAAATGCCTCACTCATGCTATCCATAGAGGCAACTCAATTCCAATCCCACTGAGATCTCTTCTGAACTTGTGAATCACTTCCTTGTGACCTTGACTAAGTAGGCGAGACGAGGAAGCGGCAACCGGTTGATAAGGATCAAGCAAAACAGGCTTTCGGACAGAAGAGGTCGGACTCGATCGAGCTAGAGTTGGACTCGATCGAGCTGCCGATCGAGCTTGTCGTGCGAGCTCAACTGGTGAAGTGTGAATGGCCACAGTAGGTGCATGCACTTCTGGTTGATCAATCTGGACTCCAGGAGCCTCAGCAGCAACAATCTCTTCATCATTCAGCAGTAAACAAAAATCTTCAATGACCCTTTCTTGATCCTCTTCTTCAACAAGTCCTTCTTGAGTGAAGATGACCTTGCACTGTTCCTTGGGGTTCTGAATAGCTTTACCAGGTAGTTGTCCTTGCTTTGTAGCAGCAGCAACAGAAGAAGCATGATTCTCCAGAGAGTAAACCCTTGTGTTGAGGTTCTCGATCTTAGAGTTTATTTCAGCTAGCTTCTTGCTTGTGTCCACTACCCCATCAGCTTGCCCTTGAAGTAGTTGCTTTAGCATTGCCTTGAGCTCATTCTCTTGTGAAGGTGCAGGCTGGGGCGGTTGGTGGGGGAAGCCTGGTGGGATATTCATTTGTTGTCCAGGGAAAGTGCCTTGTGGTCCTTGGTAATTGTTCTTTTGACCATACCCATGTTGTGGCACCTTGACTCGATCGAGCTGCTTGTTGTTGAGGATATACTTGGTCCTGAGGGTTAGCAACATCAGTGTTGCGGTATGACATGGCAGGGTTGGACTTGTAGTTATAGTATCCTTTGTTGTAACCTCCTTGCCCATTGCTCATGTAGCACACCTCAGCAAATTGTGTATCCTCCCCTTCTTGGACTGGTTCCATCTCCTCAGCAGACACAAAGTTGACTTTCTTCATTGTGGACTGAGCTAGGATCAGCTTATCCAACTTCTCATTCAATGCCTTAACATCTTTTCTCAACTTTTCGTCTGACTCGATCGAGTGGTGGGTCGAGCTCCGGTTGGTGCGATCATACTCTTCTCCATAGCTTCCATTTGAGTTAGCTATGTTCTCCACAAGTTGCCAGCCATCATCTACATCCTGGTTGAGGAAGTTCCCATTGCTAGCTGTGTCTAGCATCTCCCTATACCTAGGCAAGCATCCTCTATAAAGAGTGGAGAGTAGTGATTCATTGTTGAATCCATGGTGTGGGCACTGACTTGTGTAGCCTTTGAACCTCTCCCAAGCCTCTGCGAATGTCTCATTGTTTCGCTGGATGAAGCTGGATATCTCTCCTCTAAGCTTGGCTGTGCGACCGGTGGAGAAAAACTTAGCAAGAAAGGCCTTCTTGCATTCATCCCAAGTGGTGATTGTGCCATGGGGCAAGCTCTTCTCCCATTGGTGAGCTTTGTCAGCTAGAGACATAGGAAAGAGTCTCAGCTTGATGGCATCTTCAGAGACACCATTGATCTTTGTCAAATCACAAAGCCTATCAAACTCATCAAGGTGGTCAATGGGGTCTTCACTTGGCAATCCATGGAACATCTTGTTCTGGACAAGGTTGATCATTCCCAGCTTGATCTCAAAGTTGTGGTTCTGCACTGGTGGTGGAACAATCCCTTGTCTCTGTTGGTGGCGGTTTGGAGCATCTCCTTGACCAATCGGTCGAGTTTGCCTAGCTCGACCGAGTCCATGTCCCAAAGGGTTTCCATTCCCCTCTGGTACATCCATTGTATCAGCAACAAGCACCTCAGGTTCCTCTTGTACCCTCTGTGACCTCTGAACCCTCTTTCTACCCGTTGTAAGTCTAGCTCGACCAAGTCTTCAGTAGACCGACTCGATCGAGTTCGCATACACCTGCAAAAAGAGACAAAAACCCAGCAGTACAATAGAACAGGGGTGGTATAGCTTGATCGTCCAAGTGTGTTTGAAACTCAAATGCAACAAAAATATTCCCAAATCGGCAACGGCGCCAAATTGATGATAGGATTTGTGTGTGGTGAAAAGATATGAAATGATGAGTGGAATGCAACAGTGGTAAATGAGGTGGTAAGATGCAAACACAAACACAGTCAACAATTCCCTTAACCATCATAGTCATTGAAGTATAAGAGGTTATCAATCCAAAATGGGAAACTTGTCACTCTATGAGAATATGAAACAACCAGGAAGTCAAGCAAGCAGTTATAGATTTGAAGTAACACTAACAACCTAAAAAATGAAAATGCAGTGCAATAAAAGTAAACAAAGCAGTGAAGTGTCAGCTCGACCAAGACTCGAGTCGAGTAGAGCAAAGTACCAGCTCGATCGAGTTTAGGGACGAGTTGAGACAAACAAAGCTAAAGGTGACGACTTTAACAAGATAAAGAGAGAATTAGGGTTCAAGACAGGGTTTTGCAATCAAAGGAATCTACACTTAATCAATCTAGCTCTTAAAACTCCTTGTATCAAGGCTTCTCTTGATATTGGGCTTCTCAATGCCTAGCCAACCCTTTCCCAAGGTGGAGGCTATCAACCAAGGAATGATCTCAGAAACAGGGGGTTAGCCAGTGAGAATCAAACCTTGGAGGCCATAGGATCATTGCCCAAACTAATCCATCCAACCCCTTAGACCTCTATTGTCTAGAGCAAGAGATATTGGAGCTCTTAGTGGATCTTTTCCAGCGAATGCCATCACTTCCGTGTGGGGAGTCGCCTAAGGACTTACAAGCCAGGGGTAGTGGTCATGTAGCCTTAAGATCTATCCAAAAGAGAGAGAATCTAGATTAAGACCATAAGCTAGAAGGATTAAGCATATGAAACCTCTAATCTATCCCATCTCAAACCCTAATGGGTAACTACTCACTACACATGAATGTAAACACAAGCAAATGCAATAAAAGAGACATCATAAGAAAGAGGAGATGAAATTAAACAACTTTTATTGAAATAAGCAAGTGCAAATACAAAGAGATTATCCAGGATCTAGGATTCAAGAAGCAAGAGCTTCAAGAACACAAAGATGGGATTAGGTTCTAAAAAGTAAAAGACAAAAATTAAAAGAAACTAAAACAAAATAATCTAAAGCTTGGTGGTTTTTTCGTGGCTTAGAGCCTTTAAATACAAGAGGATTAGGTTTAGGGTCAAAGGAAAGTCAAGGGGGAAGCAACATTTTTCGGGTTTGACTTTGACTTCCAGCTCGATCGAGTTGAAGCTTGGCCGGTCGAGTTGAGGAACTCGACCGGTTGGTCGAGTAGACGGTCGAGCTGGTCTTCAAGATGGCTTCTCCCTTCTTCCTTTGCGTATCCAGTTGAGCTGCTTCCATGTGCCAAGTCCCTCCATGCTCCTCATGTCCCATATGCTCCAGAATGCTCCAAAAGACCTATTTCAAAGGACCAAACATGCATATGTATGCAAATGCAACCTAAAACTAACATGAATGCATAAGAAGAGAAAAGGAACAAGATATGATGCAAATGGAAGCTAAAACTATGCAAAAGATGCATAAAAGATGTGCTAAAACTATGTAAAATGCAAGTACATCAACACCCCCAAACTTGAACTTTGCTTGCCCTCAAGCAAACAAATAGAACAAGAAAGAGATGAGGTTTGAAAATAGCTGATTCAACACTTAAAAACATGTCCCAAAAACGATTTGCTAAATGTCCAACTTAGAGATTCTAGAATGCAACAAGGTGAGAGATATTCATTAAGATTTAACCATGCTTATCAACATCAATCCCACTTCACAGTCACTCAAACAATGCATTCAAATCAGCAAATCCCTTTAACATTCATTAAGCAGAAACATGAACCAAAAACATGCAAGATCAATCAACTCATTTGGTTTCAAGGGTTTTTGGGTTAAGAGACAAAGAGGGCCTCTTTTGTATGGTGGTTTGGTTAACAGGGATCTCTCAAGAAAGTGGCTTTGCTCTGGCAGAAGGCTAAGTGTTAGAACCAAGGATGATGCAAGAACAGCAGCTCGAGCCGCCTAATCCTAACTCGATCGAGTTCAACACTTAGAGCTTTTTAGAACAAAATCCTAACTACCCTTTTGTATGGTGGTTTGGTTAACAGGGATCTCTCAAGAAAGTGGTTTTGCTCTGGCAGAAGGCTAAGTGTTAGAACCAAGGATGATGCAAGAACAGCAGCTCGAGCCGCCTAATCCTAACTCGATCGAGTTCAACACTTAGAGCTTTTTAGAACAAAATCCTAACTACCCTTTTTGGCATTTCGCCTTTGAAACTGAGGAGCTTTGCTCACTTTTCTTTTAAGAACTTCCTAGGGAGAGGCTTCTTGAGGCAACATCTAGCGGTTTGGGACTTTTCTAAAACTTAGGGAACTTTTCTTCACTTTTTTAACACTTGAGGCTTTGCCTTCTTTTCATTCTACTTAGAACCCTTTTTTTCTTTCCTTTTTTACTTCCCAAACCTTTACTAGACCCTTTTTTAACACTGCCAACTCCCTGGACTTAACCAAACTCTTTTACTTTGGGTTTTTCCCAATTTTTACCACTTTTATGGTTTTGACACCCAACTCGATCGAGCTCGAGTTGGCACCCCCAAACTTAGCCTGAAAACAATGCCAAGAGAACACAACACCTTATGCTAAGCAAAGCCAAGAAAGGTTCTCACATTCGCACAAGAGATAATAAGGGGTTTGAAATGAAAAGGCTTAGGTTTATGGTGTGGTAACTGTCTCAAAGGATAGAGATCAGCTATCTGGACAAGCAAAAGGGATATGAAAAGTAAAGAATGTCCAGATATGTATGTGGTAGCCATGAGTTGAAATCAAATGCAAGCATTGGTAATTAAAGATCAAGTTATGGTTCAAATAGATAGGGAAATGCATCAAATCACAGCAATGGTTGAATGAGATGTGCATGCAGCGATATGATCAAGATAAACATGGTTCTTGCTGCTCAATCAATCTCACCCTAATGCACAAAAGAATCTAAAAACAGGGCACTCAAGAAATCGCAAAAGATGGACAAGTTTTCAAAGTCAAATCAACAATGCAAGTGAAAAATGCAATCCTAAACAAGTCTAACAAATATGAATGCAAAAAGATGAAAATATTTTTGGATTTTTTTGAAAATTTTATGATTTTTTTGGTTTTTCTATGCAAAAGATAAATGAAAAACTAAGAACAAAGAAAACAAGGTTAAATCATCTCTTGAACCCTCCCCAAACTTAAATCACACAGTCCCTTGTGTGAGAAAAATTCAGTGAAAGATTCAAGAGGGCAAAACCAAGAAAAAACAAGAACAAAGAAAGAAAATATGAAATGGTATATACAAGGGTTGGTGTTTGGATACCTCAGTGCCCCCCAAAGAACTGGGAGGCTAGGTCGTGGTCTGGAGATGGTAGACGGCCATCAGGAGCGCTCCACTCAACTGGGTTCGGCTCACTCGATCGAGCTTGTGGCTCCTCTCCTCTTCTTCTTCATCTTCAAAGTGGGTGTGGCTTCCTTGGCCTTGGTGGAGTTGTGCTCGCTCGAAGCGGTTGTAGGGAGTCCAGAGAGTCTGAGAGAAGTCCTGGTACTGGGTTGAATCGTACTTCGAATCCAGGATCTCAAACAGGGGCTCCTCCAGGTCAACTCGACCCTCAGCTCGATCGAGTTGAGTTTCCTCTGTTTGGACTCGATCGAGTCCGGTGGTCGAGCTGGAGCGTCTGGCCTTGGACGTCTTCCTCCTTCTCTGCGTGTTGTCTCTCCTTCTCTTGGCTCGAAAGAAGAGGCTCTGTGAGGCTCTTGTGGAGAGCCTCTTTGGTGGTGAGGAGTGACCTACTCCTAGGGAAAGTGGGAGTCTTGGACTTCTTCTTGCTTGAAGAACCAGAAACTTTCTTCTCCAAGCTCTTGATCTTGCTCACCATCTTTGTCCATGGACTTTTGCATCTTCTCCATGGCTTTCCCTTGCCACTTGTTGAACCTTTGGAGAAGTCCAATCCTCTTGTGGGCAGCCACAACAGAGGGGTTCATCCTTGGAGCCTCATACTCCTCAAAGTAGTAGCACTCAGGCTCACCCAAATCCTCATTCACTCAGCTTGTCCTCAACTCGATCCTCAGCTGAATCTCAGCTCGATCCTCAGCTCGATCGAGCACGAAATCCGCTTCATGCCCAACCAAAGTGTACACAGGGGGTCTGAAGTCAATGTTCTACCTCCTAGGACCGTGGTGAGCTCAGGGTTGGGCAGGAGAAGCTTGGAGAGTCCAGCCGTGGGGTGGGTGAACTTGAATTGGAATCTCCCATCCAACTCCTTGTGCTCAATGAGGAGGTTGGTCTTGCAAAACTTGATGTCCATCCAACCTGGTGGAGTACACCTTCTCTTGTCCAATTGAACTCCTGCTGCACAAAGGATTGGTGTGATCACCCCTCCAACACTAAGCTTTCTTCCTCTTTGGTGCCTAGTGTTGTAAGTTGTGACCTTGTAGGCTTGGAGCTGCTCAAGGAGAGGCATGAGATTCCCTGCGTGTGCCCTGTCTCCTCTGATCTTCTTCCCATCTCTTGTGCGTGAGATGATGGGCTTGATTCCCATGGTAAGGAGCTTCACTTCTCCCTCATTGATTGTTCCAGTGGCTTTCCTTGCAAAGAAGGTGTTTGCAAGAGCCTTGTGGACATATCTAAGCACATGGACTTCTGATCTAGGCAGCCTTAGACCTTGAGGAAGAGTACCCCTCTTCAGCTATTGTAGCCCATACTCTTTGGAGTTCTTCTTCCTTGATGTTCCATTGGTTACCTTCTCCATAGGTGAACCCAAACAGATCTCAAGCTGCCTAAAGGTCACCATCTTCTTCTCTCCCTTTGCTAGAAAGTTATGTACCCCCAGCCTTGGTCCAACTCAGCTCGATCGAGCTCATCAAACTCGTGATGCTTCATCGATGCCAAAAACTCACAAGTCAACTCCTTGTAAGACTCCATGCGGTGAGAGAAGAACTTCCCCAATTGCATGTTCTTGAGCACCAACTCCACATCCTCAAAGATCCCAAGATCTCTCATGGTGTCATCATGTGGGTACTTAGTCTCCACAAAGTCCATGGAGAAGAGAGCATTGTAGTGCTCTTGGTACATGGGGAGCTCATCCTCCTCTTCTTCCTCAGCCTCCTCCATGGCTCATCTTGGTTCCCTCTTGATCATCTTCATCAACCAATTGGTTCACCTCTTCTCCTTCCTCTTCACTCTCAGTCCTCACTCCTTCCTTCATTTGGAGAGCCATTTCCCTCCTCTTGAACAAGGTTCACTCCAATCTCAAACTCCCCTTGCTCACTCTCACTACTAATGGGTCATTCCTCTTCTTGGTTCTCCTTTCCTCCCTCAATCTCTCACTCTCAGACTGCTCCTTCAGAGTAGACATATCCCTCTGCATCAGATTCTTCCATCTCTGGTTCCTCTCTTCTCTCGTTCACATACTCCAAGCCTTCATCTTGACATCCTTTCTCTCATTCTTGCTTCTCTGCCCTTTCCTCTTGTGACAGCTGGGCTTCCCTCACTTTGTCAACATCTTGAACTTGTTTTTCTTGAAGTCCTGAAATGCATCAAAAATACAAAGAATTAGAGTTGTAATGTTGGTTTGGCAACTCGACACTCAGCTCGATCGAGTCAAAAAACTCGAGTGACAAACTCGATCGAGTTGGGTGAAAACAGAGTATAACCGAACCTAATTCAAATATAAGAGCTGGAAAAGATGCTAATCAATCAAATTGAACCAAGAACAACTAGTAAATGGAACAATGAGCAATTCTAGTGAAGACAAGCATCTTAACCAATACCAAACTCAAATTCAATAAACAAGCACATGCAACAAGTTCTAATGGCAAAACAGAGGTGAGGTGAGGCAAATTCACAAGATTATACAAATATGAAGCATATGAAAGCAATTACTCAAGACAAGTCCACAAGGGACACATGCAATCAAAAATCAAAGAGAAAACAAGCAATAGAGAATCGAGATGGAGATAAGGGTTTTAGGGTTCATACCTTGTTGAATGATGGAATTGAAGAGCAGTAAACAAAACCAAGCAAAACAAGAAGATGAACAATGAAATCGCAAAAACTAAGAGAGAAAGATTGAAATTCGAAAATTTTTCTTGTGGTGAAGAGAGAGAGATGAGTTTCAGAAATTTTAGAGTGTGGGAGAGAGGAAGTGGGTTCGATCGAGTTATGGGGAAAGAGTGTTTGAGATGTGTGGTTGAGATTAAAAGATGAAATAAAGAGGGAACAAGAAACTAGGGATTCTCTGATCAATTAGGGTAGTGGGGGACCAAAATCAGCTTGTGGGACCCACTCCCTTGACCAAGAAAACGGTTATGAATTTGAAATTCAAAAACTTACCTTGGTCGAGTTGAGTAGCTCGATCGAGTTGCCCTGGTTTCTAGCTCGATCGAGCTCGGGTCGAGCTGGCTCCTTTGACACCTAAACTTAACTTATTGAAAGGTTAAAAACATAAAGATAGATAGAAATTGCATAAATAGAGTATGTACAAGGATAAACATGGGACTTCCTCCCAAGTGAGCTTGTTTAAGGTCCCATAGCTTGACCTTTACCTTCTTAGGCATTGGTTGAGCTAGTCCCACCATCAAGGGTGATAGTGAGGACTTGAGACAGAAGCTCCTTTAGCTTGGTTGGGTCCCTGGACTGTTCTGAAGTCACCAAGGCCTTGGCTCTAGAGAATGGCCTTGATCTCCCCTTGTACCTTATCTTGTACTCAATCTTCCCATTTTCAAACTTGGTGGGGAACAAGTCATTGTGAGCTGAGATGGCTTGACTGAAGGGGCCTGAGCTGGTGGATCCTTTCTTTTATCACCTGGTCTTGCCTTAGAGGCTACATCCTCCCCTTCTTTTAGAGCCCTTCCTAGTGGCTCATCAAACAAAGCTTGAAGGCTCTCTTCATCAAGCACACAAGGGGCTTGAACAAGTCTCAGCTCTTGGCCTATCAGAACGTGGTTTCTCAACTCTAGCCCTCTCAAGACGTGGCTTCTCAATCCTTGGTCCTCTCTCATCCTTATCCTTCCCAACTCTTGGTTCTTTGTCAACCCTTTCCTTCACAACCTTTGTAGCTCCATGACTCTTAGAACTGAGAGTGGTACTGTCAATTGTGGCACAAAAGTCTGAACCTCTAGGCTGCAAGCGATATGACACCAAACTATTCACCTTGTGAAGGATCACTTCTTGCTTGTGAAAGTCTATTGAAGCGCCAACTGTACTAAGGAAGGGGTTCCCAATAACAGAGGTAGATCCTTCTCTTCTTCCATTTCCATCACAGTGAGATCAGTTTGGATGATGCATTCTCCAATTTTCAAGTGATAGTTCTTGAACACTCCAAGAGGAGACTTAGAAGTTGCATCTCCAAACATGATTGAAGTAGTAGGGCGCTGCAAGGCTCCAGCAATGCCTAGCTTCTCTGCCATGGAGAGAGAGATCAGATTGATGCTTGCTCCAGAATCCACTAAGGCATTGTCAAGCTCAAGATGCCCAAGTGTGCAAGGGAGAGTGAATTTCCCTTGATCCTTGACCTTTGGTAGGAAGGTGGGTGAAGTAAGCAGGTTGAACTGATGAGTAGACTCTTGTAGGACCTCTGAAACTTTATCACTGTTGGCTAGAACATCCTTGACCATTTGCATTTGATCAAATGCCTCACTCATGCTATCCATAGGAGGCAACTCAATTCCAATCCCACTGAGATCTCTTCTGAACTTGTGAATCACTTCCTTGTGACCTTGACTAAGTAGGCGAGACGAGGAAGCGGCAACCGGTTAAGGATCAAGCAAAACAGGCTTTCGGACAGAAGAGGTCGGACTCGATCGAGCTAGAGTTGGACTCGATCGAGCTGCCGATCGAGCTTGTCGTGCGAGCTCAACTGGTGAAGTGTGAATGGCCACAGTAGGTGCCTGCACTTCTGGTTGATCAATCTGGACTCCAGGAGCCTCAGCAGCAACAATCTCTTCATCATTCAGCAGTAAACAAAAATCTTCAATGACTTTCTTGATCCTCTTCTTCAACAAGTCCTTCTTGAGTGAAGATGACCTTGCACTGTTCCTTGGGGTTCTGAATAGCTTTACCAGGTAGTTGTCCTTGCTTTGTAGCAGCAGCAACAGAAGAAGCATGATTCTCCAGAGAGTAAACCCTTGTGTTGAGGTTCTCGATCTTAGAGTTTATTTCAGCTAGCTTCTTGCTTGTGTCCACTACCCCATCAGCTTGCCCTTGAAGTAGTTGCTTTAGCATTGCCTTGAGCTCATTCTCTTGTGAAGGTGCAGGCTGGGGCGGTTGGTGGGGAAGCCTGGTGGGATATTCATTTGTTGTCCAGGGAAAGTGCCTTGTGGTCCTTGGTAATTGTTCTTTTGACCATACCCATGTTGTGGCACCTGACTCGATCGAGCTGCTTGTTGTTGAGGATAGACTTGGTCCTGAGGGTTAGCAACATCAGTGTTGCGGTATGACATGGCAGGGTTGGACTTGTAATTATAGTATCCTTTGTTGTAACCTCCTTGCCCATTGCTCATGTAGCACACCTCAGCAAATTGTGTATCCTCCCCTTCTTGGACTGGTTCCATCTCCTCAGCAGACACAAAGTTGACTTTCTTCATTGTGGACTGAGCTAGGATCAGCTTATCCAACTTCTCATTCAATGCCTTAACATCTTTTCTCAACTTTTCGTCTGACTCGATCGAGTGGTGGGTCGAGCTCCGTTGGTGCGATCATACTCTTCTCCATAGCTTCCATTTGAGTTAGCTATGTTCTCCACAAGTTGCCAGCCATCATCTACATCCTGGTTGAGGAAGTTCCCATTGCTAGCTGTGTCTAGCATCTCCCTATACCTAGGCAAGCATCCTCTATAAAGAGTGGAGAGTAGTGATTCATTGTTGAATCCATGGTGTGGGCACTGACTTGTGTAGCCTTTGAACCTCTCCCAAGCCTCTGCGAATGTCTCATTGTTTCGCTGGATGAAGCTGGATATCTCTCCTCTAAGCTTGGCTGTGCGACCGGTGGAGAAAAATTTAGCAAGAAAGGCCTTCTTGCATTCATCCCAAGTGGTGATTGTGCCATGGGGCAAGCTCTTCTCCCATTGGTGAGCTTTGTCAGCTAGAGACATAGGAAAGAGTCTCAGCTTGATGGCATCTTCAGAGACACCATTGATCTTTGTCAAATCACAAAGCCTATCAAACTCATCAAGGTGGTCAATGGGGTCTTCACTTGGCAATCCATGGAACATCTTGTTCTGGACAAGGTTGATCATTCCCAGCTTGATCTCAAAGTTGTGGTTCTGCACTGGTGGTGGAACAATCCCTTGTCTCTGTTGGTGGCGGTTTGGAGCATCTCCTTGACCAATCGGTCGAGTTTGCCTAGCTCGACCGAGTCCATTGCCCAAAGGGTTTCCATTCCCCTCTGGTACATCCATTGTATCAGCAACAAGCACCTCAGGTTCCTCTTGTACCCTCTGTGACCTCTGAACCCTCTTTCTACCCGTTGTAAGTCTAGCTCGACCAAGTCTTCAGTTAGACCGACTCGATCGAGTTCGCATACACCTGCAAAAAGAGACAAAAACCCAGCAGTACAATAGAACAGGGGTGGTATAGCTTGATCGTCCAAGTGTGTTTGAAACTCAAATGCAACAAAAATATCCCAAATCGGCAACGGCGCCAAATTGATGATAGGATTTGTGTGTGTGTGAAAGATATGAAATGAGATGGTGGAATGCAACAGTGGTATATGAAGGTGGTAAGATGCAAACACAAACACAGTCAACAATTCCCTTTAACCATCATAGTCATTGAAGTATAAGGGTTATCAATCCAAAATGGGAAACTTGTCACTCTATGAGAATATGAAACAACCAGGAAGTCAAGCAAGCAGTTATAGATTTGAAGTAACACTAACAACCTAAAAAATGAAAATGCAGTGCAATAAAAGTAAACAAAGCAGTGAAGTGTCAGCTCGACCAAGAGCTCGAGTCGAGTAGAGCAAAGTACCAGCTCGATCGAGTTTAGGGACGAGTTGAGACAAACAAAGCTAAAGGTGACGACTTTAACAAGATAAGAGAGAATTAGGGTTCAAGACAGGGTTTTGCAATCAAAGGAATCTACACTTAATCAATCTAGCTCTTAAAACTCCTTGTATCAAGGCTTCTCTTGATATTGGGCTTCTCAATGCCTAGCCAACCCTTTCCCAAGGTGGAGGCTATCAACCAAGGAATGATCTCAGAAACAGGGGGTTAGCCAGTGAGAATCAAACCTTGGAGGCTATAGGATCATTGCCCAAACTAATCCATCCAACCCCTTAGACCTCTATTGTCTAGAGCAAGAGATATTGGAGCTCTTAGTGGATCTTTTCCAGCGAATGCCATCACTTTCGTGTGGGGAGTCGCCTAAGGACTTACAAGCCAGGGGTAGTGGTCATGTAGCCTTAAGATCTATCCAAAAGAGAGAGAATCTAGATTAAGACCATAAGCTAGAAGGATTAAGCATATGAAACCTCTAATCTATCCCATCTCAAACCCTAATGGGTAACTACTCACTACACATGAATGTAAACACAAGCAAATGCAATAAAAGAGACATCATAAGAAAGAGGAGATGAAATTAAACAACTTTTATTGAAATAAGCAAGTGCAAATACAAGAGAGATTATCCAGGATCTAGATTCAAGAAGCAAGAGCTTCAAGAACACAAAGATGGGATTAGATCTCTAAAAAGTAAAAGACAAAAATTAAAGAAACTAAAACAAAAGTAATCTAAAGCTTGGTGGTTTTTTCGTGGCTAAGAGCCTTTAAATACAAAGAGGATTAGGTTTAGGGTCAAAGGGAAGTCAAGGGGGAAGCAACATTTTTCGGGTTTGACTTTGACTCCCCAGCTCGATCGAGTTGAAGCTTGGCCGGTCGAGTTGAGGAACTCGACCGGTTGGTCGAGTGGACGGTCGAGCTGGTCTTCAAGATGGCTTCTCCCTTCTTCCTTTGCGTGTCCAGTTGAGCTGCTTCCATGTGCCAAGTCCCTCCATGCTCCTCATGTCCCATATGCTCCAGAATGCTCCAAAAGACCTATTTCAAAGGACCAAACATGCATATGTATGCAAATGCAACCTAAAACTAACATGAATGCATAAGAAGAGAAAAGGAACAAGATATGATGCAAATGGAAAGCTAAAACTATGCAAAAGATGCATAAAAGATGTGCTAAAACTATGTAAAATGCAAGATTTTTTTTTCTTTTCTTAATAGATGTAACAAAAGAATTTAAATTATTTGTTTCCTGTTTTTTTATTACTTTAAATGGATGTATTATTTTTTCATTTTAATTATTTGTTATCTATTTTTCTAATTTTTGGTTAGTCTATACATTTAATTTTTTATTATTTTTCTTCCATGACACATGTTACGATTTTCATACTTCCAGAATTTTTGTTTTCTAAAACACATGTCGCAATTTTGTCAGTTATAAAAATCCTATGTATCATAAAACTTTCAAAAACATGATTTTTAAATTGGAGAAATATAATCAAAGGGATTTGATGAATTTGCTTTGATGAATTTATGATTGAGAAACCTTGACTCTCTTTTATAGGGGTTCAAGTAACTTATTACATGAATTTCTAGGAAATTTAGTTTACATAACATATTCCATGTACATATAGGATTTTATTTATTACATTATTTTGATTTTATTATTTGTTTGGATAATATTAATTTGATGAATGGGAAACCTTTCTCTATTAGGATACGATAAATATATTTTTATTTCTTTTAACTGTAATGGATTAATTTTTTTAAAAAAACATTTCCTTTATCTAAATTTATTATTATTATTATTTCTTTTTTTTGCTCTAAGACATGTGTCACGATCTTAACGGACGTAACACTAAAAGTAACAGATGTCGCGATCTTATAAATTATAAAAATCCTATGTGTCGCAACTACGTTGTGCGCATCCAACTTTATATAATAAAAATTTTGATGAATGAGAAACCTTTTTCAGTTTGGATATGACAAATATTATTTTTTCCTTTTTGATATAATAGATTAAATAAAATTTCATTTTTTTTTAATTAACATTTTTCTGGAATTCTTTTTTTTTTAAAGTTCTCTTTTTTTCCTAAGACACGTGTCACGATCTTAACGGATATAAACATAAAAGTGACACATGTCGAGATCGTGAATTTTATAAAAATCCTACATGTCGCAACCACGTCGTGCGCATTCAGCTTTATATAATAAGATAGGATTAGGATATGAGTTGCTATATAAGGAGATGTCAATGTGTAACATAACTTATGAGTTTAGAGATTGAAAACTTAAGTTTTTGAGTGAGTTTTTTTAAGCAATAAAGAAGAGTTTCTTTTAATCTTTGAGTTCATCTTTGTGTTACAATTCTACAATTGGTATTGGAGCTTGAGTTCTGAAGATCATAAGAGGAAACATGAGTGGAGCTGGTGACCTCATAGTCACCGATTTCAAACTAAAAGTAGGAGGGAGTACCGCATCAATTCAGTGTCAGATGCTTACGGCGACGAACTACACGGTGTGGGCTATATGGATGAGGGTTGCGCTTGGAGTCCATAAAGTATGGGAGGTGATCGAAGAGGAGGTAGAAACTAGCAGCAGCGAGAAGAATAATATGGCTCTGGCGTTACTCTTCCAGTCCATACCAGAAGCGATGGTTTTGCAAGTCGGTGAGCTGAAGACAGCTAAAAAGGTGTGGGAAGCCATTAAAACGAGAAACATAGGAGCATAGAGAGTCAAAGAGGCTAGGCTACAAACTTTGATGTCAGAGTTCGAGCGTCTTAGGATGAAAGAAACTGAGACCATCGATGATTTTGGAGGAAAGCTAGCTGAAATCGCATCAAAGGCAGCTGCTCTAGGTGAAACAATCGAGGAACCGAAGTTGGTTAAGAAATTTCTGAAGTCTTCCTCCACAGAAGTTTATACACATAGCAGCATCGATTGAACAGATGTTAGATCTTAACAAAACCAGTTTTGATGACATCATGGGACGTTTGAAGGCTTTCGAGGAATGAGTGCGTGACGAAGATAAGAATAAATAAGACCAAAGAAAACTGATGTATGCTAACACAGAAAGAAAGTCAAACCAGTCAACACATGACAACAACTCCAATGAAAACAATAGGGGAAGAGGTCGTGGAGGACGCTCCTAGAGGACGAGGTCGATTTTCTTATGAAGATAGAGATACATCGTCGAATGTTAAGTGTTACAAGTGTGACAAGTTGGGTCATTAAGCATCTGACTCTCCAGATATATTGCTGAAACTCTCTCTGAGATTGACAACTCAGTGACCGGGAAGGTGATATTTGGCGATGATTCTCGCATAGACATCAAGGAAAAAGGATCGATATCGTTCGTTGACATGAACGGAACCAAGGAAGATGTCAGATGTCTATTTTATCCCAGATTTGAAGAGTAACATCATTAGTCTCAGTCAAGCCACATAATCAGGTTGTGAGATCAAGATGCAAGGAGAGAGCCTAACGATGCGTGACAAAGAAGGAAAGATACTTGTTAAGGCAACAAGATCTAAGAACTGGCTTTACAAAGTCCGAATGGGAATAAGAGACAACAAACGGCTGAATCTAACCGAGACAAGTGAATCAAGCAACCGAGACAAGTGAATCAAGCAAGTGGCATTCAAGGTTAGGACACATTAACCTTGATGCGTTGAAGTTAATGATGCAGAAGAAGCTGGTTTTCGGAATCCCTAGTATGACTTTAGAGAAGAAACTCTGTGGATCTACTAGGAAAACAGAGCAGACAAGCATTCCCGCAAGCAACGACATTCAGAGCAAGCAAGAACTTGGAACTTGTCCATGGAGACTTGTGTGGACCAATAACTCCAAGTACTCTTGCTGGGAATAGGTACATATTTGTGCTTATTGATGATCACTCTAGATACATGTGGACAGCCTTGTTGAAAGAAAAGCGATGCTTTCAACAAGTTCAAGAGGTTTAAGAGCTTAGTGGAGCAAGAGTCAGGAGCAAGCATACAAACTTTCAGAACAGATAGAGGAGGAGAGTTTATGTCAAAAAGTTCTGTGTTCGTTTTGTGATGCTAATGGGATTAAACGACATCTCACGGCTCCATATACCCCACAGCAGAACGGTGTGTTGAGAGACGTAACAGAACCTTGTTAGAGATGACAAGAAGCATCATGAAGCAGATGCACATACCAAACTACCTTTGGGGAGAAGCAGTAAGGCACTCGACTTACCTCTTAAACCGCATTGCCACAAGAACGCTCGTGGATATGACACCGTATGAAGCTTTTTCATGGAAAGAAACCTAACGTGAATCATCTTCGTGTGTTCGGATGCATTGCATATGCACGAATAGAGAAACCACAATTGAAGAAGCTGGATGATAGATCAAGAATGCTTGTCCATCTAGGAACAGAACCAGGATCCAAAGCATATCGTCTGCTGGATCCACAGACGAGGAAGATAACAGTCAGTCGTGATGTCGTGTTTGACGAGACGAAAGGATGGAACTGGAGCCACACCAAACACCAAGAAAGTGGCAACGACTTTACCTTGGTACAGGAAGCTTTGGTGAAAGCAAAGATCGAGAAACAGGGGAGAGCAGTAAAGAAAAGGAGATTGTAGAGGTCTCTGACGACAGTGATGAAGAGAGGAGTCCCAAAAGTGATTTGTCGTCTGATAAAGAGACAGAACATGAGGAAACAAACCAAAGCTCTTCTCCGAGTGCTTAAGGAGATCAGATAGAGAACGTGTGAAGCCAAAATATCTTGAAGACTACGTTTTGCTCGCAATAGAAGAAGGTGAGAAGACTGTTGTTGCTCTTGAATGATGAACAGAGTTGTTTCAAAGAAGCACAAGAGTCTAAAGAGTGGATGCGTGCGTGTGAGGATGAAATCAGCTCCATTGAGAAGAATAATACATGGGATCTTGTTGAACTTCCTTATGGAGCCAAACCAATCGGTTTAAAGTGGGTGTTCAAGCTAAAACGGAACTCCGATGGAAGCATCAACAAATAAAGTCTCGACTTGTGGCTAAAGGGTATGTACAACGTTATGGGATCGATTTTGAAGAGGTATTCGCTCCGGTGGCAAGATTAGAAACGATAAGATTCCTTATTAGTTTGGCGGCAACAAGTGGATGGGAAATCCACCATCTGATGTAAAGACAGCCTTCCTTCATGGAGAATTGAAAGAGACTGTCTATGTCAAGCAACCGGTGGGTTTTGAAGTCAAAGGAAGAAGGAAAAGTGTACAAACTCAACAAAGCACTATATGGATTGAGACAGGCACCAAGAGCTTGGAATCACAAGTTGAATCAAATCCTCATGGAGCTCAGGTTTAAAAGTGTTCAAAGGAGCCATCGGTTTACCGGAAGGTATCAGGAGATAATCTTCTTCTCATCGCTGTGTATGTCGACGATCTCTGTTTGTTACAGGAACGAACAAGAAAATCATTGAGGAGTTCAAAGAAGAGATGGCCTCTAAGTTCGATATGAGTGATCTTGGTAGATTGACATACTATCTTGGATGGAGGTTCTGCAATGATGATGGAATAATTAGTCAGAAACGTTACGCACAGAAGATAGTGGAAGAAGCCGAGATGCAAAATTGTAACGCGGTTCACACACCAATGGAGTCTGGTTTAAAACTGTCAAAGCAGAGACGAGAAAGACATTGACGCTACGATGTTTAGGAAGAATGTGGGCTGTCTTCGATATTGCTACATACTAGACCAGATTTGAGCTATTGTGTAGGAGTATTGAGTCGCTACATGCAGAATCCCAAGGAGTCACATGGAGCTGCCATGAGACAATGCCTAAGGTACTTAAAAAGGGACAACTACACTTGGGTTAACGTTTGAGAGATCGAGCACAAGAGTCCCGAGACTCATTGGTTACAGACAGTAGTAGCATAACGTTGATCCAGACGACGGGAAGAGCACAACCGGACACATATTTTATCTCGGAGAGAGTCCCATTACTTGGTGCTCTCACAGAAGCAAGATACGGTGGCACTATCTTCATGTGAAGCTGAGTTTATGGCAGGACAGAGGCGGCAAGACAAGCTATTTGGCTTCAAGACTTACTTGGTGAAATCACAGGAAGACCTTGCGAGAGAGTTGTCATTCGCATTGACAATCAATCTGCGATTGCTCTCACAAGAAACCCAGTGTTTCACGGTCGAAGTAAGCATATACATACTCGCTACCACTTCATAAGAGAGTGTGTTGAAAACGGTCAAGTCGAGGTGGAGCACGTTCCCGGAGAGAAGCAAAAGGCAGACATCCTTACCAAGGCACTTGGAAGAATCAAGTTCAAAGAGATGAGAGATCTCATTGGCATGAAGGACTTAGCTGGAAATGAGTTCAAGCTTAAAGGGGAGAATGTTGAACTAAGCTTGAAGAAAGCTTAAGCTACAAGTCAAGCCTAATCCTATTGTGTTGAGGATTCCTAATGAGCTTAGGACTCAGATTATATTTAAGGGTTATCTAGATATAGTCTAATAGGATTAGGATATTGAATTGTTATATAAGGAGATGTCAAGGTGTGACATAACTTATGAGTTTAGAGATTGAGAGCTTAAGTTTTTGAGTGAGTTTTCTTAAGCAATAAAGAAGAGTTTTCTTTAATCTTTGAGTTCATCTTTGTGTTACAATTTTACAATTGCATGCATCCCATGCCTGCAGACTTGGTATTCTCTTTCTTACCATAACGGGCCTGTTCTTTTCCCAATCGCAGCGACTGCAACAGCGACAAGAGAAAATAGTCTTTGACGGAAGCACGATATAACTCAAAACAGTCGCTACAATGGGTCGCAGGTGCCGTCGGGACCTGTTTTATGATCGCAGGAATTTTTGGCGGCTCTTTTAATGCCTTGCGATTGGCTCTGCGACACCTCTGACATGTAAACTGGCCTTCCCCGGCACCCTTGTTTAATTTTTTTTTCTACTGTAGCTGTTGCTGCCGCTGCTATTCGTAAAAGAACAGGCCGAACATTGATAGATGATTTATGGGTTCTTGTTATTGGACTAAGTCATCCTTAAAGACTCTGTATTGTTTTGAGATTTGAGCAAAATCAAGGCAAAGGTTTTAGCTTTTTGAGCATCCATTTGAGATTCATTTAGAGTATAAGATTATTTGGATTTGTTTATTGTTGTTTTGTGCTGGATTTGTTTTTCAAGTAGACTGAAGAAGAAAATGTTGCCAAGAAATGTCCATTCTGTTTCTGTGCAATTGTATAGCATGCTTGCGTCTATATACTAAAATGGAAGTAAGTTTTCTCATGTCTCTCTTTGTTAATCGTTTTGTGATTGATTTGATTTATGAGCATAATGATTACTCTATTACTAAGTAGCCTACTTCTGACCTCAAGGTCAACAAAGGATGAAAAAATCAGTGTTCTAAGTATATTTTGCGGATGCTTCTCCCGCATGTGAAGGAAATAAACGATGAAAAAATTGCAGAGAAGAAGATTGAGGCAAAGATTTTAGGTACTTTCTCTGCTTTTAGGTATGTTTATCTTGTTGTCCATTCACATTTTTCTGTACTGATTCTTGAGCGAGTTTGATTAGTACGTTTCTATATATTAGTCTCATTATATTGTTGAATAAATCTGCTTCTTTTGTCAAACAAATTCTGAAAGTGAGTGGATTCTCTTTCAAAACTGGAATCTACAATTTATCTTACGGAAGTAGAAGATGTCTTATTATTATATTAATTCCCAAGCTAGTGATTGCTTACCTGTTGAAAGACTCTACTGGTATTGACATTTTTGTTGCAATGGATAACATGTTTTTGTTCATTTTGTTGTTTCTAACTTGCTCCAATTCTTTGGGTTTAAAGCGACAGTTGCAAGACCTTAATATTTGATCTTCATAGGAGTTGATCAGCTGTTCTTATGAAATTCTGCCTTACATGTTGCAACGAGATCCGAAATGGAAAGCTTCTGGCATGTCAAGAGGATGTGTCTTGGAATTATATAAACCGAGGTTTACAGTATGCACATGGAGGAGTAAAAGACGAATGATAAGCCAAATAGCAAAGACCGTGTGAAGCTCCCATCTCTCTGGCAAGCAAAGGAATCTGGAAGCATTCGTTATTGTTGTGGTGGTGGTGATTTGGAGTTAAAGTACATGCTTCCTAATGATTGGGTATCAGCAGAATTTAGTCAAGAGAGTAGAAATAACTGCTGAAGCCAACAAGCTTTTGGATTTACCTGAAACGGTTATGGAACGGTGCCCTTGGTATAACCCTGAAGGTCATATTGACATGGCCAACTCTAAATTGTTAAAGGTTGTTTGTCGAAATGGTTCAGAAGACAATTTTCTGTACAGTCCAAGTGTAAGTGATGTTGAACGAGATGGTTTAGAGCATTTTCAACATCACTGGGTAAAATGTGAGCATGTGGTTGTGAGGAATGTGCTTGAAGCTACATCTTGTTTCAGCTGGGAACCAATGGTAATGTATGGTGCCTGCCGTCAGATACGCCACACCAAACAAACACTTATAGAAGTTAATGTTGTTGATTGTCTTGATCTCTCTGAGGTCAGTTGTACTGTCCATTTCTTTCTTATATTTAAAGACTTATAAGTTCTTTAGTATGATTATGATTTTTTCATTTTATGGTAGATGCATTTGAATAGTTGCAAGTCAAATTTATTTAGACGTTTTGGTTGAGAAAAAAAACTTGATATTTTCTCTTCAGAATTTTTAACTTTTTACTATGCTCATCTAATGACTTGTCATGGATGCAGGGATTGTTTAATCTTCATGCATTCTTTACCGGTTATACAAAAGGCCATTATGATTATATGGGTTGGCCAAAAGTTCTTAAACTGAAAAATCTGCATCCATCCAAACTAAGAATCTAAAAGTTTATTCTAGTAACATTATGGCCAATTTGGCCTATTATTTGGTTCGTTCTTCAACCACAAGTCTTTAATTTTTAAATAAGAAGTTACATAAATATATGCTCTAGCGGTGTAGCTTGCATATTTTGGGTGTATATAAACAAACTACGATCTAATCAAAAATCATAAATTTTTTAAGGTATTTTTTTTTGTAGATATAAATTCCTGATAAAAATAGATAACCACAAATATTATTTGCTATACTTAAGAGAAATTTTATGAAATACATCTCTTGAGGTGCAAATTTTCAAAACTACACCTATAGTGTGAAAATTTTCAAAAATACACCTTTCCCCAATTTTAATATATATGTTTGGGTTCACTAATCCTATATAGGGTTTAGATTTTGGGATTTAGGGTTTAGATTAAAGGTTCAATGTTAGATTTTAGGGTTTTGGATTTATATTTTAGGGTTTAGAGTTCTTTTACTAAATGAAAAAAGTGTAGTTTTGAAAATTGGCACCATAGAGGTGTATTTTTGAAAATTGACATCTCAAAAGGTGTAGTTTTGAAATTTCCCATGTACTTAAGATGATAATAAAAAGAAAGAAAAAGATTTTAAAATATTTTCTTGTACCATTCAAAACAGTGGATTACAGTCTCTACTACCCTAAATATTTATATTATCAATTCAGTTAAAATCAACAAAACAAACCAAAATAAAATCTCCTGAAAACTGTAAACTAAAAGATTTTATATTTTCCTTAAACTTTATTTATATTATTAAATTACAAATCCCCCACAACTTCGTCTCTATCTCCCTCGGACTCTCTGGGTGTGAATGGTATGTTTTGTAGTAAACTAGGGTAATTGTGGAGAGAGTAAGTGGGTGGGAAGGAAAAATAAATAAGTAGAGTAAATGAGTTGGAAAAGCAAAAAAAGTTTTACTCCAAGAAAAGTGGAGAAACAATATAACGCTAAGACTAGCGTTGATGGGCAAAATACAATTTATCACTTTACCACTGATGAGAGCATCTTCAACTTTTCATGCGATATATTATTATAAATAGCAAAAATATAGCAATAGCATTGGGTTTCTCTCCAACCCCTATATCATATATCATGCTATAATTTTTTCCAACTTATTATTAATTGTTAAAACTACTTGATTTCTTCAAATTTTACAAAGTGAATCATTTTTTTTTCTTTTTGCAAAAACAACCAGAATTATATATTTTTTTTTTAAAAATAACAAAATACATCATATTACATAAAAATTATAGAAAACAAAGATTTTAACCTATTGTTTTATGTTTTTTGAATTTCAGTATTTTTAAAAATAAAATTTTAAGTTTATTATGGTTATGTTTTTATATTTCTATGAAATAAATATTATTTATATTTTGAAAAAGTTATGAGTATTGTTTATTTATTTAAATAAATCATAATCAATATAATTAAACTGTTAAATTAAAAGTAATTACAAATTGAAGGACTATTTTATAAATAAAAAAGTTCAATGGCAAAATAGCATATTGCATAATCTCATGCCAAATATAGAAGCAAAAATAGCATGATGCAATTGGGTTGAAGCATAAATTATGGCAAAATAGCATATATATCATATTTAACATGGGTTTAGAGATGATTTGAATGGTGGATTATAGATGAATTGAGAGTAAAACAATCTTCCCACTCGTACATTTTTACTCAAACATAGTCATACAGAGGAGTCAGAGCCTCTGTGTGTGTGTGAAAGAGAGAGAGAGTTGTTAGCTCACACGCTTTACCTTAAAGCTTCACCATTTTCTCGGAATTCTCAAAACAGAATTGCGTCTACGAAAATTAGGCCGAAAAGAAACAATCTTTGAGATTGAATTCTTCTCTCCCATCTTCTCTCTCTCTAATGGATTCAAGAGACATCCCACCGTCGCCGCACCAACAGCTTCAACCACCACCGGGAATGCTAATGTTTCATTACCGTAACCCTAACGCCGCCGGAATCATGGGTCCCACCTCAACATCTCAATCGATCCAGCACCGTCTACCTTTCGGCACTCTCGCGCCACATCTTCCTCAAACCCAACCGCCTCAGACGCTTCAGCAGCAGCAACAGCAAATGGATCAGAAAACGCTTGAATCGCTCGGGTTGGGCGACGGATCGCCTTCTTCTCAGTCCATGCGATTTGGGATCGATCAGAACCAGAACCAGAATCTTCAGCCGCAAGTGAAGAAGAAGAGAGGAAGGCCGAGGAAATACGCTCCTGATGGTAACATTGCGTTGGGTTTAGCTCCGACGTCGCCTGCTTCTAACTCATACGGTGGTGACGGCGTAGTCGGTGATAGTGGCGGTGCAGGTGGAAACGCCAACTCTGCTGATCCCCCTGCTAAACGTAACAGAGGAAGACCTCCTGGCTCTAGCAAGAAACAGCTTGATGCTTTAGGTACAAAAAACAACAACTTTGATCTCATCTCTCTAAAAAGATTGAATCTTTACCACATTGGTTTGTGATTACATGCAATTGATTTGATGGGTTTGATCGATTTTAGGAGGAACAGCTGGAGTAGGGTTTACACCTCATGTCATTGAAGTGAAGATAGGAGAGGTAAAAAAAGTTCTTGGTTTGTTTTAGGAATCTCAAAATGTGATTGGTAAAATTAGAAAGTATAGAGAGGAAGTGGTAAAGATCTTGTTTTTTCAATGAATTTAGATGGAACAATGAATGATTGTTGTTATTATTTTTTTTGGTTAAATCAGGATATTTTATCAAAGGTGATAGCTTTTTCGGATCAAGGGCCAAGAACAATCTGTATTCTCTCTGCAAGTGGTGCAGTTAGTACTGTGACGCTTCGTCAAGCTTCTAATCCTAGTGGAAGTGTTACTTATGAGGTTTTAAAAAAGCTCTTCTTTGGCTGTGTTTAGTGTTCAAGCTTTAGTCTTTGGTATTGAGAGACTTGTATGTGTGTTCTTTTGCAGGGACGGTTCGAGATCGTTACTCTCTCAGGCTCATTCTTGAATTACGAGGTGAATGGTTCCACCAACAGAAGTGGTAGCTTGAGTGTGGCTTTGGCTGGATCCGATGGCAGGATTTTAGGTGGCTGTGTAGTTGGTGCCTTAGTAGCTGCAACACAAGTCCAGGTACAAGAATATGAAACCTTTTTTTGTATTGAGTTTGTTTTTATGTTCATTTGATTCCTAATTTGGCTCTCATGTGTGTATAGGTGATAGTGGGAAGCTTTGTGGCAGAAGCAAAGAAAGCGAAACAGAGTAGTGGCAACAATGCAAGGGGACAGAATCCTGAACCGGCTTCAGCACCGGCTAATATGTTGAACTTTGGATCAAACTCTCAGGGACCATCAAGCGAGTCATCAGATGAGAATGAGAGTGGTTCTCCTTCCATGCAGCGTGACAACAATAATAATGGGATTTATGGAAGCTCTGTGGCTCAACAACAACAAGCTCTGCGTCAGATGCAAATGTACCAGAATCTTTGGCCACCAAATGGTCAGTGAACAGAATTTGGCTGCGTTTCGGTTTTGGTTTGGTTTAGGCTGGATTTGATCTTTGTTTCCTTTGACAAGGTTACATTTGCAGTGGTTTTTTAGCTTTTTAGATAATATAGAGAGAGATCTTAAAATTGGGGTTCTTTAAATTTTTTTTTTACATTGCTTTTTAGTGAAGTAATCAGTTTCTCTGTTACTGTTTGTTATTTCGTTTCCTTGATAAAAAAAATCTCTCTTTTTCTGTTTTTCCTATTTTCGATTTCGATTTAGGGTAACTTGGCCAAATAGGCGTATTTTGATAATTAAAGATAAATAAATGGCACATTATTAAACTTAGAGCTAATCAGGTACTGTATTTGACAAAGAACATAAATTAAATTAAATGAACGACAAAGGCGGCGCATGCCCACGAATGTCATGTCATTCTTCTGACTGTCTAAAGGGGTCACAAATAAACTCACAAACGTGGTGGCTAACTTCCGGTGGAGCACAAACTCCCACACACAGAGAATGCATTGGCTAACATAGAGAAAACTATGTAGGCATAAGAGTGACGGGGGTTTGGGTTTTAGAGTTAAAAAGGATTTCAACACGACCTTATTAGCTAAACAACTATAGTGGTTAATGGATAATCCGGAGTCACTATTCACTAAAGTGTTCAAAGAGAGATGCTATTGGAATTCTACCCTTATGGATCCAATCCGATTTTACTTTCCATCGTATGGATGGCAAAGTATTATCTCTGCTCGACCTTTGGTTTAAAAATAGCTTATTAAAAGAGTTGGTTCAGGTTCGTCTATCTCAGTATGGTATGATCCTTGGATTTCCGATTTATGCCCGAGATCAGCGTTTTGTAAAAGGTTTAAAATCTATCGCCACCTAATGGTGAGTCAGTTAATTAATCCCTAGACATCAACGTGGAATATTCCACTATTACTCCTAACTGTTCGAGAGTGCAGAAATCGCTCGCATTACTGGTATCACGGTTCCCACCGGCTACAAACCAGACACTTGTGGATGGATATTCACTAAAACAGGTCGTTATACGGTCAAATCGGGGGATAGTTATTTACAGGAGTTAAAAGAAGATGAGGTCCTTCCGGTTTTCGGTCCAGATACCCGTAGATTGCAAGTTCAATCATGGAAAGTAAAATGTACAACAAAACTCCAACACTTTCTCTCGCAAATCATTACTGGATGTCTTGCGGTTGGCGCACAGTTATGCAGCCGGGGAATGCGGGTGGACCCGCAATGTGTGAGATGTGGGATTGGGGACGAGACCGTAAACCATATGCTGTTTGACTGCCCCCCAGCTCATCAGGTCTGGGCCCTGTCCCCAATACCTACGCCTCCTTTGACCTTCCCTACGGAAGCTCTGTTTTCAAATATGGCTCACTTATTTTGGAATCTTTCCGATAATGAGGATATGATGATATTTCCATGGTTACTGTGGTTTATTTGGAAAGCTCGCAATTATAAGGTGTTCTCGAATGATGATCAGGATTCGAGGGATGTACTCGAATCTGCAATAACAGAGGCACGTGCATGGGCTGCTGCCCAAACGGGTGAGCTTAGGGCGCATGTGTGTACAGTTTCACATATGGAGCACGGATTGGTGGGAGAATGGTGCAAGTTAGATGGGGCATGGAAGGAAACAGAAGGTCGGGCGGGTCTTGGTTGGTTAAAATTTAACCCCGAATCGGGCTCAGTTTTGGTCGGCGCTTGTAATCTCCGCCGAGGGCTATCACCTTTACAGACAGAGCTGGAAGCTTTAGTTTGGGCTATGCAAAGCATGTTAGTCCACAATAAACGGCGAATGAACTTTCAAAAGAACTGTGCAGATTTGGTGAAGATGGTGTCCAGACCCAAAGAGTGGCCGGTGTTTGAGATTCTACTTGACCAGGTTGAGAAGTGCAAGAGGAAGTTTCAGGCGTTCTCCTTAATCCACATCCCTAGGACAAAGAACACAAAGGCGGACAAGCTAGCACATAGTGCTCGAATCTGTGCTCGAGATCAGCTTTACGATGTGTATTACATAAACTCAGTGCCACCCGTCTCGCTTCCCGAACCGCGTTAAGAATTTAGGCTGTTGACAAAAAAAAAAAAAAAAAAAAAAAAAAAGAAAAAAAGCGGCGTGGAAACCCGTTTTTACTATTAACGTTGTCTTAAATGATGATTACATAAGTTAATAGTTATCTTAAGGTGTATAAAGAGAAATGATGAATACATATGATATCCGATCTTTCTCATATTTATTCAGTGGATCCTATTGTAGAACATTCAATCTTTTCGTATTAATGATAATGGATGTGGATTGATGACAGAAATATATACTTATATGGTTTGTTATGGGAAGATTCATTAAGTCTACCACGTGGAGTACCACAAATGCAACAATGCTACAACATCAAATATTCAACATCAACATCATCATCATCATGTTTGTTCCTATCCAGCTTGTTGTATATTATGTTATCACAATTACTAACTGGATATTTCGTTCCACAAGTTTCATCTTTGACATTGGCAAATTCCTGGAAATACATCCAATGATCCATATCATGGTCCGTAAACGTTTCCTCTACCGTGGTATCCTCCATAAAATACAGCATGCCACTCTTCTGATACAAACGCATGAAAGGCATTGCAGGTACATACTGGAAATCGTAAATGGCTTTCCACTCACCTTTGTGTATGGTTTCTTTGTAAAAATTAAATCTTAGATCCTCCTGTGTCACTTGAGTTCGAACTCTTCCATACTTACAACCAAGTAATCAAAAAATAATGTTCTCGTTCTATCAATCGACTATCTAAAATCCAAAATTATAACATAATTCAGAACCACTGAGAAAAATTAAAAATTCTCGAGAACTTACGTAGATATCAACGAATATGAAATTGAGGACAGAATCACCGAACTGTTTGATATCGATCAACTTCTTCAAAACCTTGACTTTGCTTAACTGCCTTCTCTGATGCGGGGTCAATTCGGCGATTGGAAGGGCCACCATCTTGTTCTACTTTTTTGTTTGTTTATTGTTTGCGGCGTCCAGATTTTTAGGTTTTTACTAAAGAAGTGTACCTCTCAAATATGTAAAAATTATTCTCATTTATTATATCTTATACGGACTAAAAGAATTCACATCGATAATAAACTAAAAATAATTAAGTGATTGTAATCATGTCTTTCTATGACATAATATCAAATTCATAAATGAGTATAGTATTTGATATATGAATATATGAATATGTTGCAACACCCTCTTTTATATTAAGAACACCAAAGGAATTGCAATTTTACATTAGGAATATTCATACCCAATGTTAAAAACAAAAATAATACTGAGTTATTAAACTATTAGCGAATCATAAAAATAAAAACGATCGTGAAATGGGACGTATTAAAAACCATATGAAAATTATAAAATCAACATATTATCTAGCTATTGATCAATGCATTGAAGTCTTTAGTCCTCAGCATCATTCCACCGTAAACGTCGACATACCTTTTTCCTAAGCAGCCTTCAATATATGAAATATTGATAGTTAGAATCTGTTTCTAAAAAACGGCGTTTTTAGGGATTCATCGGTCGGAAAAATCGGCAACGGTGGGCAACCGTGAGATTAATCAAAATCGGCGATGTTTTTGGTCAATCTCACTTGGGCTGCTGTCCACGTGTGGTATTGTCGTCGTCCGGCGTTGTTCCGGCGTCGTTCCGGCGTCGTAGCATCATGGTCGAAGATTCTCCGTGAACTATAGCCGTGATAATCGCCGGAGAAGCATAGATGATGACGACGGCGATTACAAAGACGGTGAAGATTGGTTGGACTCGAACAGTGGAAGATTGCCGCCGCACAAGTTTATGACGAAGACGAGAATGGCGTCGTTGTGCAGGTTTCTTCGGGAGGAAGAAGAGATCTCAGAAGGGCCAAAATGCAATTTTGAGAAAATTGAGTTCTAAAATGAAATAATTGTGTGTGAGAGAGAGAGAATATAGTATTTATAGAATTTCCCTCAATGTATTGTCATTTCCGAAAATAAGACCTATAGAATTTTTAACTTTGAGATTTTATCATATTTTGCATAATTGATACAATGTTTTGGAAAGAAAACAATTTTAATAGATAACATTTTGTTTCTATATATGAAAATGTTTGAAAAGATATAAAATATAGTCAAAATTTCATCCCCGTTTAATCCCCGCTTAATCTCCGTTTTTTTTTAAATTCCAAATCCTGACCCGACTGCCCGATTAACGATTACCGATGTTTTGAACACATGTTAGAATTATAGGAAATATATGCAAACAAACTATGCATATTCATTCGATAACAGAGAACTCACGACTTATTAAATTTATCGATCTCCGGTTCAGAAAGTCATTTGTGATAATAGTCGAGTCTTTCATATTCAAACAGATTTGCATACCAACATCTAGATATTTATTTGGTGAACTCGAATCTAATTAGATTCTTTTATTTAGGGAAAGGAGGATAAAATTGAAGAAATAGAATGATCCAGGTTTGAATTCAAGGTTTGTTCATACGTCAAGATTTTTTCGACTGATCCAACATTATCCGAGTGTGGCCGCTACATGAAATATACAAATCTCCTGAATTAAATAAGATAAACAACATCTAATTTATCATTGTGATCATAAAGACCAAACACAGTGCCTAATCTAAAACCTCAGTTACCTCCATATACGCTCAGAGCCGGCCATCTCATAATATACACAATATTTTCTTCATTGTTATCCAGTTAGTGTTTGTAAAATTCAGCAGCTCTAGTTTCGAATAGCTCACACTCCAACGTATAATTTCTGTTTGTCAGACAATGAAATAGATATATTAAGGAAGAAAAGAAGATAATGATGGAATCGACTTAACAGTCATTAATACACGAACCTCACGTTCCGTATGCTGAATCGCACACAATCATCCTGGATGCTACCGTAAACATTGTGTATAGTGTCATGATAGTCGAAGTTGCGATCAATATTCTCGACATACGTTATTTCCCCTATCAAATCTTATTACAAGCGAGTAAAAGACATATTCAGCCACAAAACTATGAAACAAAATAATAAACACAAATGACATAAATATAAAAGTACGCATCATGCTCTACGTACCTAGTAAATAGTTGTTTTTCTTACCATGTTCTAAAACATTCTCAAATTCTATGAATTCAGAAAAAATATGTTGAACATCGATGAGGGCTATCACCAATCCTGGTCGATTTGGAGAAAACTATTTTATAGCGATGCATTGTCGTTCGAGTAAAAAATTCATCCTGATCGAGCAGCAGAAAACCGCTGATTATCATCCACGCATCAACTGTAATACCAGAAGAGAAATCGTCACACAGTTCTTTGACGATCAAAGCTTGAATTTTTACGCCCTAAGTAAACATGAGACGATCTCAGTAAGTTTGGTAGAGATTGAAGTATTATACTGTTGATATGTAAAAAAAAATTATAATAATATACCTGACTATCAACCAAAAGCAATAGAAGGGTACTATCTCAGACCAACAACACCCGGATCTAAATCAGAAATCATAGTGTTTTCATTAGTCGTTCCCAGAATATCATTGCGTTTTTCTTTTTGTTGTGAATATTGTATATCAACACCATTTATTTTATTCTCCACAGCACACAACAGAGTGAGATTTCCTCTTGGCATCGAGTTCTCGCAACCAAGACCATATTGAGAAAACAAAATATCTATTATGATTTCACAGAATTTTGATATATAGATGCTGTGCAATGCAAACAAATACTCGTTTTACTATTTGTTTAAGTACTATTGATTGGTAGGGTTTTCAAACGGATGGATAAATGTAAATCTAACATATATATTAATAATATATATTTTTATTAAAAACTTATATAGCAAGTGCATATCAATCTCGTAACTCCTATAATCATGATTGGATATATGCGTATATTGTAGTTTAACATTATCTAAACGATTTGAATTTATTAATATTTTCAAATTTGGCTTGCTACAATACTAACTAAATATTTGGGCCCAGCAATTCGACAACAACATATAATAATCGGCCTGTGTTAGAAGAGATATTCATACTCATGTAGGTTTCTGATGTACTTGCATTTTGTATGGTTTTAGTACATCTTTTATGCATCTTTTGCATAGTTTTAGCATCCATTAGCATTATATCTTGTTCTTTTTCTCTTCTTATGCATTCATAGTAGTTTTAGGTTACATTTGCATACATATGCATGTTTGGTCCTTTGAAATAGGTCTTTTGGAGCATTCTGGAGCATATGGGACGTGAGGAGCATGGAAGGACTTGGTGCATGGACACAGCTCAACAGGATACGCAAAGGAAGAAGGAGGAAGCCATCTTGAAGACCAGCTCGACCATCTACTCGACCAACCGGTCGAGTTCGCCAACTCGACCGGCCAAGCTTCAACTCGATCGAGCTGAGAAGTCAAAGTCAAACCCGAAAAATGTTGCTTCCCCCTTGACTTGTCTTTGACCCTAAACCTAAATCCTCTTGTATTTAAAGGCTAAAAGCCACGAAAAAACCACCAAGCTTTAGATTACTTTTGTTTTAGCTTCTTTTTAATTATTGTATTTTACTTTTTAGAGCTCTAATCCCATCTTTGTGTTCTCGAAGCTCTTACTTCTTGAATCCTAGATCCTGGATAATCTCTTTTGTATTTGCATTTGCTTATTTCAATAAAAGTTGTTTATCTTTATCTCCTCTTTCATTTGATGTCTATTTCAATGCATTTGGTTGTTTATTTCATCATGTGTAGTGAGTAGTTACCCATTAGGGTTTGAGATGGGTTAGATTAGGGGATCTTTAAGCTTAATACTTCTTGCTTATGTTCTTAATCTAGAAATCTCTCTCTTTTGGGCAAACCTTAAGGCTACATGACTGTTTGGGCAAAATTTAACCGGTTCGCAAGTACAATAAACGGAATGACGCAGGAGAAGATATCTTATTAATCAATTGAATATCGAGCTACAACAAGTCAATATCAAAGATTAAACTAAGAGGATCTCGTCTGTCGCTCGTCGTAGATCGTAGTTCGTCGTTGCTAGGTTCTTCGCCGCTGCTTGTCGAGAGGCGTAGAATAAGTAGTTACTAGGGTTTTTGTGTGTTTATTGATGTCCCCTTGTCCTTGTTATGGGACCTCTTATTTATAGGTGCTTGTCTATCCTAATCCTTGTTGAGTTGGGCTTTGACGTCGGTCGTAATATTCCATTTCCCTTGTCGGTCGTTCCTCTTAATTTCCTTTTAATTAGGAGGTTACGTCGGTCATTTTACATAATTCCAATAGGCTTGGGAAATTACATAAAACCATGGGTTGTTGGTAACTGTTAGTCATTGCTAAACCATTAATGAATATCGTCGGTCGTACCTCGTTATAGAGATATGTCGATGCTTGAGGCTTTTTAGGAAACTAGCAGTAGGACTGACCGGTCGATCACATCGTCAGTCGATCATATCTCCAGCTTATAATAGAGTTTAAGGAGCGACCGACTAGTGAATTTATTTCACCCAACAACTTGCCCCCTACTCTTCAATTTCTTGTTTAGAATTTGTAGAGTAATACTTCATTTTCATATCGTCGGTCGGTGCTTGCTCATGTCACTTGTGACTGTTGTTCGTTTACTAACGTCGATGTACAAAAAAGCATATATCGTCTAATGGCATGGTCCCTTTTAAAATATTATCTATGCACATACCAATGGAGCAACATAATATATAATTTAAATAAAAGATCCCAAAGACATACCTTTTTTCTTCGTTCGTCAATGGCTTATGCGAGTGACAAACTCTTATTTTAAATCATGTGGAAATAACTAAGCAAAATAAGAGGGACGTCCTTATTTTAATATCCATGTGGGATTGATTAAGAATGGAGATGGACAAGCTTCTTTCTCCAATGACCAATGACAGAGTTTTATTCTTGAAGCATGTACGTCCTTCCTTTTTTTTCCATGTGGGTCCCAAAGAAGTCGTACTTGACCACTCATGTAACTTTATTAAAATTGAGGAACGACGTACATTAATTATGTAGTTGTGTTGTTTGTTTATTTAGAGAGTGACCAGCGACAAACATGTTTAGTCGTGCCTCTTCCTTTTTCTCTTAATCGTCGAGCTTCATTCTCTCCAATCTTAAGTAAAACGTATTTTTTCAAATCGTCAGTTGTTGCTCGTCAATGCTGTTTCGGACCTTGCTCCCTTTCTAATGTAGATGTTATTCATTTCTTTTGTATGTCGCTCATTTGTCTTCTCTTGTCGTTCCCTCTCTCTTTATTTGGAGTTGTTAATTCTTTTCCTTTGATGTCGCTTGTAAAATAGATAATTAAAGAAGAGAATCTCAAGAAGGAGAGACACACATACCTGTCAGTCACTAACATTATAGTAGAAGCATCGACATAATAGTGATGGAGCTCCTTTTTATTATTAGTTGGTCTTGATTTCGTAAGACCTAGTAGAAACTAACAAGAACAAACACATTTTATACGTTCGTCTTTGGTTGATCGCTTCGATTGACTACATAAGTCCTCATCAATTGATGAGCGTCGATGAACTCATAACTTGCTTTCTCTACGGATAAGCAGCCTTCAATATATGAAATATTGATAGTTAGAATCTGTTTCTAAAAAACGGCGTTTTTAGGGATTCATCGGTCGGAAAAATCGGCAACGGTGGGCAACCGTGAGATTAATCAAAATCGGCGATGTTTTTGGTCAATCTCACTTGGGCTGCTGTCCACGTGTGGTATTGTCGTCGTCCGGCGTTGTTCCGGCGTTGTTCCGGCGTCGTTCCAGCGTCGTAGCGTCATGGTCGAAGATTCTCCGTGAACTATAGCCGTGATAATCGCCGGAGAAGCATAGATGATGACGACGGCGATTACAAAGACGGTGAAGATTGGTTGGACTCGAACAGTGGAAGATTGCCGCCGCACAAGTTTATGACGAAGACGAGAATGGCGTCGTTGTGCAGGTTTCTTCGGGAGGAAGAAGAGATCTCAGAAGGGCCAAAATGCAATTTTGAGAAAATTGAGTTCTAAAATGAAATAATTGTGTGTGTGAGAGAGAGAATATAGTATTTATAGAATTGCCCTCAATGTATTGTCATTTCCGAAAATAAGACCTATAGAATTTTTAACTTTGAGATTTTATCATATTTTGCATAATTGATACAATGTTTTGGAAAGAAAACAATTTTAATAGATAACATTTTGTTTCTATATATGAAAATGTTTGAAAAGATATAAAATATAGTCAAAATTTCATCCCCGTTTAATCCCCGCTTAATCTCCGTTTTTTTTTAAATTCCAAATCCTGACCCGACTGCCCGATTAACGATTACCGATGTTTTGAACACATGTTAGAATTATAGGAAATATATGCAAACAAACTATGCATATTCATTCGATAACAGAGAACTCACGACTTATTAAATTTATCGATCTCCGGTTCAGAAAGTCATTTGTGATAATAGTCGAGTCTTTCATATTCAAACAGATTTGCATACCAACATCTAGATATTTATTTGGTGAACTCGAATCTAATTAGATTCTTTTATTTAGGGAAAGGAGGATAAAATTGAAGAAATAGAATGATCCAGGTTTGAATTCAAGGTTTGTTCATACGTCAAGATTTTTTCGACTGATCCAACATTATCCGAGTGTGGCCGCTACATGAAATATACAAATCTCCTGAATTAAATAAGATAAACAACATCTAATTTATCATTGTGATCATAAAGACCAAACACAGTGCCTAATCTAAAACCTCAGTTACCTCCATATACGCTCAGAGCCGGCCATCTCATAATATACACAATATTTTCTTCATTGTTATCCAGTTAGTGTTTGTAAAATTCAGCAGCTCTAGTTTCGAATAGCTCACACTCCAACGTATAATTTCTGTTTGTCAGACAATGAAATAGATATATTAAGGAAGAAAAGAAGATAATGATGGAATCGACTTAACAGTCATTAATACACGAACCTCACGTTCCGTATGCTGAATCGCACACAATCATCCTGGATGCTACCGTAAACATTGTGTATAGTGTCATGATAGTCGAAGTTGCGATCAATATTCTCGACATACGTTATTTCCCCTATCAAATCTTATTACAAGCGAGTAAAAGACATATTCAGCCACAAAACTATGAAACAAAATAATAAACACAAATGACATAAATATAAAAGTACGCATCATGCTCTACGTACCTAGTAAATAGTTGTTTTTCTTACCATGTTCTAAAACATTCTCAAATTCTATGAATTCAGAAAAAATATGTTGAACATCGATGAGGGCTATCACCAATCCTGGTCGATTTGGAGAAAACTATTTTATAGCGATGCATTGTCGTTCGAGTAAAAAATTCATCCTGATCGAGCAGCAGAAAACCGCTGATTATCATCCACGCATCAACTGTAATACCAGAAGAGAAATCGTCACACAGTTCTTTGACGATCAAAGCTTGAATTTTTACGCCCTAAGTAAACATGAGACGATCTCAGTAAGTTTGGTAGAGATTGAAGTATTATACTGTTGATATGTAAAAAAAAAATTATAATAATATACCTGACTATCAACCAAAAGCAATAGAAGGGTACTATCTCAGACCAACAACACCCGGATCTAAATCAGAAATCATAGTGTTTTCATTAGTCGTTCCCAGAATATCATTGCGTTTTTCTTTTTGTTGTGAATATTGTATATCAACACCATTTATTTTATTCTCCACAGCACACAACAGAGTGAGATTTCCTCTTGGCATCGAGTTCTCGCAACCAAGGCCATATTGAGAAAACAAAATATCTATTATGATTTCACAGAATTTTGATATATAGATGCTGTGCAATGCAAACAAATACTCGTTTTACTATTTGTTTAAGTACTATTGATTGGTAGGGTTTTCAAACGGATGGATAAATGTAAATCTAACATATATATTAATAATATATATTTTTATTAAAAACTTATATAGCAAGTGCATATCAATCTCGTAACTCCTATAATCATGATTGGATATATGCGTATATTGTAGTTTAACATTATCTAAACGATTTGAATTTATTAATATTTTCAAATTTGGCTTGCTACAATACTAACTAAATATTTGGGCCCAGCAATTCGACAACAACATATAATAATCGGCCTGTGTTAGAAGAGATATTCATACTCATGTAGGTTTCTGATGTACTTGCATTTTGTATGGTTTTAGTACATCTTTTATGCATCTTTTGCATAGTTTTAGCATCCATTAGCATTATATCTTGTTCTTTTTCTCTTCTTATGCATTCATAGTAGTTTTAGGTTACATTTGCATACATATGCATGTTTGGTCCTTTGAAATAGGTCTTTTGGAGCATTCTGGAGCATATGGGACGTGAGGAGCATGGAAGGACTTGGTGCATGGACACAGCTCAACAGGATACGCAAAGGAAGAAGGAGGAAGCCATCTTGAAGACCAGCTCGACCATCTACTCGACCAACCGGTCGAGTTCGCCAACTCGACCGGCCAAGCTTCAACTCGATCGAGCTGAGAAGTCAAAGTCAAACCCGAAAAATGTTGCTTCCCCCTTGACTTGTCTTTGACCCTAAACCTAAATCCTCTTGTATTTAAAGGCTAAAAGCCACGAAAAAACCACCAAGCTTTAGATTACTTTTGTTTTAGCTTCTTTTTAATTATTGTATTTTACTTTTTAGAGCTCTAATCCCATCTTTGTGTTCTCGAAGCTCTTACTTCTTGAATCCTAGATCCTGGATAATCTCTTTTGTATTTGCATTTGCTTATTTCAATAAAAGTTGTTTATCTTTATCTCCTCTTTCATTTGATGTCTATTTCAATGCATTTGGTTGTTTATTTCATCATGTGTAGTGAGTAGTTACCCATTAGGGTTTGAGATGGGTTAGATTAGGGGATCTTTAAGCTTAATACTTCTTGCTTATGTTCTTAATCTAGAAATCTCTCTCTTTTGGGCAAACCTTAAGGCTACATGACTGTTTGGGCAAAATTTAACCGGTTCGCAAGTACAATAAACGGAATGACGCAGGAGAAGATATCTTATTAATCAATTGAATATCGAGCTACAACAAGTCAATATCAAAGATTAAACTAAGAGGATCTCGTCTGTCGCTCGTCGTAGATCGTAGTTCGTCGTTGCTAGGTTCTTCGCCGCTGCTTGTCGAGAGGCGTAGAATAAGTAGTTACTAGGGTTTCTGTGTGTTTATTGATTGTCCCTTGTCCTTGTTATGGGACCTCTTATTTATAGGTGCTTGTCTATCCTAATCCTTGTTGAGTTGGGCTTTGACGTCGGTCGTAATATTCCATTTCCCTTGTCGGTCGTTCCTCTTAATTTCCTTTTAATTAGGAGGTTACGTCGGTCATTTTACATAATTCCAATAGGCTTGGGAAATTACATAAAACCATGGGTTGTTGGTAAACTGTTAGTCATTGCTAAACCATTAATGAATATCGTCGGTCGTACCTCGTTATAGAGATATGTCGATGCTTGAGGCTTTTTAGGAAACTAGCAGTAGGACTGACAGGTCGATCACATCGTCAGTCGATCATATCTCCAGCTTATAATAGAGTTTAAGGAGCGACCGACTAGTGAATTTATTTCACCCAACAACTTGCCCCCTACTCTTCAATTTCTTGTTTAGAATTTGTAGAGTAATACTTCATTTTCATATCGTCGGTTGCTTGCTCATGTCACTTGTGACTGTTGTTCGTTTACTAAGGTTGATGTACAAAAAAGCATATATCGTCTAATGGCATGGTCCCTTTTAAAATATTATCTATGCACATACCAATGGAACAACATAATATATAATTTAAATAAAAGATCCCAAAGACATACCTTTTTTCTTCGTTCGTCAATGGCTTATGCGAGTGACAAACTCTTATTTTAAATCATGTGGAAATAACTAAGCAAAATAAGAGGGACGTCCTTATTTTAATATCCATGTGGGATTGATTAAGAATGGAGATGGACAAGCTTCTTTCTCCAATGACCAATGACAGAGTTTTATTCTTGAAGCATGTACGTCCTTCCTTTTTTTTCCATGTGGGTCCCAAAGAAGTCGTACTTGACCACTCATGTAACTTTATTAAAATTGAGGAACGACGTACATTAATTATGTAGTTGTGTTGTTTGTTTATTTAGAGAGTGACCAGCGACAAACATGTTTAGTCGTGCCTCTTCCTTTTTCTCTTAATCGTCGAGCTTCATTCTCTCCAATCTTAAGTAAAACGTATTTTTTCAAATCGTCAGTTGTTGCTCGTCAATGCTGTTTCGGACCTTGCTCCCTTTCTAATGTAGATGTTATTCATTTCTTTTGTATGTCGCTCATTTGTCTTCTCTTGTCGTTCCCTCTCTCTTTATTTGGAGTTGTTAATTCTTTTCCTTTGATGTCGCTTGTAAAATAGATAATTAAAGAAGAGAATCTCAAGAAGGAGAGACACACATACCTGTCAGTCACTAACATTATAGTAGAAGCATCGACATAATAGTGATGGAGCTCCTTTTTATTATTAGTTGGTCTTGATTTCGTAAGACCTAGTAGAAACTAACAAGAACAAACACATTTTATACGTTCGTCTTTGGTTGATCGCTTCGATTGACTACATAAGTCCTCATCAATTGATGAGCGTCGATGAACTCATAACTTGCTTTCTCTACGGATAAGCAGCCTTCAATATATGAAATATTGATAGTTAGAATCTGTTTCTAAAAAACGGCGTTTTTAGGGATTCATCGGTCGGAAAAATCGGCAACGGTGGGCAACCGTGAGATTAATCAAAATCGGCGATGTTTTTGGTCAATCTCACTTGGGCTGCTGTCCACGTGTGGTATTGTCGTCGTCCGGCGTTGTTCCGGCGTTGTTCCGGCGTCGTTCCAGCGTCGTAGCGTCATGGTCGAAGATTCTCCGTGAACTATAGCCGTGATAATCGCCGGAGAAGCATAGATGATGACGACGGCGATTACAAAGACGGTGAAGATTGGTTGGACTCGAACAGTGGAAGATTGCCGCCGCACAAGTT